ACAAACCTGAACGAGCTAAACATGATTGTCGACAACAAATAATCATCAGAAATAATAATGAAAAAATTATTGATTTTAACATTTTTGTTTTGGGAAAAATCTTTCGAATCATATAGATGAGTATCACTGAAAAATTGTGAAAAATGGAAATTGCAAACCACCACAAAACAGTAGTTTTTTGATTGTTAAATATTCAAATTCTTTCTGATTTTCTGATTTTTTAAATTTAAACGATGATCAAATGACGATCGTTGTTTGTTTGTGTTTGTGTTTGTTCTGTTGATTAATTGATCATTCCCGATAATTATTATTATTGAATGTTGGTGATTGGTGATCAATCGAATTGGTGGCTATTTAGAAAAAAATTCAAAACAAACACAAAACAGACAAACATCACATTTATCGATGATAATGATTGATTGATTGATTGAACAACCATCAACAAATCATCAGATCAAAGCATAGATTCAACAACAAATTATTATAATTTTTTTATCGAATGAATGGGCACGAATCTAGGAGAATTTACAGATAATTTTTTCTCTGTTTGTTGATTTCTGTTAATGATGATGATGATGATTTCGTTGTTGTTGTTGTTGTTGATGACGATTAATGATGATTAATATTATTGATGATGACGCCAGGAAACAACGATAATGATGATGATGATGATGAGTGATAATCAGTGTGTTTTCTGTTCAACGAAAGAATTTTTTTTTTCATAAATTCTTTCAACTTTTTTTTTGGACAAAAAAATTATGAAAACAAATAAACAAAACAAAACGCGTAAAGTGTTAACAAAACAAAAAAGATGAATGGAATGTTAACGGAGAAATGAAATAGAAAATTATCAAAAAAAACGGTGGTGGATCGATGGTGATCTGATGATTATGATGGTTGGTTGTCAAGACAAACAAAACACAAAAATATTTCCCTTTCACTCTCTTTGGTGGTAGTCATCGGCTGTCTGGCTGGTATTGCAAAAAAAAAGATTCTTATTATCGATAAAATCAAAGATTTTTTTTGTTTTGTTTTGTTTGCTTGGTTTTGTCAACAACAGAGTTATCCGCGTCGGGATTAAATGTTTTTGGTTGTTATCATCCATCTTGGATTGCAACAACAGCAGAAAAATTCTTTTAATTGATTGATTGATTGATTGATTGACTGAGAACAAACATTGAGTTAAATAAAAGATTACAACTTTTTTGATCTGATCCGATCCAATCTTGATTTGATTTGATAATTTTGAAGTGTTTCGATTTGACGTTTTGGAAATGGTTTTTTTTCATTTTTCTACTTTTCAGATTTAAAACATTCGAATCGAACGTTTCCAATACCGAAAGGTACAGCTATAGTGCGGTCGGTATTCTGAATGAATTTATCGATTCAATCGAAGGCTGTTATATGGGCCAGTTGTCTAATTGGATATGACGTCTGACTACGAATCAGGAGGTTGCAGGTTCGAGTCCTGTCTGGCTCGTTGATTTTTTTTTCTGGAATTTGAAATGGAAATTACTGGAACACCACCGGCCATCTGGTGGCAAAGAATAAAATTTTTTTAAAAAGATTCGAATTTCGAATAAAAGACAAAATTTTTTTTTTTATTTAAAAAAATTTTCAAAAATCAAAAATTTTAAAAAATTTTAAAAAATTCATTTTTGTTTTTTCATTTTCATTTTTTGATTATCATATTTTTGACCACCTGCACCACTTGTTGCACCACCTTTGTTTTTTGCTAAAAATTTTTGCTGATTATTAATTCGTTGTCCACTACGACATTGATCAATAATCTGTTGTTGTGATTGATTTCGTTTTGGTATCGGTTGTTGTTGTTGTTGTAATTGTAATGATGATTGTTTCATTGCAATTCTTTGTTGTTGTTGTTGTTGTTGTTGTTTTGTCATTGATCTTTGTTTACCAATTCGATTTAAGGTTTGTTGTTGTTGTTGTCCAGATGATTTTTGTTGTTGTTGTTGTTGTTTATTACGTAATTTAGCTAATTTTATTTTATGTTCTTTCCATAGAAATACTTCTTCATCAACATTTTCAGCTAAACTTGGTTGACCATCAGCAACTTCAATATGTATTGATTGTACAGCCGTTGATGGTAGATCATCAATAGCCGATTTGGTTAATGAAAATGATTCTTCTTCTTCTTGTTGTTGATTATTTTCCATTGATAGTGACCTGGCTGTATCATATTGTTGTTGTTGTTGTTGTTGGTCATCATCACTTTTATTCGAAGATGATTGTTGGCTATCATTTCTTGGTACATTGCTCATATTTAAAAACCCAAAAATCAAAAATCAAAACACCAAAAATAAACGTCAAAACATGGAAAAAATGAATTGAAAAGAAATTGGAATTTATATTTGCAGAGAAAAAGCTTAATGAAATTAATGAAAAAATTAACAAAACAATCAAAAATCAAATTAACAGCCAAAACAAAAGAATTTGAACATTTTCCGGGTTAAAATAATCTTTTTATATATAAAATACCGGACCAAAGTGTTGTCACACCGGTAATCCATTGCAATGATGGCAGAAGAAAATCCAGATACCGGAATAAATCCGAAAATACCGGTGATGCTAATGTAAATGATACAAGGGTTAATTGAAAACCAGTATTCAATTTTGAAATGAATGTTGGACTAAAACGTTCCGATGTAAATGTTGATAAATTAAAAAAACGTTCAAATGTTATTGGTGGTTGTAATGAACGATAACGGAGCCAAAAACCACCCAATATAATAAGAAAATCACGTAAAAATATTAATAATGTTAACCATATGGGTATCATATTAACATAGGTCAGCGTCAGTGTTAATGATGCTATTAAAAATTTATCAGCCAATGGATCTAATATTGAACCTAATTTTGATATTGAATCAAAATTCCTAGCAATCCAACCATCCAAAAAATCTGATAATGAACTTATTGCACATATTGTTAATGCTAGATCGAAATTTTCCTGGACAATTAGATAACCAATAAATGGTGTTATGGCTATTCTTGCCATACAGATAATGTTCGGTATGGTGTAGATTTTCTGTTCATTGATTAAAAGAGAGAAAAATCAGGTAAAATTAGTCAAAAGGTTTTTACCGAGAAAAAAATCACATTTTTACATTCAATTTCGATGATTTTTGGTGATTATCATCATCATTTGGTGATGGCGAAGGCGACGGTATTTCGGATGATTTCGTGGACAACAACCGGTGACCACCATTGAATTTTTGTGGTAAACGTTGATGACGATGATGGTGAAACTGGCCGATATAATTTCGAACGAACAATGGTTGTACCTGATGATGATCGATTCGATTGATACACCAGCCACAATAACTGGAGAGGAAATTTGAAGATCGATGAATTGATTGAAGATGATTAACAGTTCTTGTTGTCAATCTGATTATCATCTTGATCTTGATCTTGATTTGATTTTGAAGATTCTTTTTTTGGTTGACTTTCGTTGATGGTTTTATCAAAACATTTTCAGAAAGCAGAAATCGAACGCACACATGTTTCGAATCCAAAGGGTCATCCAAAAACAAAATAAAATTATAACCTTATAATCATCTGATTCGAATATTCGAACGAATCTTCGAACCAAACATCGAAGTCAAGTCAAGTCAATAATGTTATCAAGTAAATTTTGTCGTTTACGTTCGACAACAACAACAACGATAATCAAAAATTCAACGATCAATCGGCGACAATGGCAACAACAATGGCAACACCAGCGATATTTAGCAACACAATCATCAAAATATGATCTTTTCAAACGTAATACGAATGAAGAGGAAAAATTGCCAACATTTTTGATGTAGGTGATCAGTAATGATTCTTTACTAACCGATTAATAACATTGATTTTATTTCAAAATTATAGATTTCCCGAAATTCCAATCGATACAGTCGAAACAAATGAATTTCTAACCATACCGACAACCGGTCAAATTCCATTCGATCGTTTAAATGTTGAAAAATGTGTTCGTGCTTCGGGTAAATTATCACTGGAATTTGAACATTTTATCGATGAATATAGTAATACGTTGAAACAGGAATTCGAAGATGGTGGTAAGTTTCTTAAAAATCCAGAACTTTCCCCTTTTGATTTCGTTATTTTTTCCCGTTGAAAAATAGACATTTCGAATGCAAAACTTGATGAATTTATTGTCGAAATGGAAAAACACCTGATGCCACTACAATATAATCTAAATCTCCTGAGTGCATTTAAAATTCTACGGCCAAATGAATTTGAATTTAAATTATTTGATGATTTTTTCCTCAGGCGATTATCCAAATCTCGGTTACGATTTCAAAATCGTAATATTTATTGTTTTATGTGTGAAATGAAAACCCGTTTAGATTCTTCATCACATGGTAAAAAAACACCGAAACAACCCGAAACCGATGGTAAAATGAATAAAATGGATGAAGATCGGAAATTTCTTCAACAACAAAAACTTCAACTAATCGAACGTTATATTCGTGAAGCAAAATTGTTCGGGTTAAGTTTAAAACATCAAGATCAATTAAATTCATATAATCTTATCAATGAAAAGCTGAACAAAGAACAACAAAATTTTGTTCAAACTGCAATGCAAGCAAACGGAATATTTCAATCAAATATAATGTCACCACAATTTCTGGATTGTTTACCTGATCATGTAATCACCCAACTGAATCATCATGATATTGATGCTGTTTTTAATTCATTTATGCGTTATTGTCCTGATCAAACATTACGTAAAGATTTTTGGCTTGCATATAATGCACGTGCAGCACCATATTTAGGTTCAAAATTGAATAATTTTTTGCCGATTGAAAAAATACGTGAATTACGACAACAAAAAGCCAAACAATTTGGTTATGAAAATTTTGCCAAATTTTCATTGGATTTAAGAAGTGGTTCGGGTTGTCAAACAATGGCCGGTAATGTTGATAATGTTTTAGCATTTATGAATGGCCTCGGTAATCAAAGTGATTTGAAATTTGAAAAAAATCTAAAAGAAATTAAAGATTTTGCTCAAGAATTTCGTCCTGAAGGTCGTCGTGCAAAACAATCACCAAGTACATTTATGCCATCAAATATTATTGTTGAAAAATTACAATTATGGGATTTAAAATATTTTGAACGGCTATTTTTACGTGAAAATTATCAAATTGATTCGGCTGATGTTCGTGCTTATTTTCAATTAGATCGTGTTGTCGCCGGCATGTTTGAATTTGCTGAACGTTTATTCGGTATCAAAATTGTTGAAATCAAAAACGATGATGATAATCAACAAAGATGGGGAAGAAATGTTCGTCATTATAAAATTTTTGATGATAATCAACGATCAAGTGCTGAATATGGATCATTTTATTTTGATCCATTTCAACCACGTTCAAGGATATTTATGCCAATTGCACGTAGTGATTCAATGAATACAAAACCAGTTGTATTTTTCCTGATGAATTTCACTCACGGTAGTGGTACGGTATTTGATCAATTTGAAAAACAAAAACTTCAAGCAACCGGTAAAGAATTGTTGAATTTTTCACAAGTTGTACAATTATTTGGCAAGGTATGTTTTGAATAATGTTTTTCCCATACTTTTTTCTAATTTTTGGTTTTTCGTTCGTTCGTTGCAGTTTGGCTATGTATTACAACATTTATTAACAAAAGTTGATTATAGTGAATTAGGTGGTTTATCTAATATCGAAATCGATACATTCAATATGATATCACATTTTATGAAATTATGGCCATTAAATTCTTATCGGGTAATTGCCGATTGTTCACGTCATTTTAAAACAGGTGAACCAATTTCCGAAGAATTTTTCGAACGTATTCGTAAATGTAAGTTTCTGTTTTCAAACTATTTTCACCTTTTTTGTCCCGGAACAAGAATTAATCTTTTCGTTTCGTTCGATTTTGTCAAAATAGCCTATTATCATTTTGTATCATTTCCATTGAAATATGAATTATATCTAATGGCATTAGATATGAATCTTCATACAACCAATGATCATTCAACAAATGTTTTACGTCAAACATGGTCCGAATGGATGCAACCATTTGATTTTATTGATGAAAATGGTCATACTTGTTCATGGATCGATTTGTTTAAAGGTGATGGACAAGAAGGTATTTATTATAGTGATAAATGGTCCGAGGTGATTGCTACCGATTTATTTGATGCATTTCGTGAACGTGATAATAATCTTAATCATCATCAAAATGAAGCAATTCGACAAATGGGTGAAAGATTTAAAGATATATTTATGGCACAATCAGGTGTTATTGAAACAAATGAATTGTTTCGTAGATTTTTAGGTCGTGATCCAACATTGAATGGTTATCTTAATATTAATGGTTTTGTATCATCATAATCATCATCAAAATGGAAAAAAAATAAACAGATTAAATATTTGTGTACAGAGATTATCATTTTTCAGTTTTTTAATTCTTTAGAATATGTGATATTTTTTTTTATACACAAAAATCATCATATTATCACAACAACTGTAGGGAAAAATAGTTATCATTTTTCGAATCAATTGATTTTAATTTGCCAATTTTGTCCAAACATTACTGCAGGTTTACGTATAATTAGCATATGTTTTTGTTGATCATATTTAAATGCCAATTGCGATGGCGGCGGATTATCATTCGAATTATTCATTAATTGAATTCGATTTGGTTTTGATGGATAACCAATAATCGTTATACGTTCTAGCCAAGCACGATTCGATGTTGGATTACCTTTTTCAAACGTATATTGCAATGTACGTTTTGAATAATTAAAACGACCATAAATAAAGGCATTTTGTTTTTGATAATTATATGTTTGACCATCATCAAGATAAATAAAACCCGTTGATGTACCATTTGAATTTAAAAATATTTGTAATGATATTGGATCATTGACGGCCAATACAGCTGAACGTCTTGGTCGTTCACTATATGTTTGTGTGTGTGAAAAAGTGTTAATTTTTAAAATGATTTTTCCAATCCAAAAATTCACACTTACCGTTTTGGAATGATCGAACCACTTCGTTGAAATATTGGTATTGAATTTATATCCACTTCAAAACGATATTCTTGACCACCTTGATAAACATGATTTGAAAATACATCCATCCAAAATGTTTGTTCATGTTGTTTTTTAGGTAGATAAATATCAAGTTGTTTCAATTCTTTATCTAAAATTGGTGCAAATAATAAATCTGATCCTAACATATGCGCCGTATCGATTGATAATGTTTTTGAATCTGTGGGAAATTCCATCCATAATGGTCGAAATGGTGGCATTCCTAATTGTTCATTTTCATAAAATAATTGATACATATAAGGTAGATATGAATAACGAATTCGTATTGATTGTCGTATTGATTGTCGGGTAAATTCCGAATAAACCCATGGTTCACGACGTTTTGTATCCAAATGTGCATGTGCACGATAAAATGGATGAAATATTGATGCCTGATACCAACGGATCATAATTTCTTCCGATTCTGGATTGAAAAAAAATCCACCAATATCAGCACCAATAAATGTTATACCAACAATTGAATGTGATAAAAGCATAGCTATTGTTATTTTTAAATGTTCCCATTTGGACATATTATCACCAGTCCAAATAGCAACATTACGTTGTGAACCGGCAAAAAATGATCGTGATAAAATGAATGGGCGAAGATTAGGACGATGTTTCAACAGACCATCCCATGTACTTTTTGTCATTAGATAACCATAAATATTATGTATTTCACGATGTTCAACATTATCAATATGACGCATATCTCTTGGTGCCGTTATTTCTGGTCCACTAAACACTGATGGTTCATTCATATCGTTCCAAAAATCAATAATACCACCTTCAAATCCAGGAAAATGTTTTGGATCAAATTTATCTGACCACCATTCACGTACCAATGGATTTAGATAATCCGGCCAAACAGATGACCCAGGCCAACACCATCCTTCAAAATCTTTATCTTCTTTTGAATCTTTTGTTAATAAACCTTGTGATGATGCTTCATCATAAATATGATAACCAGATTCACGTTTTAAATGTGGATCAATAATTGTTATTAACCGACGGCCTTTCGACGTTAAATTCTGTATCATTGATTGCCAATTTTTAAACATAATCGAATCATGTGTAAAATATTTTTTCGATCTACTTTCAGTATATTCAACATCTAACCAAATTGAATCCATTGGTATATCATATAGATCAGCTTTTTCATCCACTTCCATTACTTCTTGATCGGAAAAATAATTCCAACGACATTGATGATAACCAATCGAATAAATGGGTGGTAATTGTGTTGTACCAAGCAATTGTCCATTTTGATACATAACATCGGTGGCCATTGGACCAAGTAAGAAAAACATATCCATTAAACCAGTTTCACTAATCCAATGTGTTAATTTATTTGGTTTTGATTCGGAAACCAAATTGGTTAATAAACTACCAATACCAGAATTCGAAGATTCAATATCGATCCATGTTTCGGATGGATTCAACCAAAATAGGCCAACAGTTTTTGGTTGAACAGAATGAGCAATCATTAATGGATATGCACCATATAATGTCATTGGTGAATATAAATCATATTCAAATACATCGGAATTAAATAAACGATATGGATCCATTGTTCCTTTGGTATCTTTCAATGAAAAACTATCAGCATGTTCAGGTATACCATAAACATGTTCAAAACCGATAAATGTTACGTCCATTCCTAATGACATTGGGCCATTTGGTTTACTATCGGTTGAACCTTTGAATGTTTCTTCCCAACACATTTCAGTACAATCTGTATTTGGATCTTCTTCACCTTCTATTTAAATGGATAGAGTTAATTAATAACCAAATTGATGAATAAAACAACAACAAACCTTGTGGTTTACGACGATAATGTTCAAAATTAAATAAACCTCTTTGATTAACAACCATAACCAAATCATTACCACTATAAATATCTAAACGAAATGGATTAGCTTGAATGATAACACGATTTTTTTGATGATTTTTTTCATCAATAGTTTCGACTGTAAATCCATTGGTAGATTGATCAACAATTGAAATTTTCGTTGGTTTAATATTGGGCATCAACACCAATTCACTTGGATCGAAACGTTTTTTTGGTGAGTCAATTTCATCAACACGAAATCGAAATGTTTGCCCATCCAATATTGATTGTAATTGTGCCTGATAAATTATTCCGGTATCAATATTTTTCAATTGAAATGATACACTTTTCAAATCTGAATCGGGAACAATATTTTCCGAATCCAATAATTGAAATCGTTCTGGTTTTGGTTGTAGATTTCGATTACGTTTACAAAAACCTGATTGTTCACAGGTTTTAAAATTACTTTTATCAACAGCATCATTGAAATTCAAGAATGCTATTAACAGAATAATCGATAATATCGTGGTGGTGGATGATAAAGTGAATTTTGTCGTTGATAAATTCATTTTGTTTTGTTTTGCTTTGTTTTCTTCTGAGATCAGATTGGGCCAGTGTTTCGAAACAAGAAAGCTTTTGCTCCCAATTTACATGGAAAGAAATCTTTTTCTTCGATTGATAAAAACAACGAGGTTTTCTTTGATTCTTTTGGCTTTTGATAAATAAAACACACGTTAACATAAAACAACCGGCGCAAACCAAACAAACGAAAATCGATCGATCATCATCAACAATCGAATCTCTCTTTTCAACAGTGTCTCATCGTTCGATGTTACGTTCATATAGAACGTTACCGCGTGGACGATGTTTTGGATGTTCGGGATTTTTGGATCGACCGAATTTGACTTGATTTACCGAATTTGACCAAATTTGATTTGATTTTCCGAAGATCGTTTCGGAATCGTAAATGAATCGAAAATGGCCAAACAATATCAATGTGAATATTGTCAACGATCATTTCGTGATACCAGAAAAGATCGTCAAAAACATCGAAAAAGTCAAGAACATTTACGAAAAAAATTTGAATATGAATTTTATTTATTAAAATGTTTGGCGGAAAAATTTGGCTGGAAAAATTTACAATCAATATTCAACGGTGAAGATCTGAATTGTTTACAGGAAGTATTGAGCAAAACGAATGGTTGTAAATATCATTTCGAAACAGATAAATCGACCATTTCCACTTTGACGACTCGATGCCGATATGGTTTACATTGTAAACATTCTCATCAATTTGATGATCAACAAATCCATCATTATCGTCATTATTTTCTGAATATTCTTAGCCGAAAATCCATTCAGAATCAATTGAAACAACCGGAACAACAAATGGTTGATTGGTCAAACAAATCAATCATTTCGAAAAATCAATTAAGAAAAGAATTACTGCTGAATATTTGGCTCGAAAAAAGATTCAAATTCGATCCGGATAAACGAATTGATTTGATAATTGGATTGATTTAACACTTTCGCTACCATCGTTTGAGTAACACCAAAAAAAAAAAATTTAACCAAATTTTTTTTTCAATAAATTTTTTTATTTATAAAATCGAAATAATAATAATAAACAGATTTTTTTTTAAACCATTTTTTTTAAAACCATTTTTTAAACATATTTATTAATTCAATTTTTGAATAATACTTGTCTTGCAAGTTCCGCAATGTATCGTGTTTCGCATGAAAATAATGTTTGTTGCCATCGTGGTACGATAAAGCAAAGATTTGATTCCATGATTATTTTATTTGTTATATTAGATTACTGGAGAATCTGTTTTTTATTTTGGAAATCTTGATACCAAAAATTTCAATTTTGATCTCATGTCGACATCAACACACATAAAAATTAGAGAAATTTCTCAAAACAAATTCTATAGAATTAATATAACGCGGTGGTTGAAGATAAATGAAGCACAAATCACAATGGGGAAAAAAAATGTTTGGAGAGCTTTTTATATGCTCTCACATAGGGTATATGTAAACAAAAAAAAAATGTTATTCGAAATTTCGAATATTCGAACATTTGAAACAAGAATAAAGTCGAAAAATGATTTTTAAGAAAATTTTTAATAACAAAAAAAGATTTAATGAGTTGATTAATTCTTTTTTAAAAGTAATCAAAAAAATGATTTTTATAAGCAAATTTTTTTGAGATGATTTTTTGTAACCCGATGAATATCCGAAACAAATATCTGGACATATTTATTTTACAATATTTACAAAATCAGGAAGTTCACGACACACGTCATTTGTGAATTGACCAAGAGCAAAACAAACAAAAAACGAATGATATTTTCGTTCATGGTTAAAATATGTTTTTTGGTTTATTTCCTATTATGTATTCGGAAATAAATATAAATATTTTTCGACTTCTTTTTGACGATGAAAACATTCTTTAAAAGTTGCTGAAATATATTTGGTTTTGAGTTCTTGTGTCATCCAACCCTTTTTTATTAGCAGTCCAGAAAACTGGAAAGTTACTTTTTTTAAATGCTCTTGGGTTTACGGGTGAATTTTTGGCATTCTAAAATAGATGTGCTGTAGTTGATCGAAAATAGCGTATTATTTTTTCGAAATATGTTCCTTCACATGAATTCTTCCAAGCATATTTATGTTTATTCCAGTATGATTCCTCATTTTTAGTAGGTTTGGAACACAAGTGGTTAACTGGAAACCATCATCAATCCTTCGTCGTTTATTCTTTTGGTTTTATTTTTAAAACAAAGTCTCCGGATAAATTAGCAGAGGGGGTTATTTTTGGGTTTTTATTGTCTAATTGAAAGCCAAAAATAATGCTAATTAATGAAAATAATATTGAATTAGATTAATGCTTTTTTTTTGATAATTTATCACTTGTTACCTGATTTGTTTATAAGAAAAATCGGTTTTTAAACCATCCTTTGCTAGCCACAAAGTGTTAATTTCAAAAGTGATGTTCTTGATGTTGAATTTTCATTTTTTTAAAGATTAATAAATCCGAAGAGATTTTTTTGTTGGACCGGATTCATTTTTGGTATGTTCTTTTGCTTTGTGTCTATTCAAGATATACAAACAAAATTTTTTTTTCTTGGCCTCGTTGTCTTCTTAGAGCCATCGAGTAAACACTGAGGGATTTTTTGGTAATGAAGAGGAAGCTTCTTCTTGTTTTAAGTAATGTTGCTCGAACTGAGTATCATTCGTTAAATGATGGCAAATTTTTTTCGCTTGCATCGAATTTTCCATTTTCGAACTTTTACATTTTCGAATTTCTACTCAAATAGGTATTGCTATTTCGACTCTAATCAACATCTAATTCAACCAGGAAAAAACTTATCCGGTTCGGTCGAATTAGCCGAGCACACACACATAAACATTCGAAATTCGAATGTTCGAATTCGATTTTTTTTGTTTGGTGAATCAATTCGAAATGGAAAAACCAATCAAACAAACAAATTATCATTTTAGCAAAATAAAGTTGGTCAACGAAAAAAATTAAGCAAGTGTACAAAACAAAAGAGATGTTTGTCAATTCGGAAAACGCCAACAGTGAAATACTTGGTATACTCAAAAAACTCAAGCGATGATTTATTATTCTTTGGTTCTATCACTTTTCCCAGAAGAAATTTAATCTTTATCGAAATTTTTAGGATTATGTATTATTTGGTAAATTCGTAATACCCTAATCATTATAAATGTTTAAATTATTGACTAAATGTGAAAGTTTTCAAACAATCAATTTGTCAAAATAATTCATGAAAATCAAGTTATCGATTTAATTTTGATTATAACTTGAATAATCTTCGAATCTATGCTTCTTCGTATTGATCAAACTAAATGCCAAAAATTTCAAGCGATCCATTTGCCGAAATTCTTCGTTAATAACAAAATTACCAAGTTATAGATCCATTGGAGAGTTGCAATCTTTGATGTTAACTGAATTTGAATCTACCTTCGAATCGATGCTTCTCCTTTTTGAACACATTTTTTCAAAAAAGATAAGGAATCAAAATCTACATCAAATGTATTCAAATTTATTGAAAACAGACTTCTTCTTATTGTTTCATCCTTTTTTCATCAAAAAATATTATTATTGATAATATCTCGAAGTCTTTATTTGTTGCATAAAAAATTATTTACATTCCTTTTGGAAAATCGAATGTTTAATCATCAGCATTGTCCAAAAAATCCTGGCTAAATGGTTCTAATCGTATGATTTCATTTCAAAAAAAAAAATTGATCAACAATGTATAAAATCATTTATTTTGAAACAAAAAAAATTATTTTAATAAAAAAATTTTATTATCAAATTTTTCAGATGTTCATCTTTTTCTTGTGTAATATATATACATGATGAATCTATTGATTCGTTTCTTATATCAATTTTCTTCTTCGTCGTCGTTAAGCGACAAAATATGACCATCGAAGAGTGTCCACTGGGTGGGGGGGGGTTATTTAATTTCATTAAGGAAATGAATCCAAAAAATAGGGTTGATTTCTAATATTTCCATAATTGATGTATTTTCAATTTCAATATTTAATAAAATGATTCACATATGAATCATATTTTGATTCGTCCTTCTGAAATTTATTTTTTAAAAAATAGAAAAAAAAGAGTTTAGTCAAGTTAATCAATTCTGGGTTAATGATGATTAGCTGCTTACCAAAGATATCATGGAAAATGTCTGGAGGTGCAATATTTTTGATTCCATGGATAATTTCGTTAATTTCGTCAGTTGACAGTTGTTGAACCTGCAGGGAATTGTCCATTTTTTGAGGTAAATTTTTTTTTGTAAAGCTTTGACTTCTTGCTAAACATTCTCGACAAATACTGCTTCTTTCGAAACCCATTGGGAAACCCAATATTTCGTTTTGTGCAAGATTGTCACAGATCAAACTTGCTTTTTTGTTGAACCAAAACAGGAAATAGATGAATTTCGTCCCTTTTTTACTCTTTCTTGAATGTAGAGTAAGTTGGAACATGTTAAATAACCCAAGTAAAAATATTTTCGTCATTTTGTAAAGCAAAATTGTGAGAAAAAAATCATCTATTGAAATTTCAATTCTTAATTATGCCACGTAAATCATCAATTATAATCATTTGATCTTTTGTGTCTTTTCTTTTTTTTTTTTTGCAATACCGCTGAAAAGGAAGATCATGTTGATTGATTGTTGACTTGTTGTTTCTACTGAAAAAAAAAATTCGGGATGTGAAATTGAATCAATTGTTCAAATCTCACCGATACATTTTGGATTGGTGGATAGGAAAATGTTTTACAAAATGCACATGCATGCATGCAGGTATAAGCATTGAAGAAAGACAAAACTCAGGATTTCCATTTTCAAACAAAAAAAAAAAAAACATTTTTTTTAATGTTCGAAAATTCGAATGTTCGAATGTTTATCATCATCATCATCATCATTCGAACATGATTTTTGGCTATTTCAACATCTGTGTCATCATCGTCAGTTTTTTTTCCTTTTTTGAACTAAAAATGTCTATTACAACAGGCATTGTCTGTTTGTTTGTCAAAATAGATTTTTTTTTTTTTTGAATCGGAAAATCCTTCAACCACCACAATTCATAAACACCAGTACACCAGTAGACAGTTGAAATGAGTATTTTTCGAACCGTTGCAGCATGTTTTCCTCTTTGCTCATCCTTTTTCCGCCATGTGCTTTCCCCTATAGGATTTATCACACACACATGAACAAATTACAATTCATTCGCTGGTTGTCGCTCAACATGTGCGGACCTTAAAAACGCATATTCTTCATTTTAAAAAAAAATTATATTCGACATCTAAAAAAACTTGACCAAATTGATGAGAAGAATAATAAATATCTTGATCATACCACACAAATTTTATATTTTCAAAACAAAAAAGATAAATCATACGTTTTGTTTTTGTAATGTTTAATTTTTTTATAAATAAAATAACCTACCTGTAATGAAACCAATCAATCACTTTAAATTTGTAAATTTTTTTCGTTTTTTTGTAAAATTTAATTTCTTTAATAAAAAAAAGTTTTTTTTAAAAAATTTTTTAAAATTATAAATTTTTTTTTTCAAAGAAAAAAAAACCACCCGATTTCATATGCGATCTTAATTCAATTCCATCATTTGATCATATATATTCCGAATTTGTTCGGGTTTTTTTTTCGATACCAGTCAACATTTGTTGGCGTGGGGGTTCGAATCTCACTCCTGACACCAGAAAGATTAACACAAGTCGGTTGGACGATAATAAATAAATAAATTTCATTGAAATTTTCAACCGGTTTATTTTCTAAATTCAAACACGATTTTGTAAGAGGATTTTTTTTTTTGAATCTCCAAAAAAATACGATAAATACGTTCTAAACGATCGATATTGCCCAAGTCAAAAATATTACCTTTTTCATCCATCTATCGATTGGATCCAACACTTTCGAGAAATCGTTATAGACAATTTTGATTGATTGATTGTTATTTAAACCGATTTTCTGAATTGATTTTTCTGGATTTACGGATTGATTGTTCGGGTTCTGAATTTACGGACACGAATTCCAATATTGTTGTGCAAGGGATATTCAGAATGACTCAAATAGATGTAACATTACAACAAATGATGAATATCTTTCAGTCAATAATTCGTAAAATAGAAAAAATTTTTTAATTGCTTTATCGATCTGGCCACAAAAAAAGGTAAGTCGAAAAAACCTTAGAAGCTTCTTTGGAAATCATTTTCTCCAATATGCTACCGAATGGAAATCATTTGATCATCAAAGAAATTGAAATCCGAATTGTTTCGTCGATGAAAAATTGAAAGTGCATGTTCCATTTTTATAAGGTTCTTATCTCTTTGTTTTTTGATATTCGTTTGGCCGCAGATGAAGCATTTTGTTTCTTGATTTTATCACTCTTTGAAATAATAGATCGGTTGACAGTTGCCTCGTTCAAATTGTATGATTGAGCGATGGAGGATGTCTCTTTTCACCTTCATTCTTTAGATTGACGATTGAAATTTTTTCATCTNGAAATCATTTGATCATCAAAGAAATTGAAATCCGAATTGTTTCGTCGATGAAAAATTGAAAGTGCATGTTCCATTTTTATAAGGTTGGGATCTCTTTGTTTTTTGATATTCGTTTGGCCGCAGATGAAGCATTTTGTTTCTTGATTTTATCACTCTTTGAAATAATAGATCGGTTGACAGTTGCCTCGTTCAAATTGTATGATTGAGCGATGGAGGATGTCTCTTTTCACCTTCATTCTTTAGATTGACGATTGAAATTTTTTCATCTAATGAATTGGATAGATGATCATCGAAGAAATCCATCTTTTCGTCGTTTGCCAAATGTGAAGAAAATTCAAAAAAAAATTCAAAAACTTTGAAAAAAAAACAAACGTAATTTAGTCAAATCAAACTTTTAAAAACATTCGAAATTTCGAATGTTTTTTTTTTCTATCACAACAGGAAGAGGGGGTTGTGTATACCTGGATTCATTCGAAATACAGTGAATTTCTGTTTTTTGTTTGTTTCCTGGTTTAAAGGTTGATGGCATTTTTTTTTGAAAAAATCGTTTCAAGTTCGTCAGGGCAAAACGGTTTTTCTAACTAATTTCGATAATTATAAACGTTATCGAAACGAAACAAAAAAACTACAAATACCATTGAGGAGATTACCACCATTTACAAAAAAAAAAAAAAATACGTTAATAAAACGTTTATCCCGTTTCAATTAAAAAAAAAAAAATAAACATTGATTTAACGCGCGTTAAACTTTTTTCCATTCATTCTTTTTACACTGAAAATGCATTGTGTTTGTTAATCGTAGGCCAAACGTATATAAATTTGATTTCATCATCATCATTATCATCGTTTTGATGATGATGATCAAAAAGATGATGCAATAATCGGCAAAATCGGCAAAATCGAAAACGAAGATAAACGTAACGAATGACGTAAAAAACTAAACGTTCGAATTGAGCTTGTCTCTTTTCTGGTTATGGTGGCGGTGGTGGTGGTGGTGATATCAACCACCACCAGCCACTGCCGCCCATGCCGCTCACCACCACCACCCACACGGACATAGTGGCAAAATGATAGCAGCATATCGAACAACAATTATACACATACAGTGATTACAGTGGCGCCACATTCCAAAACAGTCATTCAACGAACGAGCAAAAAACGACAAAATTTTTTTCAACAAAAACAGCTAGGTGTCGACACTTGTCTATATATTGTTTCCGTTTAAGCTTCACACACACACATACACTGACTGAGTGGTTTTCTTCTTCTTCTTTTTACTCGCATTCTTTTTACATTTACTTTTGAAAATAAAAAAAATCTCGAGAAAAAAAAAACAGCTCTCATCATCAAAATCATCGTCAAAAGATTGATAATGGCAAATTGATTTTGGTTTTTTGTGTTACAAAAAAAACTGATTTTTTCCACTGTTCTGGATGTTTTAACGTTTTTTTTGTTAACGTTTTATTGATCGAACGAAACGAAAAATCATTCTGATGAAACGCACGTTTTCAAAACGTTTTATTGAAATTTTTTGAAATAAGAATAACGTTTCTTTCGATGATTCAACGACAACAAACAACAACTACCTGCAACTAAATCTGGTCATTTTGTTTTTTCTTTCTTTGTTTTTTCCTCTGTTCAAAACGAATCGTTTTCCCGATGCTAAAAATCGAATCAAACTTCTGATTGATTTTTGATCTGTAAATTTCTCCTCTTATTATTTATTGATCTTTGACAAACCAGAAATGGCATCATCCAATTGATCATTCTTTTGCTGTGTAAATGTAAGTTTTTGGTTTCAGAAAAACATAAAATTCGCCAATTTTTTTGTTTTCTTCTCAGAAACTTTCCTCATCGCCTCAATCCATCAAATCACGTGATACATTTTTTCGAAAAATTTCCGGGAAAGAAAAAAAATGAATGAAAATCCAAGAAATAATCTTCAGATCAATGTGAACGTTCCATCATATCTGTATCGCCATCATCCAGTATCTAATAATGTATCGGCTGGACAACAACTGCAACAACTTTCCGCCGAACATCAACAACAACAACAAATTCAACAACAAGATCAAACATTATTGTTACAATTACAATCACAAGAAAAAAAAGAAGTACCAATCGCTGCCGGTTTAGTTCGTATTATCACTAAATCTGAACATAATTGTTTCAATACAATGATATTGACTAAAAGTGTAATTATTCAATTCAATTCGAATCAAATTCGCTTGGATTTCCTTGTTTTCTAATCTTCACATTGTTTTTTTCCTTCCCCCCTGTTCCCTTCTTCTTGATTTAGCAATTAACAATTGGCCGTGATAATCAATCAGATTTTCAGATAACATCTATAGAAATTTCACGTCGTCATGCAAGAATTGTTTATAAAGATTCATTTTGGTATATAATAAATTTGAATGTAAGTTTGAATGCTTTTTTTCCAATGTTTACCTTTGCTGATTTTTTTAATTTATCTTTTTCTTTCCCTTCATTTAGAGCACAAATGGTGTATTTGTAAATGGTATAAAAGTTTGTCGACCAATACGTTTAATTGATAATTGTTTAGTAACATTTGGTCCATTATCAAATTCAACATTTCGTTATGTGTTTGTTGAAAATTATGAACAATTTATGTTGATGCAAAAAAATTCAACAACAATATTGTCAACAAAATTACAACAAAAACAGCAACAATCATCCGCACCTGTTCAATTATCATTTTTATTGGGTGGTATTGATATTACAAGTCTATCAACACAGCCACGTAATGATAATGATGATTTAAATTGTAAAAATAATAATAAGGATGATGATATTGAATCAAAACGTAACGGTGTTCAACAATCAATTCAATCATTTAAAACACAATTAACAAATGGTAAACTGGAATTGAATCGTATAAGAAAACGTTTATTATCAGAAATTAAATATAAAAAATATCAATTGGATATAATGACGGCAAGATTAACAACAATCGATAGACAAATAATACAGAAAAGTGAATCATTAAAATTACCGGATTCATTGAAAACTGGTTTTTTGAATGAAATATCCTGTTCAATTTGTTTGGATATAATGAATGAACCAACATTATTGAATTGTGAACATACATTTTGTTTTAATTGTATTGATAATTGGAAACAACGTGGTAAACAACATTGTCCAATTTGTCGTAAGAAATTCTTTCGGATGACAAAATCAATACAATTTGAATCATTAATTCGTTATATATTGGAACATTATCTTACGGAAGAAGAATTGAAAGAAAGAAAACAAACACTGGAATCACGTATTAATGAATTTACTAATAATGAAAATAATGATGATGATGATTCTTATTTGGAAATTAATGAAATATTAGAAGGTTTGGATTTAACATTACGTGATACATTGGTTACATTTTTAAATTTTGCCGATTTTCAACGACAACCAACAAATAATAATAATAATGATTCGAATAATGAAATTCTTATTGAAAGTGATGATGAAATATCATTACTTGGACATGGTAATCATAATGATAATGTTGAAAACTTGGGTGTTATCTATGAAGATGAAAATGAAGGTGAAGATGATGATGATGGTGAAGATGATGATGATGGTGAAGATGAAGAAACAACAAATGATGGTAATCTTTATATCTATGTTGATGATGATGATGAAGAAGATAATGATGATGGTGATGATGATAATGATGAATCATTTGATGAAGTTGATAATAATTTACCATCATTAACACCAGCAACAGCAGCAGCACCAGTGGCAGCAACAAATCAAATGACATCATCAATTAGTTTTCAACAATTTTTGAATGGTTTATTCAATAATAATGATAATAATGATGGAAATTTTCATGATACTAGTGATGATGATGATGATAACGATGATGATGTTAATGATAACGATGATAATCAACAAGAAGAAGAAGATAATGGCAATGATGATTCAATGGACATTGATCAATCAATCATTATTCTTGATGATGATGATGATGAAAATAGTGATGATGTTCATGATTTAAGTATTACTGGTAGAATTCGTGCAAGATATGAAGAAATTAATCGACAACGACAAGCTATTGCTGCTGCTGCTTCTACTGCTTCTGCTGTTGGAAGTAGAAATATTCATACTAATCGTATTCGTAATCGTCGTCCTATTGGTATTGGACATCATCAAAGTAATAATAATAATAATAATGGACAACGATGGAATATACGACCAATTCGTGATCGTTTAACTTATAATTTTCAAATTCGACCAAGATTTCGTCATGTTCGTAATAATACAAATATTCGTAATATTAATATTAATCATAATACAAATAATGCAAATAATACCAGTCGATCAGATGAATCAATGCCTTTGGCTTAGAATTAACAATTTATTATTCATCATCATTATCCAATCAATCAAAGAAAATAAATCAACCAAGTAACCAAACTTGATATAATTGTGATCAAAATTCAAGTTTTTACATATTTCCTTTGTATTTTTACCCTCCTTCTTAATCTCCAACGAAAAAAATGGCTAATTACAATGGCAGTTGACTAATTCTTCAAATTTCCTTGGTTTGAACTGTCCACGATGGCCATTTATAAAAAAAAATGAAACAAAAACAAATCCTCGAATATGATTATGGCAAAAGAAAACATTTGATCACATTCTACTACCGACCAAAACAACTACCACACACCAAACATACTTTCAAATTTAATTTAATTTCGTTGACAAACAAACAAAAATCTCCAAAATCAACCATATTTCCATTTTTTAATAACACGAAGATGCTCAAACAAAAACACCTTGGCTAAAAAAAATAATCGACAATTTTCTTTTCTTGATTAATTACACACACACATTATTCACCAAAAACTATCCAATATTTTTTTTCCCACTAAAAGATTCGAATGTTTTGTGTTTTGCCGATCGCCAGTCTCTTTGATGATTTGTTTTTTAATAATAATAATAACTGAAAATTTTTGTTGATTTTTTTTTCATTCACTTTCTTCAATTACCATCATTCATTTCTAATAACCATAATGTTTTTGTATTTTTGAATTTACAAATTCAAATGGATGTCATTTTTTTTAAATTTTTTTAATTTTCACAAATAAAAAATTCAATTTTTTTAATTGAAAAAAAACTTTTACAATTTTAATTATCACTCTAAGAGAGAGAGAGAGAGAGAGAGAGAGAGAGATGGGAAAATTTGAAAAACAAATTGAAAAGTAGACTCGAATTTCATATATATTGGACATTTGAAATGTTTGGTTGGTTGGTTAGTTAGTTCATCAAGGATCATTTATCTTTCTTGGATTCGGAATCCGCATCTTCATCATCGACTTTATTGGTATCACCACCGGATTGAACATTACCATTTTGTTCGATAGCTTCGGATATTGTTGGTTGTTGTAGTTGCTGTTGTGGTTGCTGCTGTTGTTGTTCAGATTGAGCCAATTCTTCACCACTAACACCAAATTCATTAATACGACTTTGATCAACACGATAAATCCATCGTTGATAAACATATATAAGAAATATAATATCATCACGAAAACAACCTAAACGATACATTGTTGGCATTTTTATAACAAATGCAAATATATCATCAATAAATGTATTTAAAAATTTATATGTTAACATTCGCCATGGTAGATGAGCAACGGATTTTAGTTTATAATTTATAAACAATTGTGGTGTCATCATTATAAAACCTTAAACAAAACAAACATTAAAAAAATTATAAATTTCAAAACATTTCAAAAATCCATTATTTACCGAATGTAAGTAAAAATCCATAAATCATATTCAATACAAATGAATACCATCCTTTATGTTCATTATAGATTAATGAATAAATAACATAACCAACAAATAATGGAAACAGAATCCATGATAGATATTTGAATGCAAGCTATTTTAAATGGAAAATATCATCAATTAGTTAACATAAACAACCATTCCACTTACCATATCATATTGTTTGGTTGATGATTCAACATAAGATCCTTTATCCGTAATACGATATTTAGGTATTAGACCAAAATATTTTTCCTCACCAACCCTTTCAAAATCTACAACTTTTTTTATCTTCCACAGTTCAATAACTAGACCGATCAAAACGCTAATACGAATCATAAAATTTGTATCATTATCGCATACATAAAGTAATACGATTAATGATTGAAATACATTGAAGAATACGGAACGAACTGAAAGACCTTCCAATGAACGACGATTACGCCAAAATTGTATATCTAAAAAACAACAAACAACAAAATGATTAATGGATGATCATCATAGAATCGAAAAAACCTTACCATTTTTGAATGCAAGAAATTCAAATATTGAATGTGTTATTGAAACAATAACAGTTAAACCAAGTAATATTGGTGATGTTTCTAGGAAAGTTTCTTTCAATATATCTTGTTCATCATCATCTTGTTCATTAGTATCATGTCCCATAATGGATGTCCATTTATTACGCATAGATTGTGCTGTATACATTTGCCATTTAAATAATGATAATGGTTGATATGTAAATCGGAAAGTAATATTGGTGACTGTTTCATTAATCGGTTGATAATCACGCATTAAATTCCAATAATCATTTAGATAAATAATTGGATAATATTTTCCACTTATCGGTTCAAATTCAATATATTCTTGTAATGGTGCCGGTACTTGGCCACGTGTCCACGGTGTATGATCATCAATAACATTAATGGTAAGATTTGGATGCCAATGCGATAGGATTTCATGACGAATATTTTGTTTAATTTTAGCTTTTTCCTCTTCAGTTGCGGCAGTTTGTCCGGTCAATAGATTGTGCGTTTTTTTATATGAACGTTTTTTATAACGATTTAGTTGTTTAGTTTTTTGTATAGTATACATTGGATTATAATTTTTTTTATCCTGTGGATTTGGATTTGCACCATTCGGTACAATAAATATATGCAACCATAATGTACCATTATTTTGAACATTTTTCGATAATTTTACATTGACTTCTTCGAAATATTCACCATTACCGGTAGGACCACCGGTCCAATCACCATAAATAATATCCGATTTAAACCAAACTAATTGACTAGAATCATCAAAATCCGGACCATATCGATCTTCATTAATATATAGGAAAAGATCCATATGTGTACCATTTGGATAAAGATTTGAACCAATTATGGGTAAATTATCATTACCATTAATTGAATCGGTTGTTGTTGGTGTTTTTGTTGGTGATTTACGAAACATTGACATAATAAAATAGAAAAATAATGCACGCATTACTAAATTTTTAATCGTTGACCATGTTTGTGGTTGTTGTTGCTGTTGTTGTTGTTGTTGATCTGAAATTTAATATTCGAAATATTCGAATCAAAATCCAAAATCCCAAAATCCAAAATTCAAACTTACCATTATTTCCGACTAACGGTGGTTCAATAGCACCGGATGCTTGAATAACATCAGAATCGGACATATTCTTTTGAAAACAAATTCGGAATTGGAATTAAGGAAATGAAAAATTGTTGACTGAAATTTGAGTAGCAAACAAAAGAAGCAAAGAAGAAGAAGAAAGTTTTTACTTTTTATTTACACACATATTATATATTTTTTAAATAATAAAACCGAAAAACCAAACTACTTTCAATCAATCGATCATTTGTAAATTGTGTTTTGGAAAAATCAAATTTTTTATAAATTCTTTTATAAAAAAAATTATTTAATTAAAATTTAAAAAGAATTTTTTTCCACTTTCAATTTTCAATCAAAACATGCGATCGATTGAATTCTAAAATTTTTTTTGCGGTGTAATTGTGTGGGTGGGTGTGTTTCATTTTTTAATTGAGCCCTTTGAATAACGATGTAGTCACAATGTTATGTTTTGTTTTCTTCCGTCCATTCATTTTGCCGAAAAACGTACTAGTATTGTTGTATATGGTACAATTGTGACTTTGGCCATGATTAAATGAAATTGGAATGAATTGTTGTTTTCTTGGAAACTTTTTCTTTTGATTTCATCAATCTTCAATTCGATTTCCTGTAAATTTGCTCTCTCTCTCTTGACGCATGCACACGTTCATATTATCCCTTTGAAGCGAAATTTAAGCGGAACAATGTGTTTTAAGGTAACTTTTTTTCCAACACATTTCTATGCAAGCTTCGAGTCCTAACACATTTTGCTGCTGCTGACAACAACACTTCTATGCTCCATTCGTGTGTTTATATAATGTTGATGGTGATGATGAAATTGTTTTCAGAAACAAAAATCTTTTCCAACGGTCAACAAGAGAAAAAGAAAACCATTTTCATCGAAAAGAAAATCAAAACAAACATGGTTGAATATTGAAAACCAAGGATTTTTTTTTTGGTTGGTTTGGATTCCTATCAAGTTCTGTGATTTTTCTGTTTCTTTTGTTGTCGACCAAGATAATTGATTTATGTTTTAAAAGAAGAAAATGCCACGACCATATCCATCAGAAATTCGTACAAAATTAAAATATCAATTAGAAAATGAAACAGATCGTCGTAAACGTTTGGATCATAAAAATAAATTGACCAAATTAAGAAGGCAAAGATTGAAAATACTTCGAAATCTGAACAGAATCGAACAACAACAACAAAAACCACAAAAACAGCAGCAAATATCAACCAATGTGGCTGAAACAACCAATGTGGCTGAAGCCAACGACGTCGAATCATTTGCGGTTGATAATAATGGCGAAGATGAATCTATTCAATCAAAACAATCGAATGAAAGTGAAACTTTACGTCGTATGCGTTTGGATCGACGAAATGAATTGGCCAGATTGAGAAGAAAACGTAAAAAAGAACGTCAAGAACAACAATCGATTAAAAATGAACGTCGTATGCGTATGGATCGACGAAATGAATTGGCCAGATTAAGACGGAAAAGAAAAAAAGAAATTGAACAAGGAATCGATATCGAACAACAACAACAACAATCTATTGAAACTATACGTCGAATGCGTATGGATCGACGAAATGAATTGGCCAGATTGAGAAGAAAACGGAAAAATGAACTTCAACAACAACAATCTATTAACAATGAATTGGTCAGATTAAAACGGAAAAAATTGAAAGAAATTGAACAAGGAAACGATATCGACCAACAACAACAACAACAACAAACTATTGAAAATAAACGTCGAATGCGTTTGGATCGACGAAATGAATTGGCCAGATTAAGACGGAAAAAAGAGAAAGAACGTAAATTACTTGAATACCAACAACGCCAACAACAGAATCAAGAATCAGCAGCTACAGCAGATGATGATAATGAACAATCTTTTGCTTTAGCTGAAAACGACCATAATGATGATGATGATAACGATGACAAATCAAATATGGCTGAATTTACTTATAATTGTTCTCTTCCAGAATTTCTGGAAACTATTCTTGATCAAGGTATTGATTGATTGAAAAACACAAATGTTTATTTTCTATTATTATTATTATTTTGATTATATTTCCAATGAAAATGATGATGATGAATGAATGAATAAAACAAACAGAAAACAGAACCGAAATGTATAAACATCAACATTGGAAAGGGTTTTTCTCTCTTAATTATAACGTAATTGTTTGAATTGTGTATTATCATTTGTTAATACACGACTTGGATCTTGTAAAATAAGCCTAGCTTCAGATTGTGGTACACGAGCACTTGCTTGTAATGTTCGGGTTTCGGAATATTGATTTCCATTTGGTGAAATCTTTTTTTTTAAATAAAAAAAAATGGAAAGGGATTGAGTTTTTTGTTCGAAAATATTTTCAACATTGGACTTACATATTGACTTTCACGTTGCAAAGTTACATCAACACGAGTTGTTCGTGGTTGATGATAATTACCACGGCCACCACCACCACCACCACCGCCGCCGCCACCACGTCGACCACCACCTCCTCCTCCACCATTATTTCGATAATTAGGCATTGTTTATTTTCTTAATCCGATTTCAAATCGCAGTGGCCAAATCAATCCAACTTATAAACGATTTACAAAATGATGATCACTCAGTAAAAATGGAAAACCAAATGGAAAATGTCACTCTATTTATATAGGTATCAATGGCAAAAACAACCCCACTTATGACAATGACAAAATTTCGATTTTTTGTTATCAAAAAAAAAAGAAAAATTTTAGAAAAAAAAAATTTAGAAAAAAAAGTCGAAAATCGAAAAACGCTGCCACGTCATGTTTGGAACGTTTTTTGTTCGAATGTTTTTTTTTTTTTTTTTTTTTGGTTGTTCGAAATGATTTTATTGTTCGAATTTTTTTTTATTGGTAATTTTAAAATTTTAAAAATTTTAAAAAAAATTTAAAAATTGATTAAAAATTTTTGTAGAAAAAAATTTTGTAATTATTTTTTGTTATCATCAGCAGCAGAAGCGACAAACATTTCAATAGCCATTTGTTTAAGATCCAATTTTCTTATTTTACCTGTAGGTGTACGTGGAAAATCTTCAACAAAATGTATATGTTTTGGTACTTTAAAATGGCTCATCTGGATTTTTATGAAAGGAAAATGGAAAATTAAAAATCAAAAGTAAAAAATCAAAAATCAAAAGTAAAAAATCAAAAAGTAAAACAAACCTTTGTACGAAGAAAATCTTTCAATGATTTTTCATCATATTTTGTTTCCTTTTTCGAACGTAATTTGATGAATGCAACCATTTCTTCACCAAGACGATTATCCGGTATTCCAATCACCTATTTTGATTCAATAAAAAAAAACATTGACACCAACCATTCGATCGATCATAACAAAACTTACATGAACATCTTCAATCGAATCATTTGTTAATTCCATAATTAATTCTTCAACTTCTTTTGGATAAATATTTTCACCACCACGAATAATCATTTCTTTAATTCGGCCATTAATATGAAGATAACCATCGCTGTCCAGATATCCAACATCACCAGTATGATACCAAAAATTCTTATCAATAACTTCATTAGTTTTATCTGGTTGATTAATATAACCGGGGAAAGTACCATGTGAACGAACCAAAATTTCACCATGTTCACATCGTGGTACTGAACGTTTTGTTTTAATATCCACTACTTTTATTTCAACATATGGTATTGGTTTTCCAACGGAATTGATTTTATGCTGATCATTATCATTGATTCTTGTACAAGTTGCAACCGGTCCTGTTTCAGTCGAACCATATGGAATCTTTGATGGGTGAAAAAATTTGATGAATTTCATCAATCAGGTTAGGAAAAACTCACCAAAATATGTTCCAATGAAGGTAATGTTTCATGAATTTTACGTAATAAATTCGGTGGACAAGGTGCACCGGACATAATACCACGTTTCAATGTTTTTAAATTATCCGGATTAAATTTCGAATGTTGTAATAAATCTGACCACATTGTTGGTGTACCATAAAGATAATTACAACCAAATTTCTCAATTGATTTCAAAGTTGAATCAACATTGAATATCGGACCGGGTAATATGATTGTACCTTGTACAAATATTGAAGCAACAGTACCAACAACACAACCAAATGCATGATATAATGGATTTGGTATACAAATTTTTGGTTGTTCGGAAAATTTTTCAAACAAAATCGGTGCTATAAATTGTCCATTTTGTACAATATTAAAATGTGTTAACATTGAACCTTTTGGTAGACCGGTTGTGCCGGATGTAAATTGTACATTGATTACATCATCAAATTCGGTTTCATCTTCGTTGACTGATGATTGTTGTTGTTGTTGTGGTTGTTTTGTTGTTGACATTAATTGCGAAAAACGACAAACATTCGACGGAATTATTTCTTCTTCATCAATTTGATCGATAACGATTAGATTTTTCAATTGTGGTAATCTGGAAGGGGGAAAAAATGATTAGCAAATTTCAATGAAAATCAATTCAGTAAAACTCAACTGATCGGAATGAACATTGGCCGAACCATTTTGAGCAGTGGAAAAAATACCCGGCGCAATATTTTCCATTATTTTACCATAATTTGATGAACGAAATTTTTGATTCATAATCAATGTTTCAATACCAACCAAACGAAATGCATTTAATAATTCATGTTCTTTGTAAGCGGGATTTATGGCAACCATTATTGAACCTAATTTTGCTGTAGCAAATTGTACCAATAACCATTCATAACAATTTACTGCCCATAAACCAACCACTGAACCTAATCCACAACCAATCGAACGTAATGATTCAGCCAAACGATCAACCTAAGGTCGAAACAGGTGAACAGAAAGAGGTAAATTAATGATTTTGATTTGAAATGAAAAAAAAACTTACATCCTCATCGAATTGTTGATAAGTTTTTTCAATATTTTGATGTTCAACAATAAAACCAATATGATTTGGATCAACAATTTTAACTGTTCTTTTTAATAATTGTCCAATTGTTAATGGACTGAATATCTGTGAATTTGTTGATGGTGGTTGTCCATGTACATAACTTTTGTTTGGATCATTTAAATCATTCAATATTCCTGATACGATATATCGATATTGTTGTTGTTGTTGTTGTCGATGTCCAAATAAATTGATCACATGATTCGATCTACGATAATGATTGGCCAGATAATTATGGCCATTTTTAGCCAAATTATTGATGAATTTCAGCATGATTTTCCCCCACAACAAAATACAAATGCACTGTACAATTTTTTTTCTAGTTTAAATAAATCATCGATTTGACTGATTATTCGAATCAATCAATCAATCACGCTAATCATCAATATCGTTAGTAATTCAATATTTATCGTGATAAGCGTTATGTGTACTTTTGATGTTTGTTAATTTCTTTAGAAATAGGCTTTGTTTGATAAAGTTTTTCGTTTGCATCAATTTGAATTTATCATTTTCTTTTTTGAGTAAAAAAACAAAATTTTTTTGGTCAGATGCGTATCGTCAGTTTAGTATCGCAGGCGAATCGAATGTTTGAAAACGATTCGAAAAACGTCCACCACACGAGTTATAATGGCAATCATAATATTTATGGCAAATGATTTTGTTGGACCACAAAATGCATGTATTGGTTTAGCACAATCATTACGTCAACATGGTCATCGAACGTATTTTTGTTTACGAAAAGAATTTTTCCCCAGATTTTTATCCAATGGTTTTGATGAACAAGATTTATTGGAATTGAAATTGGCAACGTCAACAACAACGGCGGCTCAGAATAATGACAACAAAAAAAGTCTTGAATATTTGATTGAAAAAATTCGTGAATTTGGTTTTGTAACTGATTTAACACCATTGGAAAAAGTAAGGCGAATCAAACAAGTAAATCTGGTTAGAACAACATTCGAAGAACCGCTTGAACAATTGGATGGACAATTGAAAAATTATCTGGAACAAATCCATCCGGATTTAATTATCTATGATGGTGAAGTTATTCCACCGGCGATTCTTTATTGGCCAAATTGTCCATGGATTTATCTATTCTGTAGTAATCCAATCGGGTTATTTGATTCAGATCGTTTGCCACCATTTCTATCTGATTTTCATACATTGAAAAATGTCAACCACGATGGCGATGATCAGCAACCAAAATGTTGGCAAGAATTTCGTTCAATATTGGATGAATGTTATTATAGTTTAGTACGACAAGCACAATCCAGATTATGTCGAAAATTATCATATCCAGATCCCAATGATAATGGATGGATGAAAAAATATCGATTTTTTATTCAATCACCATATCTAAATCTTTATCAATATCCTCGAGAATTAGATTATATCGATTGTATCGATATATCGATCGAACGTTATTATCGTGTTGATTCATTTTGTCGTCATTCGAAATTTTTCAATGATGATAATGACAGCGAACAACAACAATTATTATTGGAAAAGATAATCAAAAAACAACAACAAAATGGTTCGGGTAAATTAATCTATTTATCATTAGGTTCAATGGGTTCTTGTAACCTCGATCTAATGCAACGTTTAATTGGGATTTTATCGAAAACCAAACATACTTATCTAATATCAACTGGTATGGTTAATGATCAATTAAAACTTGATTCAAATATGTTTGGACAATCATATCTACCACAAATTTGGTTATTTTCTAAACTGAATATTGATTTAGCCATTATACATGGTGGTAATAATTCATTATGTGAAACATTCGAATATGGTATACCATGTTTAATAATGCCATTATTTTATGATCAATTTCTGAATGCACGTCGTGTGGAAGAAAAACAACTTGGCCGATCAATTGATCCATTCAATTTTGATGATAATCAACTTATCAATTTGATCGATCAAATGCTCAATGATGATCGATTAAACAAGAAAATGAAAATTATTAGTCAAAGAATTCAACAAGAAGATAGTAAATCTAAATGTTGTAAACGTTTGGAAGAAATTATCGAACGATTCAAACAAAACAACAGCAACAACAAAAAATCAATTGTCTAACCTTCGAAACGAATCGAATCGATTGATTTTTTTTTATTTCTTTGGAAAATAATGTACAAAATTTATGTACCTGAAATTTGATGATTTAAAACTAGAATTACAATAACCAAATACATTCAACAAAAAATATTAACAAACAAACAAATATTAAACATAGATATAGATAAAAGAAAATGGTTAATTGTTCCAAACTTAATGTTTGAATACGACGATTATGATAATATTCATTTGTATATGTTTCACCTGTTATTTCATAAGATTTTTCTTTTTCTTCTATTTCAGAATTTTCAGTACTATTATTATTATTATCCAATGAAACTGAATCAACAATCGATTGACTTATGGATTTGTTTTGCAGAAATTCTCTTTCCAACCATAATTGATATAAACCAGCATTGAATAAACGTGAATTAATTTTATCAAATTCTCTTGCTAATGGAAATGATTTTCGTAATAATATTACATTTAATGTTTTGATTAATGATGAATGATCATTATTTGATTTCGGTAGATATAAACGATGTCGACCATATATCATTTGTAAATGTTTCAGCATTGTATATTGTTGAATGAATGCATATCGTTGATTATGATGATCATTACCATTATCATTTTCCATACTTGCATTCAATATCATTTCAGCTGCCCAAAGTTGATATTGTACAACTTGTAAATGTTTATTTAGAATGGTCATCAATGATCGTTGACTTGTTTGAATTTCAATCATTGATGCTGTACCATTTTCAACCAATACTATTATACGATTTTGATTACATTGTTCAACCAATTCATCGATTGTATCGATATTATTATGATGTGGTATTGTCATTATTGAAAATAAACAACCACCATATGCACTACTTAATATCATAACGATAAACATCCAAATTGATAATATTAATAAACGATCATTTGTTTCATATGGTTCACGAAACCATAAATGATGTACTGGTTGACGAAATAAAACCTGTATCTGTATCCAGAATAAATTAAAATTCTTTGAATTTGATTTTTTAAAACATTGACCAAAACGACCCAATAAAAAGAATAGAATAAGTGAACCAAAAACACCTAACCATATGAATGAATCAAATGGTTCGAATAATTGCCCGGGATTTGGTTGATGATATTCTGGTACAGCAGTCATTATTGATGTTTGTTCCACTAGATATGGATAAAGATGTTCAACATTTTTTGATCTTTCATATGTTAATGTCCAACCACCGATACCAATATCGATTGTCTAATTTAAGGAATTTGGTCAACAAAATTTTTCATTAGTTTTTGATTATTATCACTAATCACTATCACCTTATTATCATTCAAACTAAGACGTATTGATGGATCAATAGTATTATGATCAAAATCATTCATAAGTAATTCATATTGATTATGCATATAAATAAATTCATAGGTAAAATTATATTTACGACTTAATACATTGATCAAATGATAATCAGCACCACCACGAACAATCCAAATATCATTTTGTTTATTTTCAAGATGTGGCCGAACGAATGGTGGATGCTAGAAAGTTTAAGAAAGAGAGAAAGGAAAAAGAAAAGAAAATACATTAATTTGATTAAATTCATTTTTTGAACATTACATTTGTATATCCAACTAGAAAATGTTGCATGATGATGTTTGATCATTGAATTATAACAAACGACTATTGTTCAAATGAATCGTCTTTTTCTTTTTTTGGTTTGTTGATAATGTACATTTTTTGTCTTATGAACGAATCGATTCCAAAGAGAAAAAATTGATTGGCCCAATATACAGAATAATAATAATAGATTTTGAAAGAAGAAGAAGAAAAAAAAAGACAATAATAATAATTATTGTCTAGTGGTGGTATATGAAAACCATAAAAATTCTAAAATTATAACCATTATGTCAATGAATAATGCCATTAAATATAAATGAAAACAAATCATTATCTGTGATAATGTTAGACTATGGAAATTATTATTATTTTGATGATCGACATTTTGATTATTTTGATTACTATTAATATTACTACTGCTGCCATCTTCATCATCATCATCAGAAGTTGATAGTTGATTATCATCATAATAATTATTTGTTGAAAATTTTTCCGATAAAGAAGAATCAATTTTAGCATAACGATATTCATTTGTTAACCATGTTTGATAAATTCCCGAACTAAATAAATAAAATGTAATACGATTAAATTGTTTTATATATGGAAATTTTCGTTTCAAAAGAAAACAAGTAAGACCCATATAAATTGATGATGATCTTTTACTGTTATATTTAGATAAATATAAACGATCACCATAATTTTTATGAATTATTTTTAACATTGTACGATGCTGTATGAATGCATATTTTTGATTATTTGTTGATTCATATTGTTGTTGTTGTTGTTGTTGTAATAACAAATCAATAGCTTCGTTTTGATGATTAACAATTTTTAGATGAGCAACAATTGGTGCAAATAATGTATCGTTGGCCATCGTCTGATGAATGATAATGAAATATAAATTTGAATAATGAAAATCATTAAAATTAAATCATCCAAAAAATCAAAAATTGTTACCTTTACAATTTTCATTGCACTAGTATTATTTTCGATCAAAACAATCATATTATTTTGTCGACAATGTTGTGATAATCGTCGTAATGAATTAATATGACGAACACGTGGTATACTAATCATTGATAATAGATAATCAGCATAAAATGTTGTTAATAAAAATGTAACAAATATCCATATAATTGAAACAATGGTTAATGAACGTGATTGTTCCTGTTTCAATCGATTCAATACATTTTGTCGAAATAGAATATAAAACCAAATGGAACATGAATCAAGAATTGAACGTTGTTTTGAATCATTATTTGGATTTGGATTCAAATATGATATGATTATAGCAAATATGGGTAAACAAATTAAACAAATTATAATAGCCAACCAAATTGAATTATCAAATTGATTAAGTAATTGATCGGCATTATATTTTGATTTCGTTGATATTTGTGTCATAATTGATGTTTGATCAATAAAATATGGATAAACATAATCATATAATTGAAAACGTTCATAATTCAGATGAAAACCACCGATTATAATATCAACTAGATTTTGATTTTGAGCTAAATGTTTATGCCAATTTTCTGTCAAATATATCATACGACAGGTAAAATTTAATTGTCGACTTAATTCATTTATATGAAAAAAATCAGCACCTTTTGCCATATGAATACCGTATTCATCGAGACCAACAAACGGTGGATGCTGTTCGAAGAAACAAAGGAAGAAAAAAAATTGATTAATCAATTTATACAACCGAAAAAAACAAAGCAAAAAACTTACATTTGTATAACCAACACTCAATTCAATGTTGGCCAAATTATTCATGGTGCCCATTACCTTGTTGTTCATTGAATGTTTCTGTCATTTTTTTTTCATTTTGTTTTGTTTCGGAAACAAATCAATCAAACAAACAAATGGAATACCAAAGTGGATCACAAGATCTGAAGTTTTGTTTTTTGTTTGTTGTCGGTGAATCAATCGATTTGTCAATCAATGTTATCAATTTTTTTTCGATCACGGTAATTATCTTGTCTAATACCGCCCATTCGCATATATAAAAGATTTGAAGATTGTAAAAGTAACAATTAATTTCAATAAAGAATTTTTATTATTATTCATTCAATTCGGATGACATTTATTTGATTTAGTTAAAATCAATTCAAAATAAATCAATTCAATCAGAAAAATTGAAATTGAAATAAAAATTGATGAAAAATATAAATAAAATATAATGATAACATGTGAAAATGCAATACTTTCAAATTGATCATTTGAATTTGAATTCGAATTCGAATGCTTCGATGATGATGATGATGAAAAAATTTTATCGATACTATCGATTGTTTTCGAATTTTGTTGTTGTTGTTGATGAAATGGATTTCTTGTAAAATATTTCATTTGTTCATAACGATATTCATCATCTAACCAAAGTTGATAAAAACCTGAACTAAATAAACGTATCGATAATTGATTAAATTGTTCAATATATGGCCATGATAATCGTAATATCATACAGGAAAGACCCATATAAACGGAACTTTTTTTCTTTGATTCAGCTAAATATAATCGTTCAGAACCGAAACGAAATTGTATTATTTTTAACATTGTACGATGTTGTATGAATGCATATTGTTGTTTACTATCTATATTTTCATCCAATATCAATGAAAATGCTTCCGACTGATGATCAATTGGTTGAATTCGTTTATAAATATCATTAAAAATTGGTCGATCTTTGAGTTTCTATTTTGATCCAAACAAAAAATTCATTCGGTTAAAATAGATCGGAAATCATGTTATATGTGAACAGGACAAACCTCAATTATTCTCATCGATGTTGTATTACGTTCGATTAAAACCGTTATGGTATTGCTACGACAATGACGAGCTAATTCTTCTAATGAATCAATAATATTCATTTTTGGTATCGATATTAATGATAATAAACAACCAGCATATGAACTTGTTATTATAAATGCAAATAATAACCAAATATTTGTTATTAATAATGATGATGAACGTAAGTAATGTAAATTTTTAACCGGTTGTCGTAATAATATTTGTATCCAAATCCAAGGTAAATCATTGATGGACGACGACGACGATGTTGATGATGATGATGATGATATTCGTCGATGACCATTGCCATTATTGTTATTATCAACAACCAATAAAACCGATGATAATCGATCAAAAACGACAATGAAACCGAATAAAAAACAAATCATCAACCATATATATTGATCGAATGGTTCGAAAAATTGTTCGGCTTGATGATAAATACGTTCCGGTTGACGAGTCATTATTGTTGTATGATCAATAAAATATGGATATGAATAACTAAAATGTTTTGAACGTTCTTCAGTCAAATGAAAACCACCAATCATAATATCCAAGCTGATATTTTTATTATAACCACGATTTAAACCATTTAATAATTTTTGATGATATGTTTCACCTTGTAAATGAATGAAATTCATTGTAAAATTATAATATTTGGAAAGTTCTTGTAGTAATAACATATCGGCACCATATTTTAATTGTAATTGATTGGTTTTGTGATTAATTTTTGTATATGGTGGATGCTGTGTGATGGAAAGAAAAAAGTAAGAAAATTTTTTAATTTTTTAAATTTTTTAAGATTTTTAAAATTTTGAATTTTTTGTTAAATTTTTTTCAAATCAAAAAAAAACTAGAAACTTTATCATTACAATCGTATAGCCAATCTGAAATGTTTGACCATTCAAATCAAGATTTAGATCAATCGGTTGGTTATTATTGTTCATTTTTTATCGTTGTTGTTGTTGTTTGTTTGTTTGTTGTTTTAGTCGTTATTTCAAACAAAGACTGTATCGAAGATTTGTGAAATGAAAAATCAATGTCAACAAAAAAAGAAAAAAATAAAAATAATCAACAAGAATCAAAAAATCAGAAACCAGAAACCAAGAAAGAAATCAATGATATCGATTTATCAATCATTTTGTCTGGGCTCAAAAAAACGAATTATTTATTTTCTTTTTTTATTATAAGGATAAGGTAATAATGTATCCCGAATTTTTTTTCTGGTTTGTTTTGGAAATTAATTCCTTGAATTGTCGAAACACCCTGTAATAATCATCATCAACATTATCATCAACGTCAACAACGTCAATATTGTAAATTGAAGAAAAAAATCTTTTTTCTTTTCTGCCAATCAATCAATTGATTGATTGATTGATTGAATAATCAACTACTGTATGATTTCAAGAATTTTACAGAATTTTTATCCCCGTGCAATTTTCAATTTTTTTTGCATATGTGAATTCTATATAAACAAAATGACTGGATCTAGTGGCAAAGAATATTGTTATCCGAGAACCACCAAAAGAATACAGCCGACAATGATAGAATGGAATCAAGCATAGAAAAACAAGAAGAAGAATGTTCCACATATCAAACGAATCAAACTATACGAAATGAACAAAAACATCCAATATGCTTTCAAATATACAGAAGAAGAAAATGAAAAAACTAATGAGAATGTTGCCAAAACAACAACATATACAGTTTAGAAATATAGCATCCGAATCGAGTCATCATCATCATCATGTTGTTGTTGTTGTTGACATTCATGTGTATTGTTAATGTTGTTTTGCTGGTTTAATTGACCAGAATTTATGGTGAGGCGTTGCCGTTATATGTTGATGATGATCATCAACTTAATCTTCAATTGATTCGACGCCATTTATTCATACTGAAGCAGCAAAAAAAAAAACTCTTGTCATTTTTTTCCCATTGGCAAGATTGATGGACTCTTCAAAATTTTGTTTGGTTTCGGAAACCTTTGCTCGTAAAGGAAAAACTCAACTTTTTTTTTGTTTTGTTTATGAATTTCGCTTGTGGTTAGCTGTCTCTCTCTCTCTCTCTCTCTCTCGCGAGTTATGCGGGTGTAACCAATCAACCAACCAACCATCAACTGATCAACTAGCCAACCATTCAACTTGATCACCGAATCGAAACAGAAGAAAAACAAAACAGTAAACATTCTTAAAAACTACTACTGCACTACGGCAACTGATAAAACATCATTTTTTTCTGTTTTTTTGTTATTTTAAACTATCGAAACATCATTCATTGAATCAGAAAAAAAAGATTCATTCCATTCGGGTGTTGATTAATGGAATGGAATTGTGGAATGAAATTGTTGTTTTGAGGATCATCGATCAATTTCAATGAGAAGAAAAAAACCAAGGTTATCAACCAAACCAAGCATCTCTAAAGAAGAAGAAAATCTACTCTTTTTTTTTTACCTTGGTGACATTTCAAACTAACAAAATTCCAATGTGTTTTTTTCAAAATACAACAAGTTTTGGCCAACTAAACCAACTGCTATAACTGGATTTTTTTTTCTTCTCTCGTTTGTTGTTGTTGTTTTGTGATACACACATGGTGACACTATCAACTCACAACGCAGGTATACCTTTTCTTTTTTTGTTGTTTTTGATAAGGTAAGGTAAATCGGTCAAATATACAAGACTTTTTTGTTTGTTTGTTTGTTTGTTGGATAGCAAACCAAGCAAAATGAAAAGAAAAGAGATATGTCCACATTGATATCTCTCTGCATATATGCAAGTCTAAATTATGATGATCAACAATATATCAGACACGGTGGCAGATGTTTTTTTGCAAAATGTTTATATGTGTTTGTGTGTGTTTTGTTTGTCTGTTCCAAAACTCTCTTTCTCTCTCTATGTTAACTTAACTTAACTTGAACTTAAACTCTCTCAATAAAACAAACGAACGAAATGGCTCAACGTTTAAGAGAGTGAATTGAATCCCGTTCATCATCATTGTTTTTTGTTTCGAATGTTTATGTTTCCTTCTTTCACACGCAAACACACAGAAGTTGAATGATTTTTTTCCTGTTACTGTTGAAATAACACAATAATATCTGCTGCTACTGAAAAAAAAATCTTCGAATCCAAAACTTTAATTAAAGAAATATATGTTACCTGGTGAAAAACTAATTTATTTGATTGCATGAATTGAATGTAGATGTTGTTTGCTTGCGGGGAATTTTTTATCTTGTGAAATATTCAACCAAGAAGAATAATAAGAAGAAGAAAATATGCGCCTGACTCATCATCAGGTATCATTTCATCAATTTTACCTGTTGTTTAATTAAGAGTTTAGTTGACTAGTCAAAAAAGATGTCCCAACCATTGATAATTGGTGCTGGTGGTGGTAAACAACAACCATCAACAACAACAACAAATAGCTCAACAACATCACCACAACAATCTTCGAATCGTTTACGTCATTTTCTTAAATTTAATGGTCCATCCAATAATAATAACAACAATAATGGTGATTTACAACAAAAATCAAATGGTCATATTGATTCGAAATCTAATCCACAACAACAACAACAACAACATTGTAATACGAAACCATCATCACCATTAATAGGAAGAAATTATCCACATCAACGTGTAACGAAATCACCATCAATTGAATCAACAACAACAACAACAACAAAATCATCATCACCATTATTAAATCGATGTCAAGTGATTAATCTTAATCCAGTTAATGTGAATAATCATTCGAAACAGAATTCATTCGATCATCATAATACTGGTTTATCATCACCAAATCTTAATAATAATTTACAATCAAAACAACATAGACATTCGTTTCGTTGTAGTACATCGACCACAAACAATAATAATAATAATTCTTCATCATCGAATCAATTACGACAATCACAACATACATATGATAATGTTGCTTCGTTGTCAAGATTGGATCAACAACAACAATCATCATCAATGGAATCTTCACCAAGATTTGTTCGAAAAAATTTCGTTCGAAATTCAATCAAACCGACTACTTTGACTGCTGCGGCTTCTATAGATCAACAGCCATCAACCTATGGTCAGATTAATTCAGAAACAAATTCATCCCGGTGGTCACAGCAACAAAACATGATGGCTAACAATGATGATAATAATAATGATGACGATGATGATGATGATGATAAACATGGAAAACAATTCGAATGGATCGAAATATTTGAACCAAAATCTCGTACAAAAATGTTTGCCAATCTTTCTACGTAAGTTTTTTTTGATGGAAAGTTTTTTTCACTTAAATAACATTATCTGTATTTTATAGCGGTGAATGTAGTTGGTTTGAACCAAAAAATGTTCAAATTCTTCGTCAATCTAATCCAAAAATTACACAATGGTGGGAACTTTATGTAAGTTTTGAGTTTATTTAGAAGATTTTTTATATAAAAATTGATTTTCTGATAAAAAAACAGGATCAAAAAAGTCAACGTTTTTATTATTATTCGGTTAAAGATTCGAAAACTATTTGGCAAAAGTAAGTTGAATCTTTTTCTTTTCACAGTAGAACCTTATGTTTTTTTATCGTTATTTGATCCTATCATAGACCAAACACTGTGGATGCAATAATTGTACCATTGGCAAAATTACAGATTATTAAACAAGCTGCAAATAATAATAATTCAACACCACTTGATCGAATAATTTCAAATTCATCACGAACATCTCAACCATTGAATAATAGCTCATCACCATTATCATCAGCATCATCTTCGCCTTCTTCGGCTACAAATACTGGTCGATCACCTCAATTAATATCGCCAAATTCAGCAACAAGTATTTGTATTCGATGTCGACAACGACCAATAATGGTTGATTCTTTTACACAAACATTTAATAACAACAACAATAATAGTTCCGATTCGATTCGTTCATCATCATCAAAACAATCGATGGTATCACGATGGACACAAACAACTAGCCAAACACCGGTAGATATACGACGGTTACCTGATCTTTTATCCGATGATTTACGTAGACAACAACAACAACAACAACAACATGCTCATCAACAGCCATCATTAAGACATTATCTATTGAGTGAAGCAAGATTTGCAGCACGTGGTCAAACTGCTGGTGGTTTGCTCAATACTCATCCACAAAATAATGATAATGATAATAATCGAATCTATGATCCAATAGCACCGGAATCAATTTATGATCCTGTTGCACAAATCGATGATTATTATGATGATGATTATTTTGATGTTGATGATGATGAATTAACTGATTATGGTGATGATGAAGATGATGAAATTAGTTTTGATAGTTGTGATGCTGATGATGAATTTGGTGGTGAAGATAATTCTTATACCGATGATGATGAAGAAGAAGAAGATGAAGACTTGGAAGATGATGATGATGAATCAATAATAAATGTTCGTAATGATCAAAAAGGTTCATCATCCGATTCACATATAGTTGGTGATGATGATTATGATGATGATTATAATAATGAAATGATATTTAATCGAAAAAGACAACAACAACAGTCAATAGATGATTATGATATTGTTGATTATGGTCATCATGATGACCATCAATATATTAGTTCAACAAAATCTGGAACCAATGCTGGGAATAATAATCGAATGCCAGCAGCAGCAGCAGCAGCATCGGGAGGAATATCACGTTCAACATTAATACAACAAAATTTAGATGGCCCATTAAAAATGTCAGCATCATTTACGGCAACCGATTTTAAACGAAATGCTTTAGGAAGAAGGTTTGTTTTAAAATTTTTGCTTGTTATTTTTTAATTTTAATTTGTTCAAGCAGTAGTTATACAACTACGACAACAACAAATCAACAACAGCAACCATCTGCCATTAGATACGAACAACCATCATCATCAAATCAACGGGAGCAACAACGAGAATCATGTCCAAAACCAGCCTATTCAAATCCATTCAACAATAACAGTAATAATGGATCATTACGTAGTAGTACCGGAAGGATTAATATGAATTTGGATCAATCATTATCAAATGAAATTAATAATAATAATAATAATAATAAAGGTTTAGGTAGTATAGCTGATCGTATACAGCTATTTAATCAAAAATCAACAAATCTGCCATCGAAAACAACAACACCGACACCAACATCACCAAAAAGTATTCATCGTCAACAATCAATTTCGGTATCTGCTTATGAACCGACAGCTACAGCTGCTGCTGGTTTATCTCGAGGATTTTTACATCGTTCGGCTACAACTGAAGGTGGTGGGGCTGGTGGTGCTATTGCTGCTAAACAAGTTCAAAAATTCTTACAGCAACAACAGCCGAATAATGTTCGAACATCAATATCACCTGTATTAGATCAATCATCGATTCCATGCAAATCAACATCGATGACATTAATATCACCATCATCATCATCATCATCATCGGTTGTTAATACAACGATTCAACAGCAGCAACAGCAATCGAATGATCCAGTTGGATCATCATCAAATGGAAAACGTTCAAGTTTGAGTAATAAATTTCCCGTAACATCCAACAACAACAATCAATTTGATTTATCATTCGAAATACCACGGAATAATAGTTCAATTTCATTATCACCTAGTCATCAACAATCATATCGGCCATTTGTATCATCATCAACACCTGTAGTACCATTATCATCATATCCAATACCACCACCACATTTACATCATTCAGCATTTAATCAAATGAATGATGTACATAAATCTATATTGGTGAATCAGGCAAATGTTGCTGCTTCATTTAAAAATTCAAAAAATAAAAACAGCAATCAAACAGTAACAAAAGGAACTGCCAACAAAAAGAATAATGTTATTTTGGATTCTAATCAAACAGTGACCGATTCAAAATCATTGAAAAAATCAGCAACAACAACGAAAACTATTGTAAAAAATAAAGATAAATCCAATGGTAATGGAAACAACAATTCAATTGAATCATTTGCACGTGAATGTGTTAGTCGTCATCGTAAAGGTGGTATATTTTCAAAGAAAAAAACATTAAAATCAATGCTGATGCATACGAAAAAACCATTAAAAAAACCAATGATATCAACAATATCGGATGCATTATTAGTAAAAGAATCTGTTGCTTGTTTTAAAATTATACAAATATTTATGGGTGATCGTTCACCATCACCAACATGTCAACAGCAACAACAACAACAACAACATTCAACCGGTAATTCAAATCTTTCTACATCAACAACCATTGGTGAAAGATTATCACCAACAACAACAACAACATTACCATACAATGATGATCAATTATTAGTTCGTTTGATAAATATTTGTGTACAATTAGTACCATTACGTGATGAAGTATTGGTACAAGTTGCCCGGCAAGTTACACAGAATCCAAATCCAAATAGTGAACGTCGTGGTTTAGAATTAATGTGTACATTATTCTGGTATTTTACTGCATCGAATAAATTAGCACAACATTTACATGCATTTTTATTTGGTCATCGTAATCCATTTACGGTTATTGTTCGTCGAAAATTTGAACAACAAATGTATCGTAGTCGTTATACACATTCACATTTATTTTATAGAAAACCACATTCAATTGATGAAGTTTCATGTGTATTACGTGCTGTTCATTCAAAACATGTTGGAATTTTTGGTGAAACATTATCTGATGCATTAGTTGATTCAACTAAATTACCTTGGTATGTTTTGACATATTTGATTGAATATAAGTTATGATATCTCTTTTTGTGTCCATGGATAAATAAATAGGCCTGTTGTTTTACTTACTGAAGCATTATTGGAACCAAGACATGAAGATCGTGAAGGTGTTTTTCGTTGTGTTGGTGATATGGATGATGTACATCGATTAAAAATGAAACGTAAGTTTTAAAAAATATTTTGTTATATTTCCTGTGGCTAACAATTTACTCGTTGATTTTATTTAAAAAAAAAAATAGTTGATACTTTATTACCGGAAGATCGTAATTTTAATCAAATGATTGGCCGTTCTACAAATAATAATAATGATTCGATAATACAAAAAACATCTGGAAAATTAACTGATGATCATGATATACATGTGATTGCATCAACACTTAAATTATATTTTCGTGAATTACGTGATTCAATTATACCATCACAAATGTATTTGCAAGCATTGGAATGTGCACATGATCCGGAAAGAGCTTGTGCATTACTTGATCAACTTGAACCATTAAATCGATCAACATTACGTTATTTGATTCATTTCTTACAGGTATGTTTCAATGAATAAAGTTGATTGTAATTAATCAAATTATTATCATTATTATAGATATTTTCAACTGATGAATTTGTTCGTGATACAAAAATGGACGATGCAAATCTATCTATGGTATGGGCACCGAATATTCTACGTAGTCCAACAACAAATTGTCAACAACAACAACAACAATTATTATCTGGACCGGCAGCAGCAAAAGCTGCAATGATTAATAGTGCCAATATTTATGAACATACAAGGGCCGAAATGTCATTTGTACGAACATTGATTCAACATTTACCCACTAATAATAATAATAATAATAATGGAAATGATACTAGTCCAAAGAAACACTAAATGACCAAGAAAAAAAAGTGTCATGCAGCTATTATAACTTTGATATATTTTTTTTTCTCATTTTATTTTGTAAAGCTGAAACACACACAAACATATTATCTTTTCATCATCATATACTTAACCCCATCATCCGATGATCCTATGAACAAAAAAAGTATTCTTTTACCATTAACAAAAAAAAAAATATCTGTCCAACATTGCTCATTGCTTTTGAAATTCAAATTCAGAATAATGTTTTTCTCGCGCGCGCATTTTCAAAAAAAAAAAAAAATTATTTTTCAAAATAAAATAAAAAATTCTATTTCCACACAATAAGGTTTTGTTTTGTTTATTTTGATTTATTTTCTGTTTATTTGTTTATCATCGTGATGAAACACATAGAAGGGCAGCCTCGAAACAAATTTCCAAAATTGATTCAAAACATTTATCGATTGATCTAGTCAGATTATCTTTCATTCGAGTCAAAATTGTTAAATTTATTAAATGTCAGCAGCCAAGAGAACATTTACGGCTGCTGTACGTGCCGTACAGATTCAACAAAAAACAAATCGTCAAATGAGATCAGCCATTTACATGGTAAGTTTTACGAAAAAAAAGTCTTATGACCACCAGTTATTTATTCTATTTTTGTATTTTTCCATCATGTTTTTAAAAAGACACCGAATGCAATTAACCGAATCAAAACATTGATGCAAGAACGACCAGATATGGTAAGTCAAATTAATAACTTTAACTTTTTTTAGTGAAATTTCTCTATTTTGTTTTTGTTTTTTTTTGAAATCGAAAGATTGGATTACGTATCGGTGTTAAACAACGTGGTTGTAATGGCCTTTCATATCAATTAGAATATGCAACCGAAAAAAATAAATTCGATGAAGAAGTCATACAAGATGGTGCTAGATTATTAATCGATCGTAAAGCACAATTATCATTATTGGGTAGTGAAATGGATTTTATTGAAACAAAATTATCCGCAGAATTTGTATTTAATAATCCAAATATTAAAGGAACATGTGGTTGTGGTGAAAGTTTTAGCATTTAAAGAAAAAGAATTCGTTTGTTTGTTTGGTTTTTCCGTTAATTTATTTTTATTTTTTAATTAAGGCAATATTAACACATTTGTTGAGAAAAAAAAGAAAGATCATCAATGATAATTAATAAATCAATGATATTATGTACAGTGTATATAATCATTAATTATTATTTACAAAAAACATTTTTGTTGTCAAAATAATGGTGATGCTGAACTTTGACTTACATAGATAATGGCACCAACAAAATTAATAGCTGATGCTAAAACGAATACAGGTAACCAACGACCATGTGATTGTGTAACCAATTCAGCTGTTAATGGACCACATAACAGACCCGGTATGGTTGCTATAGTATTCGATATGGCAAATGTTACACCAGCATGATTTGGTGCAACATCCGTATGATTACTTAAATGACCGGCTGCATTTAATGCACAAAATGACATTGCCATACAAATAATAACAATAGCTAACCATAATGATTTTAATGAACAAAATAATAGCATACAAATACCGGCACCGAATAAACCCAGACCGGTCATCAAACGTCGTACCGATAATATTGACCATTTTCGTTCGGTAATTAAATTATCGGCCATATGTCCAGCTCCTATACCGGCCATAGAATTCATAATATAAGGCAATGCTGTTAATGATAATGATTTTTGATCAGCTGATAAATATCTTGATAAATAATATGGTAACCATTGCATAATAATATAGCTTGACCAATTCATAGCAAAATGAGCTAGATAAATGGCCCATAATGACCAACGTGTTATCCATTCAGACCAATGTACATGAAAACGATTATTACGGGTTGTATTATTTTTCGAAACATCTTCATTCATTAAAGGTGCTTCTAAATCACCACTATTAACACATGATGATGATGATGATATTAGATGATCATCGACAAGATGATTAGTACGATGAAAAAATCGAAGCCAAAATATTAGCCAAAACATTCCTAATGTACCCATTGTATAGAACATTATTGGCCAATAAATATGTGATGTAACTAAAGCCGAAATGGTTTGTCCTACGGTACCAGCCGATATAAGATAACCAAATGCACGTGATCGTTGTGAAATTGGAACGTTTGCTGCAAATAATTGATAAATCATTGGCAAACCTAATCCTTCACCTAAACCTAACAATATACGGAACACAATGAATAGGTAAATATTTGATGCAATCATTGGTGTGATCAATGTTGATAATGACCAGAAAAATATGGAAATGGTAAGAACATTACCAGAACCATAACGTGATGCTACATTACTCACAATCATTTGACTAGTAATATAACCAATAGCAAATGAACTTAATATCCATCCTTGCCAATGTATTGACCAACCAAATTGATTGGCCATCGGTATGATAGCAATTGGCATAATAACACGATCAGCCGAATTAATAAGATTGGCTACCGTACACAGACAAATTAATCGATTGATTGCCGTTCTTGGCCATAATGAAATGATTGAAAATCTCATGGCAAATGATTGATTGATTGATTTATTGATTTATCATTATTACGATTTAAATTAGACGAAACAGAAATAGAAAACAAATTGGAATTAGTTTTTGGAACATCGAAAACAGGCAAGTTGACACGCACACACACAAACAAACAAACAAATAATATCAATTTTCTATTTTGACTCATACAAGTCGATCGATGCATTTTAGCGTGCCAGCTTTTTTGTTTATCGATTTTGATTTTGATTTTGACATTTTTTTTTCATTTTAAGAAAATCTTTCTTTGCGATCATAATAAACAACAAAGACAATCATGTCATCATCATCATCAACGATAAATCGTGATGAAGAGAATAAATTAGAAGAAACGCTTGGATCATTATTTCAAAAAATTCTTGATATTAATGATGAATTGAATCATAGTTCAATGTCAACAAATGATTCGAAATATCAGGCAAGTTTTTTGTTTAGTTTCTTCTGGGTTAATATTCATTGAAAATTATTATTATTTTCGAATTGCAAAATAGGAAAAAGTAGCCGATGCTATCGAACGTTTAGAAACAATGACCAAAAACATAAATACATTGGCAATTTTTAGTGCCAATGAAAAAATGGATGAAATTCAAACCGAACATCTAAAATATCTCCTAATACCGGCTTTGTTGGCTGATTTTACCCTGAAAAATCAACATCAAGATCGTATACAGATATTGGAAATGGCACAGATTTATTTCAAAGATTTTATTCAACGTCTTAATGATTATGAATTTTGTGATGTTAAACTGAAAAATGCTACCGAAAACGATGATGAAGAAGAAAGTGAAACAAAATCTTTGGCAAGTGATAACACAAATCAAGTAGAATTATTATTACAACAAGCAAAAGCACGGGATTCAAAAATTCAACGATATCGTCAAATGAAACAATTAGAATCAGAATTAGAACAGCTTAAACAGATAATTATTGGTCAACAACAACAACAATCTGGTCAAGATGAAGATGTTGAAAGAAAATTTTATCTAAAATTAATTAATCGTTGGCTTAATCAGGCTATCGATGAATTGGGTGCTATTGAAACTGAATTACCAATGGTTAAAATGCGTGCTGCAATGTTGAAAATGTCTACAACAAATTCGAATGATAAATTAACAAAAAGGCCATCGCAATCATCATCAAAACCTTTAAAACCGATCATTTTGACTAAAGATCGAATACAAAAACAAGTTTATGGAGCGGGATATCCATCGTTAGCAACCTATTCGGTTGATGAATTTGTTCAACAAAAAATCAATGAAGGTAGTCTTCAATTAACAGATAAAAATATGTAAGTGTTGCACACTTTTGTCAACGATTAAACAAAGGTAATCTGACATGGTTTTTTTCTTAAAAATCTTCTTCTTAGATATAGCAATTCATTATATGATTGGGCAAATGATCCGGAAAAGAAAAAATTAGAAGAACAAACCGATGAAGAACGAAAAGAACGTTTAATTGAAAAAGATGATGAACAAGAATTAATGAGGCTTCGTAAATGGGATGATTGGAAAGATGGTTAGTTTGTTGTTGAATAGTAATCCTTATTTTAATTTTTTCTTTTTCTTTATCCAAAAAAAAAAATGATTTTAAAAAAACAAAACAAAAACAACAGATCATAGGAGAGGTGAAGGAAACAGACATAATATGGGATAATAATCGAAGTGGATTTTCTGATTTTTGTTTTAAAAATAAAAAAAATTCTTTACATAGTCTCCATACAGTGTGAATCGTTGATTAATCTTTAATTCTTTATTTTTTTCATTTTTATTAACGTTATTTTATTTTCATTTGTGCGTTGATCGTAAACCTAAACAATTAAGAAAACGATTTGTACGTGTTAATGCTTCGAAACCGGTCGTCGTTTGACTACGTGCTGATTTTGATTTATGTAATTTAAATAATGATGCCAGATTGTTTGCTATTAAAAGATGAATATTAGGAAAAAAAGATGTTTAAGCAAACAACAAAACAAAAAACTACTTACATAAAGTAGATGTACGTGATTGTTTTGATGTATGTGATACATTCGATACAAATGAATTTACTGTTAATTCATTCATACGTGAATTTGACCATTCAGTTGTATCGGATGCTGAAACAGTTGCATATTCAAATTCTTCATCATCATCATCACCATCAATGATATTATCTAATTCCTCATCGCCATCATCATCATAACTATTATTATTATGTAATTGCCATAAATATGGTAAAACGGACATTGAACGTAATTCATCACCACCAGTTTTACATGGTATTCGAACTGGTTGTTCAATACGTGGATGTTTTTTTCGTACCCAACTTGTGATTAATTAAGAAAAATGTTTAGAAAAAAAAAAACTTAAAAACTTAAAAAAAACTCAAACTTACTCATGTTGTTTGATTTGTTGAATAGAAATTCTTTCATCCGGTTCTTTACATAACATTGATTTGACCAGATCGGATAATAGATAATCCATTTCGGTTGGTATTGTTAATTCGGCTTTGCTTATGTTATCGTATAGTCTATCGGCCCCCAACATAATGGAAATGATAATTAAAATATTTTTTGTTTTGTTTGTCATTTAACTTACCTATAAATATTATCACCTTGAAATGGATATTTCCCGGTTGTTATATTGAACAATGTAACACCTGAAGCCCAAATATCAACTTTAAAACCACTAAATTTAGCTCTACCATCAGCAATTTCTGGTGGTTGAAATGCAGGTGATCCTTGACTTGTTGATATCATATCATCTTGTTGAAATTGATCCAACATCTATGAATATATATTCAAACCAAACAAACAATCATTTCTGAGAACAAAATCCAAATGAAATTTACCTCCGAAACACCAAGATCAGTAATTTTAATAACACCACCATTTGTTAATAATAAATTACCCGGTTTAATATCTTTATGTATTATACCTTGGCTATGTAGATATTCTAAACCATTGACTAGCTGTACAAAATAGCTAAATCAGAAATTTCAAATTACAAATTACAAATTACAAATTGAAAAATCGAATCATTAGTTAGTCAGTTAGTTATTTACCCATGTGCTTGATGTATGGGAAATCGTTTTGTATCTGGTACTGAATCCAAAAGTTCTTGTAATACAGCAACACAATATTCCATTATAATATACATTTTTTCTTTAATATTATCATAAATAACATCATATAATTTGACAAGATTTTCATGATTTAATTTTCGTAACAATTGTATTTCGCTATTTTGCAAATGAAAAGAAACAAAAATCAAATTAAAGCAAGGAAAAGATTGAAAACTTGCTCGAATACAAAACTTACCGTTGTACATTTTGTTCACCATTCGGTATTTTTCTTAAACGTTTTTTCTTCATAATTTTTGCTGCACGACGTTCTAATGTTTCAGTATCAAGTACTTCTTTTACTTTTGAATAGGAACCTTCACCAACAACATCACCCAGCAAATATTTCGATACAAATTTTACTTTTCGTCGTTTTTTTTCATATAAAATTTCTGATGAATTAACACGATGATATGATAGGGGTTTATCCTGTATCGTTATGGCTATAGCTGTTCCATCACCACCACCACCTGCAGCTGATATTAACGGATCATGTTCAAAAAGTAATGATTTTTCATAAAGAAAACCATCAGCACCTAAACAACCATCAAGCATTTCTTCTTCAGTTATTGGTGGTGGTGTTACAAATAATGGTCTTCGTTCTTCGCAGACATCATCATTATCATCATCATCATCTTGGGCAAATTGAATGATAGGTATGTTGGAATCAACAATATTACCACAAAGAGAAGAAGAATGTTGTTGGTCCGATGATAATGACAACAATGGCTTCGAATGGTCAAATTGTACATTGTCTTTATTATTATTATTGAAATTTGTTGTTGTTGTTGTTTGATTTGTATCACTCGTATTCATATCACAATTTTTGTTTACATTTGGCACAATCAAATCATCATCATCATCCATCATCATCGTCGTCGTCGTTGAACATTTTTGATCAAAATTTGATGATTTTTTCTTTACTTTTTTTGTTGATTCATTTCGTTGATCATCATTATCATTATCATTATTGATGGTCGTTGGATGTTGTTCAAGACAGATATCATCATCACCATCATCATCATCATCATCAATATTTTTGATTCGAATATTTTCATTCATTGTTCCGGTGTTGTCATCGATAAAAATCGTATCAATGGTTGATGATGCGGTGGCATCCGAAGCAGCCGTCTTCGAAGATGATGATGATTGCATTTGATGGCAATCCGAAATAATAATTCAATGACCAATCCAAATGACAATAACAAGGATGATGACAATGACAATAAACGATTATTATTTATTCAACAAACATTCATGATTTTCGAAACAACTAAAAAATGGACATTCGAATGTTGAGTGTGTGTGTGTATGGTGTTTTGTCACAACAGCAAAAACATTGAAGATAACAATCAAAAATTAATCTGTAATGGGATCATCGAGATAATCGAGAGAGGGGGAAAAGAACAAAATTAACAAAATTTCGAACCATTCATCATTTGTTGTTGTTGTTGTTGATATTCTTTAGTTTGGAAAAAATTTTTTTGTTTCAAAAAGGCTTGTCGCCCACAGTATTCCCTCTGTCTTCAAAATGTGTTTACAATAATAAAAAACAATCATCATCATCTTCTTCTCGCACAAACCGAAAATGAAAAACAACAAAAACAAGAAAAACAAAATTGCTATCAGCACATCACATACACTATATGTGTGTGTTTGCAATGATATAACACATGACACAATAAAAAAAAGGCGTCGGTAAAAAAGTAAAAATCGATTGTATCGAAGAGAATTCGTTCATCACTTTATCATGTGGGGTTTTTTCAAATGTTTAAAAAAAAACAAAAACTTATCGATTTTTTTTGAAGGAAAAACCTTTTTTTTCTTGAAAAAAAAAGTTTTATTTCATTTTATTATCGATATAAAATTGAACAGAATCATCGAAAACAAAACAGAAAAATTCCGAAATAGCAAAGGTTACATACGGAGAGAGAGAGAATTTTTCAGTGTACAGAATCAGATAAATCCATCGCTTTATGATCGTTTTCTTCAATTTTATTGTTATTATTGTTGATCATTTCGGTTTTATCGTCATTATGAGGATGATCACCATCAGTAATATCAGTCATAGTATTAGCTGCCATTATAGTTGTCGCTGTTGTTGGAAATGTTGAAAATATTCGATCAAGATATGAATTAAAAAATAATCTATTCGGATCTAATCTTTTCCTTATATGAGACCAATAATGAAAATTAGGATACATTCGAATCAAATCAACAGCTGTTTCTCGATGTTTCTTTGAGATTTAAAGCAGAAAAATTCCATTAAAATTAATGAAAACTGTAAAAATTATGTAAACTTTTTTCTTACCTTAGCCCAATGTGGACGGCCACCATATCGTTTCATAATTGTTTCATAACAATTCCAATAATCCGTATGATCAACATGTTTACCATATGGACGATATGAAATAATATTAATATATGTAGAATCACGACCATAACTTGGTGATAGATAAATTGGTGATTGACGAACAAAACGAACTTCGATTGGAAAATGTGCATACCAGCCATTATCATTTTGATCGATTGTTTTTTTTAATTCAAGTAATGCATCGCTTGTTTTGTTTCTGGATCGAAGGAAAAGAAGAAGAAAATTTTTAGTTTTTCTGTTCTATTTCCACACAAAACACATACCTTGGAATAGACCATTCATTAACGTGTTGTGCAAATAAACATTCGAAATTAAAAACTTTATAACTAATGTCCATTTTAACTTGATTCGAAGAATAAAGTAGCCAAAATGCTAAACGATTAATAGTAGGTATGATTGATGGTTGAAAAGTTGATAACCAATAAACAAATTGAAGTAAATGATAACCAACGCCATAGTTAATTAGCCAATCACAAATACGTTGAAATTGATTACGTTCAGAACTCAGGCGATATTGATTTATCGATTCCATTTGACCATTTTGTTGTTGAGAAGATTGTGATAGATTAAGAAATTCACCATTCACTTTATTCGTTATTGAAACTGAAACATAATCAGTATGTGGAAAATAAAGAAAACGAAAATGATCACATGATTCAATATTTTCATCTAAACGTTCCAAAATTGAATCTAATCGACTTGGATATGTTAGTTGATGAAGATAGAATTTTGATTCACATTCAATAGTTACTTCTAAAATAATACCAAGTGCACCTAAACCACATAATGTTGATAGGAATATATCATAATATTCACTACCAGGTTCTTTTGTACAATAAATTATATCACCCGATGGTATTATTAAACGCATAGCTATTACGTAATCAGCTATAATACCAGTATGATAACCGGTGCCATGCGTTCCAACCGATATAACACCAGCTAATGTTGATTCGGATATTGAACCTAGACTGGGTGGGATGATCAATGTGTAATCAAAGTTAGTCGGGATTCTTTTCAAAAATATATAAAAACTTACATTGGTAATGCAAGATTATTTTGTTCAAGTATTCGATTCAATTTATTCAGATGAATACCAGCTTGAACGGTAACAATACGTTTTTGTTGATCAATATGAAGAATATTTGAAAAATTTTTCATCGATATCATATAATCCTGTGAACAACATAAATCCGATGGTGAATTACCACAACCAACAATACGTATATGTTTTTTTTCACTTTTAGCTAGATAAAGTATTTCACGTATTTCATCCAATGTTTCTGGTATGAATAATAATTCCGGTTTACATTGATATGTATTTGACCAATTTTTAAATTGATATCCAGCAACGGCTATTCGCTAATTCGCAAACAATCAATCAATCAATCGAGGAAGATTTTATTAATTATGGTTTATCGTCAATTGATTTATCAACTTACCTCGAGATCCATGATGAATAATTTAATTTAATTTAGTTTAGTTTTTGGGGAAAATGACAGCAATGTTCACAATGTAAACACAAACACACATGGAACATCGCGAAAAATGTGTGGTTCTTTTTTTTCCCACTCAAAAATTTTCTCTGATTTTTGTTTTCATATCCGAAAGATGGCTGCACTTGGTTCAATTTTTATTTAAAAATTTTTTTTAAACAAAAATATGCGCGCGCGCGACTGACCCTTGAATCGGTAAAAGAATCAGAATTTTTTTTTTTGTTTTTTTGTTTCGGGAACTGAACTGACAATCATCAAACTGAATAATAATAATAACCGGCTGTTATCTATGTGTTAACATGGAAAATAACAACAACAAAAAAAAAACAAACAGGGCTGGAATATTTAAAATCATTTTCGCCTGCAAAAGGCGCATGCTTCATTCATTTGGATCCAGTAAGAATTTCCAATTGGAAATCCATTTTGGGAGCCATATACTCCAAGGACCACTACTACCATCACCACCACCACTATCCATCCATCAACATCCATAATCGAATCGAGGTCGCAAATCTTTATTGTTGTTTGTTTGTTTGGTTGTGTGTATATTACGTGTATATATTACCATTTGAATGGATACGGTGGTTGAATTTCTAGGTCCAAAATGAGGATAATCAAAGAAAAAATGAGAAATGAAAAAAAACTGTAAAATTTTCGGGCTCATTTTCAATTGCAAAAAACCAAACTATTTTCGGTGTTTATAATAAGTGTCTGGTGTGTGTGTTTGAGAATGACCAGAAGAAAGAAGCCCGAAGAAAATTTTCAACTAAAAATTTCTTCTTGCTGCTGCTGCTGATGTTATTGAGAATCTTAGGGCTCAATAAATTTCTTTGATCCAATAAAAAGAAAAACTTTTACAGCCAATTTTGTTTTACTTGTTTATGGTTTTTAGTAAATTTTTTTTTTGTTTTTGTTCCGAAAATAGATTCAGGGTAATTGTTACTTGTAATTATTTAATTACAATTAATTTAATTAGAATTTATAAAGTAAATTGTTTTGTTTTTTTTTTATAATTATAATTCTCGAATTTATAATTTCTTGAATTTTATAATTATGAATTTTTTGATAAAATCGCAACATAAAAATGTGTGTTTTTGTTAATAATTTTGGGTATTTATAATTGTGAATTACTTGTGTCGGTTTTTTTGATTTTGGTGTTCAAAATTTCTTCAAAATTTTTCTTCAAAAATAATAATTTCCCCAATTGATTATCATCAATTAATCTATCAATAATCTACCTTATAATCGTCATTGTTTTTGTGGTCAAAATATACATTTATAATACAATATTTAGTGATTAAAAATAATCAACAAAAAATTAATAGAAAAAAAATTACAAATAATAATAATAAAAAATATCGTAAAAATAATCAAATGTTAACGGATAAACCACAACCATATAAACTAAAAATACCAGATGATATTAATCAAAAAAGTCCATTACGTTGGTTATTAATAATTNTTGTTTGTTTGGTTGTGTGTATATTACGTGTATATATTACCATTTGAATGGATACGGTGGTTGAATTTCTAGGTCCAAAATGAGGATAATCGAAAAATGAAATGAAATGAGAAATGAAAAAAAAACTGTAAAATTTTCGGGCTCATTTTCAATTGCAAGCAAAAAGAAAAAAAACCAAACTATTTTCGGTGTTTATAATAAGTGTCTGGTCTGTGTGTGTTTGAGAATGACCAGAAGAAAGAAGCCCGAAGAAAATTTTTCAACTAAAATTTCTTCTTGCTGCTGCTGCTGCTGCTATTATTGAGAATCTTAGGGCTCAATAAAAATTTTCTTCTTTGATCCAATAAAAAGAAAAATTTTTTACAGCCAATTTTGTTTTGTTGTTTTTGTTTTTAGTAATTTTTGTTTTTGTTCCGAAAATAGATTCAGGGTAATTATTATTACACTTGTAAATTTAATTACAATTAATTTAATTAGAATTTTTTATAATTATAATTCTTGAATTTTATAATTTGTGAATTTTTTTGTTGTTGATAAAATCCCAGCATAAAAATGTGTGTTTTAAATGTTCATTTCGGGTATTTAATAATTGTGAATTGTGTCGGTTTTTTCGATTTTTTTCTTTCAAAAATTTTCTTCAAAAAAATTTTTCATCAATTAATCTATCAATAATCTACCTTATAATCATCGTTTTTGTGATTAAATATACATTTATAATACAATATTTAGTGATTAAAAATAATCAAAAAAACAATAATAGAAAATTACGAGAAATAATAATAAAAAATATCGTAAAAATAATCAAATGTTAACGGATAAACCACAACCATATAAACTAAAAATACCAGATGATATTAATCAAAAAAGTCCATTACGTTGGTTATTAATAATTCTGTTGATTGTACGTATAATTTATAGTATAAAATTATGTTATGATGAATTTCAAGCATTTGAAAAAGTAAATAAAGGTATTTTTGCCGGTTTAAATGATATTAATGTTGGTTATCAAAAAGAAAAGGTAAGTTATTAAATTTCTTGTAATTTTTTTGTAATTTTTTGTAATTTTTTTGTATTTTTTTGTAATTTTTTGTAATTTTTTTTTGTAATTTTCTAGCACTATCTACTACTACTAAGTACAATATTAATTAGTTATTATTTATTTACAAATATATCCGGCCTTATATCAATATTTAATCATTATTGGATAATGTATTTAATATTTATAATATTCAATATAATTTGTATATCAATCGATATTATAATGGCACAACATTTACATCAAAAACGTTTTTATATTATGATGGCTACAAGTATCGTAGTTCTGTTATTATCATTAATATTTTTAAAACAAATCTATCCAGATTGGTCATATGGTATTGAATTATGGCCAAATTTACCATCAACTAAAGCAGCTTATCTGCGTTTTATAATAATCATTTTGAATATTGTTCGTTCCGTCGTTATCGTTTTCCTAATGAACAATGCATATAAATCATTTGATAAACAAAGTACTGGTATATTGAAAAATTTGGATGCCGATTTACAAACAGATAAAATAATGATATTCCTATTCAGTACATTGAATATTGCATTATATACATTTGTAAATATTTATGGTATAATGGCTATTGTTTATAATCGTTTACCAATGTTAATTACATGCATTGTTTTTAATATAATTTGTTTAGTACTGGATTGGGTAATACATATGAAAGTTAAAAAATTTAATCGTATCATGTGGATAGCCATCCTGTTGTCATTTATATCAATTTTATTTTATATTTCATTCATTCTAATGACAAATGATTTAAAAATTAATTTAAATAATACTAATACTAATAGTAATAGTAATAGTAGTAATAATAATAATAATATTAAAAGTAATAATGGTTCAAATGATAATAATAATAATAATAATAAAAGTCAAGTTTGATTAATTATAATTACAACCGGAATCAAGAAAAATTACAACCGGAACTTACTACTATCAATCAATCAATCATCGACGATAACAACGACAACAACGACGAAAAATAACCCTTTAACACCTTTCATCATTTTTTATATGAATGCTTTTTTGATTAACAAATTTTTAATTAATGTTTCTTTTGTGTTAATTTTTTCTTGTTTTTTTTAATTTGCATAATCGATCGCTAGACGTGAATAGCAAAAAAAAATCGCAATCAAAAAAATGTATCAGACAAATATGGCTGCCGCTCAGCCACAGCAGCCGCAACAACAACAATTTCAACAACAACAACCAATGATTATTATGCAACCAACAATTGCTGTACCACCGACAGCCACATATCAACAGCGACCATTATTACAACAACAACAACCGGCAAATTTATCAAATTCATTAATGTCATTTTGTTGTGGTGGTTGTCGAAAGGTAAATTTTAAAATTTTCACAAAAAAAAACTGCCTTACCTGACGCATATTTAACACCTGTTATTTTTTCCAAAAAAAAAAAAAAATACAGAATGGTTTCGCAAACAATCCGCAAAAACAGTTATTAAATCCATCAGTTAGTAATAATTATCTTTATCAACAACATTTTCAACATTTACAACAGCCAAAACAACAGCGTTTACAACANTTTCAACAACAACAACCAATGATTATTATGCAACCAACAATTGCTGTACCACCAACAGCCACATATCAACAACAGCGACCATTATTACAACAACAACAACAACCGGCAAATTTATCAAATTCATTAATGTCATTTTGTTGTGGTGGTTGTCGAAAGGTAAATTTTAAAATTTTCACAAAAAAAAACTGCCTTCCCTGACGCATATTTAACCCCTGTTATTTTTTCCAAAAAAAAAAAAAATACAGAATGGTTTCGCAAACAATCCGCAAACACAGTTATTAAATCCATCAGTTAGTAATAATTATCTTTATCAACAACATTTTCAACATTTACAACAGCCAAAACAACAGCGTTTACAACAACAACAGCAACAGGCTTCCGCAACGATACCCACATCATCATTTATACCGGGATGTGGTGGTCAACAACGTTATGTAGGTGGTACTACTACTAATTATCTAATGCCGCAATCGCAACAACAACAACAATCGCAATCGCAACAAGCAAATATTATGTCACCATCACGTAATATAGGTGCCTATGGAACAATAACATCATCATCACAGCAACCGCATCACCAATCGCAATCGCAATATGGAAAACAATTATTATCCACATCATCACCATTAAATGGGCCTTATCATCAACAGCAACACGGTGGTGGCGGTAGAATCGTATCCGATATGATGATCATAACACAACCAGAACAATTTCGTTCACGTATATCCGGGTTAACATCAGATGTTTTCAGACAAATTGAACAAGTTGAACAACAATTTGATCCAAATTCATTAGCAAATATACAATATTCTGAATTAGAAAATCGTGGTGAAATGATTATACGTATAATATCACCAACACAATTATTATCACAATGGTTAGATGATAGTATTCGACGTTTTGGTGATTGTTATGGACAATTACCATCATGGATACAATTTGTTGAAATTATTAAACGTCCAGGACAAACATTAGGCCTGTATATTCGTGAAGGTGATGGCCTTTATACAATGGATGGTGTTTATATATCACGTATTGCCCTTGAATCCAGTGTTTATCAATCTGGTTGTCTACGTGTTGGTGATGAAATTTTAGCTATAAATTTTGTTGATGTTTCACGTATGTCATTGGATGATGTTGTTCTGATAATGTCCATACCAAGAAGATTAATATTAACCATTCGGTCAAGACCATTGAATGCTGAACATATGCTTACGAATCGCAATATCTATGGTACGGGAATGTCTGATTCTTGTTATTATGATACGGTAGCTGGTGATATTTATAGTCGTGTTGATGATTTACGTTTACAACAACTACAGAATAATAATAAACCGGTTGTTGTTGTTAAACAAAAACAACAACAATTTACTGAAACAACAACAGCCGCAGATTTGTTGTTGGATGAAGATGATGAAGAAGAAGTTTATCAAGCAGCAACAGCCGCTGCTGAAGCTGGTCTTTTGGATGATCCAAGTACAGCAGCCGCTGCTGCTGTTGCTGGTTTACAAGATCCAACACCAGCAAAAGCTGCGGCTGCTGTTGCTGCTGTCAATGAAATTATTGTTCGAAGTGGTAGTTCATTAGAATTGTATGGTGGCATTGGCGGTGGTTCAAGACCTGGTTCAAGTTTAATGATGGCTACAGCACGTCAACGTTATCGTAATCATCGTCGTTTATTTACATCCGATAATCTTGCTGATCTTTATCAATCTGAAATGGAAAGAGCTGAAATTAATAATAATTTATATATGCCAGGTAGACGTGGTACATTACCTACCGGTTCGCTTATAACTGCAACCAGCGCCACCACTATGATTAATCAAAAACCATTACGAACACCATTATCATCATTATATCATGGTCGATTAGCACATCATCATCAACAAGGATCATCAAGATCAAGATCAGCAACTGGTCGTTTAATGCGTACATCAAGCGAACAAATGATTTATGGTGGTGGTTATGGTCTTGGTCTACATCAACAACAAGATCCAGTCGATCAAATTGATCATTTTCTACAACGTTATCAATCGGCAAAACAATCAATGCGTCATCGACCACCATCATCATCTCGTATACGACATCATAGTTTTGATCAATCAGCAATGCTACGTAATTCATATTCAACACAATCATTACTGGGTAATTCGAATTATTTGACCGGTAGTGTCGGAATAGGTGGCAGCACTAGTACCGGTATTTCACAACAACATGGAATGGCAATACCATTACCAGGTATGGCTGAAGCTGTTGCAATTGCCCGTAGACGTTATCTTCGTGGTGAAACTACTAACGCTGGTGATGGTTCGGGTAATATATTTGATACGGGAAATTATTCCGATACTGAACAACAAAAATATCGTGCCCGTGTTGATCAACAACATTCGAATAACCGCAGTAATTCATTACCAAGAGCTCCTGGTAGTGGCCTTAGTGGTAGTCGTCATTCTTCATCACATCATCATCATCATCATCGTGCCAGTAGTAGTTTATCAAATCGCCTGCAACAATTAGAACAATTATATTCATCATCGACGACAAAGAATCCACGATTATCATCATCGATTCGACCACATTCAGCAATGGCTGATAATTACAGTAATAAAGATATTATTGATGATGATTATTCAACATCAGCAGAGTTGTTAGCGCAAATGCGTCGTAATGTTCATGATCAGCGAAATCAATATTCTGGACAACAACAAAGATTATCATCAACAACACGTTTAGATTCACTGCGTGCTAGTTTAGCTGAATCATCATCATCATCAACTGAAGATATTTTGGGTAAAAATAATCGTAGTTTGACATCATCATCAAGAACTGCTGCTGCTGCTGGTGGGGCTGGTGGTGGTGCTTCATCAACATCAGCCATATATGAAACAATACGTAAAAGTAAAATGGCACAAGACCTGCAACAACCACAATCCGGACGTTTAGCAATTTCAGGTCAAATAATGATGATGAATACGGATGATATGAAAACACGTTATTCGAATTTACAAATGACGAAAAATTCTACTGATTCTTCTGGATTTCATCATCAAAATCGGCCACCATATGTGGATGATGTGTTGATGGATCAAGGCAGTGTTCATCAGCGACAACCGCAAACATCAGCGGCAGGAGCGGCGACAACAACATCATTAATAGGACAAATATCAACACGTCCATCACGTATATTAATGATTGATCCAAGCGGTTTTCAACAATATGGTCCGGATTTACATCGACAACAACAAGCGACAATGTCAACGGGTAGTTCGAGCGGAAAATTAAACGATGGTCAAATTGCCGGTTATAGTGGATTATTGGTCATTCATTTGCTGGGTGTACGTGGTCTACAATTTGATCATTTAATTCCGGCAAAAAATTTATCAGCAGCGACATCGACAGCGACAGCGGCGACAACCAAACGAGTATTATATTCAGTTGTTGAATGTGATCGAATATATAAAGCTCGAACAGTTGCTGTACAATCACATGAAAATAATAATACAAATTTTGATTGGGATGAAGTATTCGATATTGATCTATTTGATACAAAAGAAGTTTCATTTTTATTCTATACATGGGATCAATCATTACCTGATTTAAATATGCGTCATAAACAATGTTCCAAAGGAACGATACATTTACCATCGATTCCTGGATTGATTACACAACATGTTCATGCATTTGAATTACGGTTATATGATACACCTGGTGCAATGTTTTATATTAAGCTGGAATATCATGATTTAACGCAAACATTTAAAAGATCAAAACGTAGTGGTGGTGGTGTTGGTGGTAATTTACGCACAACAAATCGATCATCAATCGGTGGTAATATTGGTGGCAATGAGCAACCATTATTCGGTGTTGATCTGGAAACAATTATACAACGTGAACAATCCGGTTATTCAATACCGATAATAATAAAACGTTGTTGTGATGAAATAGAAAAACGTGGTTTATATATGTTAGGTATTTATCGTCTTTGTGGTTCATCATTAGTTAAACGTACATTACGTGAATCATTTGAAAAAAATTCATGGTTAGCTGATATTAGTTTGGAAAATGTTCCCGATATTAATGTTATAACAAGTAAGTTTGTTGAAAAGAAATGTTTACGGAAATTTTTTTTTCTTTCTTTCTTTCCCAAATGTTTTCCTGTTGTTGTTTTACACAAAAAAAAAAACATTCGATCACATTTTCCGTATTTTTTTCGTTGTTTTTTCCCGTTTTTGAGTTTGGTTGCGAACTTTGTTTTTTTTTTGTTGAAAACTTTTGCGTTTTGGTTAACCCACTTTTTTTCCACCGTTTGTTTTTATCATTTTATTTTTAAATCATCCTTTGCGTTTCATCATCAATGCGTTTTTTTTTTCGTTCGTTCGTTCTTTTATACCTGATTGATTGAATTAACTGATTTTACTTTTTCATTTTATCGCAAATCTTTTTTTTGGGTTTGAATTTTGTTTGTTTCGGGGTTAATTTTATCAATTCATTTTTTTTAATTGAAAATAATCATTATCGTTTCGATCAAATAATCGATTTTAATCGATATTAATCGATTGTTTGTTTTTTTTCTGGTACAAATAATCCATTAATGGTCGAATTGACCACAAATAATCGTGTCATATTTTGTTGTTTGTGTGTTTGATGTCTGTGTGATGAGTAAATTTTGACAAAATCCATCATCATCATCGTTCGTCATCATCAATAATCGAGCTTTTTCCAATCACCATCATCATCGTCATCAATGATAAATGGTCATATCTGATGATCACCATGAATATCGAACGTATTGATTGAATTGAAACATACATTTTTCTTCAAAAGAAGACGACATTTTTCATTTGTAAGTTTCTTTTTGTTACGTTTCTTTTGTGTTCTCATTTTTTTCGTTTTCGTTTCGTTATTTTGTTAGAAAAATCATTTTTTTTTTCGTTGAAAATTTCAAAATTTCCCTTGAATCAAACGACAACAGCAAAATGCCTACATCACCGATTAGTGATGTAAAAAAAATCAATATGAACAAACGACGTTCATCAACAACAACAACACTTACATCAATGGATAGTACTATACTGGATTCTAGTCCATTATCAATGGATTCTGGTTTTGAATCAAATTCATCATCATCATTCATATGTGATTCTATAATGTCACAAAAATCCAATAGCGAATCATTAAAAGATTATCAAACAAAATCATTTAATCTTGATGATAGTTTAAAATTAATTGAACAATCAAAAAATTTAGATGGACCATCATTAGCATTGGTTATAAAAGAAAATCATGAAAATTATATGAAAAATCTGAATCTAATTATTGAAACATTTAATTCAAAATTTGATTTAAATAATAACAAATCGAATGAATCCACTGTTGCTGATGATAATGCGGTTAATGTTAAAGATGGTAATGGTAATGATGATTTGAAGATGAATAATCATCGTCGACGTTCATCAATGACAAATGTAATGATGATGACAAATTCGAATAGTATCGATAGCAGTTCAAGCAGCAGCAGCAAATCGACAAATAATCCTAATTTGAATATTGGACGTAGAAATTCAACACAATTACCAATTGGTACTGATCGTTTTTTACAATATAATCATCATCAACGACAACAACAACAATCGCAACAGCAGCCACCAAAACGTCATTTTCGTTTTCCAAATCTTTATTCAAAATCTGCACCAATTTCGGATAATTGTTTTGGTCAAGATCTAGTTGATAATGATAATTATGAATGGCGATTAGGTAATAATAATTCACATTCATTTCATTTAAATCCAAATGCATCAAATTTTTCACCAAATGATAATGATGATAATTGTCAATCATCATCATCTTCTTCAGGCAAAATTGGTGAAAAATTCATTGGTAAAATGGATAAAGGCGCATTGTTTACATTGAATGAAACATTTTTTGATCGAAAAGAATTGGTTTCAAAAACATTTTTTCATCAAATGTTGGCTGAAACTGCTGAAATCCAAGATGATGATAATGATGATAATTGTCAATATTCAAATCCAGCATTTCCATATATAATTATATCGGGTACAGAAATGGAAAATATACAACATTCAACAATCAATGATACAGGTTTGGATTCAACAAAATCATCATCATCATTTAGTGATATTGTTGCTAAATCATTACCATTTAATAATGATATTAAACAACAACAACAACAACAACAAAAGCAACGATCATTGACAACTAATATAACTGGTGGTAAGTTTCTTATTTGTTTGTTTGGTTGGTTTGGTTTAATTTTTCATTATTCTTTCTGTTGTAGATTTTTCTTTTCATAATGTATTGGGCAAAGGTTCGATCAATAAAATTATTGATAATAATGATGATAAATTGAAACAACAACAACAACAACAATCATCATCATCATCATCGGATACTGTAAATCGATCAATTTTTGGTAACATTCATGGTCTTAATAATTTGATTAATCAACCGGCTGTTGTTGTAAATGGCCATTCAAATTTAATTGTTCCTTATTCATCAACAACAACAACTTCTTCTTCATCATTATCATCATCATCGATTACATCGAATTCAAATTTGTTAACACAACAACAACGAACTAATAATCTTAATGCAATTGCATATGCAAATGATGAATTAGAAATTCGTGCACGAAAACATCGTGAAGAAGCTAGTCGTGTTGATCAATGTCAATCAATATTTTCTATTAACCGATTTGAATTCAAACCACAAACATTGGTAAAATATTCGGTAAAAGTATTTCTTGGTGGTGTACCATGGGATATGACCAATGAAGATATGTTGGAAGCATTTCGTCATTATGGTGTTTTAGCCGTACAAAGACCGGGTAAAGAAGTACGACCAAGTCGTTCAAGTCGTGATCTAAGTAAAGCTGGTTATTTATATCTTATATTTGATGATTCAAGATCAGTTGAACGTTTAATTGCTCAATGCAATATTGCATTCGATAGTGAAGGACCGAAATATATTTATTCATTACAATCAAAACATTCAAGAAAACTTAAAAATGTTCAAATAATACCATGGGATAAAAAAGATTCTTCACATTATCGTACTGGATTTCATTATCATGGAGATACATTGGCTGATAACAATAATAATGAAAATATACATTCATCAATGATTGATGAAAGTCGTATGGTATTTTTAGGTGCATTACATGGAATGTTAAATTCAAGATCAATTTTTGAAGCTTTACAACGAATATTTGGTCCAGTTGATTATGTTATACTTGAAACTGATCGTTTTGATTATCCAATGGGTTTCGGTAGGGCACAATTTTCAACAACATCTGCTTATCAACGTGCTATTAATGCACGTTTTGTTAAAGTATTATCGTTGCGTTTTAAGAAAACGGTATGTATTGTTTATGTGTTTCTCATTGACTAATTCATTATCTTATTTTTCTTTTAAAAAGATTCAAATCGATCCATATCTTGAAGATCAAAAATGTTCACAATGTTATTATGAAGATGGACCGGTTTATTGTTTTGAATGTCGTGATTATTTTTGTCGTGTATGTTTTACAATGAAACATAGTGAACCGGGTAAAGAATTACATAAAATATTGATGAAAAAAGTTTCATCAACAATTTCTACATCAAATAATAATAATTCTATTATGGCTTCTGCTACTGCTTCTACTTCTTCTTCTTCGATGAATCCTGCTATCGCTGCAATTGCTTCAAATATCAATACCGGTATTACATCAACATCATCATCATCATTATCATCATCAATAACCGCAACAACAGCAAAACTTTATTGAAAACTTTTTCTATTTTCTTTGGGCCTATTTCCGAGTGTGTGTGTGTGTGTGGTGTGTGTTTTTTTACAAAGAAACGAACGAAAGTGAATGGTGGATGTTTGTGTGTGTGTGTTTGAAGATTTAACGATTATATAATCTACTATTATGGTTTATAATTTTTTTTCTCTCTTTCTATTTTATCGTTTCGTTTTGTTTTTTTGGTTTATTTCATTTTGATTTTCTTTAGAAATTATCATTTAAATTTTCTCTTTTCTTTTTTGTTTGTTTGGTTCTTTTTGAATTCATTTTGTCTTTTTTTTCGTTTTGTTTTTGTTTTATTACTTAACCCTTTACACACCACACACACACACAACAACAGCAACAATAATGATGAATTTTGATCGAAAAAAAATAATAATAATAAATTTTAATTTAACCCTTTTTTGCCCCCTATAATTATGATCGATTTTCATATTTTAAATGTTTTGTGTTTGTATATTAGGTTTGCTCAAAGATTATCTACGCGAACTACCTGAACCATTATTCAATAAAGCAATGTTTGATATGATGGATGATGGTTTAAGTGTTTGTGTACCGGATGATCCAACCGGTAATGCAAAATTAATGTTTTCAATATTGGAATGTCTTCCTAAATCACATCGGGTAAGTTTTTTGGTTGGTTGTTGTCGTAGTTGTAGTTGTTGCATGATCAAATTGTGAAAGAAAAACCCCCGTGAAACTAATTGAGTGTTAAATTAACAGAATACGGTATTATACCTGATGGATCATATAAAATTAATACATATAAATTCGGATCGTAATAAAATGACATCACAAGCATTAGCAATTTGTTTTGGACCATTATTTTCTTGTCATGATCAATCGGATTCGGTTTATAAACCAATACAGGTGTTTAAATTTCTGTTGGATATTTGGCCACGACGTAAAGGTTAGTTTGTTAATTGATTAAGTTTGTGTGTGTGTGCGATCAATTATCATTGATATTCAGGTGCAATGAATATGCTTAAAAAATCGGACGATTTTAACCCTCAGTCATCATTGATGGATGGTGGTACTGCATCTTTATCAACAACAACGACCATTGCTTCCAATATTCGATCACCATCATATCGATCGCCAATGATTGCGGATAGTTTTACCACCACCACTTCTTCTTCTGTTGATCATCCTCATCACCATCATCAGCAACAACATCTTTATGATTCACCATCAGATCCATCATCATCATCATATCGTTTTCAATCGAATATTTTACAAATGGATGGTTCACCAACTAAATTATCAACTGCGTTAACAACCGCAACGACGACAACGACAACCAGCATTAGCGGTACAGGCCGATTATTACCATCAACACAGAATGCAACCCGTACAATATCCGCATATTCATCGGCAACAAATTCCATATCCAAATATAAGGTTCCTGCCGGTTCAACTGGACCTTTAATGTTGAATTCATCAAATGCTGGGGTTACCGCAACAACCACTACCGCAATTACAACCACCACCACATCATCAAGTCGAATCAGTTCGATTGATTCGATTTTATCATCATCATCACCATATCGATCCCGTTATGGTACGTCATCAATGAATGCGACAAGCTCATTAGATTCGAATAATGATATTCGAACATCAGCAACATCATCATCATATCGATTTTCAACTTCTTCGGCAAATTCGGATTATTATTCCAAAGATTCATCTTTGATCGGTGGTGGTGGTACTACTAGTGGTGGATTATCTTCTTCACGTTCACCATATTTATCATCATCATCATCATCATCATTACAAAAAAATCAATATACCGATAGTGAAGTTATTGATCAAACATATAAAAAATATCTTAATAATCCATCAACAACGACAACAACAATATCGTCATCATCGATTAGCGATATAATGATTACATCATCGACAACAACCGCAACCAATGAAGGATTATATTCTACTGTAAACAAACCATCATTGATGAGCACAACAAAACGATCATTATTGTTCGAAGATTCGAATCGAATATTGAATAAAACGAATGATCCATTACAAGATGATGATGATGATGGTGGTGGTGGATCATTATCATCAATCAAAAATTTACGTTCATCATCATCATATCTAAATGATAATAATGATTTACCATCATCAACAATGACATCATCATATCATCATCATCATCAAAATAATCATAATTCGCCTACAAAACCACTTATAACTGGTAGTGGACCATCATCAACACAGCTTTATCCATCAAGATTAAATAATATTATTAGTAGTAATAGCGGTAGTAATACAATGATAACTAGCTCATATACCACTGGATATTCATCATTATCATCATCATCATCATTATTGGGCCGTAATATTGATGATAATTCTGCTTCCAATCCATTAACAACAACAACAACAAGTAAGTTTGCCTCATCATCATCGATGACCAATCATCATTTGGATCGAGATTTATTAACAGGAAATGATTATAATACATCGTCGTCACGGAAGATTGGCGGTGGTGGTACAACAAGCTCAACAATCTATTCAACGATCAATGATGATGATTCATCGACAACAACAACTATGAACAAAATTCAATCCATAATCGATCATTCGGGTGATGATTCTATGGTTGGAACAACATCTACGACATCATATTTCCAACAATATCAAACACCATTAATTAGTTCAAGACATTATTCATCAACAACAACAACAACAAATGATTATCCTCATCATCGTCATCATCAACAAAAACATTTGGATGATGATAATGTTCTTTAAACATCGAAAAGAGTGGTAAATTGAAAACCTAAATAGTTTATCCATCATCGATCATCAATCATCCACAGCATTATCATCATTATTATTATTATCATCTATATGGGTAGTTTTTTGGTTGACTTTGAATTATATATTGTTTAAAATTATCATTACTTGTTTTAGCCATCATAAACACACAAACAACATTCCTTTGATAATAACCCAATCAAACACACATCATTTCTTTTGTTTTTCTTCTTCTGAAATTGTTAATCATCAGTAAAAGTTAAGAGAGCTACAGGTAAATAAATTACAATAATTAAATTATCAATATTGACCTTAATTTATTAATTGATAAATGTTACAATTTACAAAACACGAAAAAAACCATATAAAAAACTTTTGTCGAATTTATAATTTAGAAACATTTTCTTATCAGAAACATTTTTTTTCTTTCCAGAAACATTTTTCTTTGATTATCACCACCATCAATTTTTTTCTCTTCAAAAATTCAGAATTTGACCGAAAATAATAATAAAAATTGTTTGTTGTTTTTTTGATTGTTCGTTTCTCTTTAATTACTTTTCTTTGTTTTGGATCGAGATTTTTCCAATTTTTTTGTTTTATTTTTCGTTTTTTTGGATGATGATGATGATCGTTGTAATAATTTGGTTTCGGATGATGATGGTGATGAATTACGATTTGATTTTAAATCACTTTTAATACGTTTTCTTCTTAATGAATCACTATCACTATAATCATAATAACCTTCATCTTGTAATTGTATTTGAATATAAATTATTATTATTATAAAATAAATTATAAATATCCAACTGAATATTATAAAAATCATATTGAAAATTTTCGAATGATCTTTGATTTTATAACAAATATCTTTAATTTGTTTATTTTTCATTCGTGAAAATACTTCTGCACATGTTTCTTCATATAAACAATCGGTTAATGGATGTTTTTGCATACGTACTTTTATAACTGCTTCACAATAATCATCATTCTTTTCTCTAAAGGGTCGACTCATTATTTCATTACAAATTTCTGTAACGCATTTACAAAATATAAATTGTGAACAACAATTTATTAATGCTGATATTGTTATCGAAGCAGTTGATGATGATGATTTGGTTGATAAATATAAATATTTTTGATGTGAACAATAATTCAATACTTCTGATAATGTATTATTATATAATTTATATTTTTCTGATTTATTATTCATAAATATTATCATTACTATTAATAATGATAATGTTATGATTATTGATAAAAAAATGAAAAAACTTTTCATTTTTTTTTCACTTTGTTGTTGATGTTTTTCACTTGTTGTTTTCGAAACTTTATTTGGTCGGTTATTCGATGAAAGGAAATTCAACTTTCCAAACAAAAACAAAAATCAATGAATTTTTCGAGTTTCGAACGTTTTTTTTAAAACTTGTAATTCATTCAAGTCGTTCTATTGATTCGATTTTTCTTACGCCAAATTGAATTATTGCACTGTTTCGATGGTTTGTACGTTCGATTCACGATTACGATAACGATATTGATTTGATAAGAGTTGATTGAAAGAAATTAATCAATTTTGGCCCAATTAATTATTTCATGCTACTCACATTGCTTCATGCAAATGATGATGATGATAGTGTGATGTAAACATTCAACCAAACCAAAACAAAAACAAACAAGAATTTCACTTTTGTTTTGTTTTTCGTTTCCTCAAAAAATGATTATGAAGATGTTTATGATTCGTTGGTTGATTGGAATCATTTCATTTGTTCCAATTTTATTCATTTCAATTCGGTTTGTTTTCTCTTTCTCTTCGTTTCCATTGATAACATTTCTTCACTAAATGTAGATGTCAAACGATATTAGCACCACAGCAATTAAATCTTGATGGCCAAGATCGATTCCTGATCATATTTGACCGGTCCGCAGAAGATAATGGCCAACAACGATTGTTACGGGCAAAATTATTATTATCATTTTCCCGAAGTTTTAATCACGTTGTTTATGAAGATGAAATTCGAACCGAAAGTAAGTTTCCTTCGATTATCGATTGTTTGATCGTTCGATTGTTTATTTCGTTCGATAGAATCGATTGATGAATGGACATTACCGTATGTTTATCGGCCACAAGAGTCGTCGACGACTTCGACATCCAAATTCAAATCATTTCGTTTTGATCAAATATTTATGAAAATAATCATTGAACAACCGAAAAAATCGGAACAAATTATTCGCCAATTTTCAATCGCTTCGAATTGGAATTTAGGATTTTTTCAATCAGATAAATCAATTTATAAACCATCCGAATTGGTACATTTACGTTTTGTTCGTTTAAATCGTTTAACATTCAAACCAATCGTTAATGATCAATGTTATTTAATGATTAAAAATCAACAAAAAATTAAAATGGATTTCAAGAATTTAACATTAAAATCACCCGAATATTTTCTACAATATTCATATAAATTACCAACAATTTTAAATAATAATGGTGAATGGGAAGCTGAAATCAATTGTCCTGAAACTAAATATCAAAATAGTTTAAAATTTCAAGTTAATGATTATGTTTTACCTAGATTTCGTATCGATATTGAAGCACCACCGGTACATCTTTGTGGTTCATCTGATAAACCATTGATCATTCGATTACGAGCAACATATACTTATGGCCGACCTGTTAATGGATATGCATATTTTCGTATATCGATACAATCAAAATTTAACAATCGATATCCGAAAAATCAAAATAATAATGTTGAACAAAAAACACCAGTTGAATGTTTAAATTCAACAACCGGTTCATTGGAACAATCAATAATATTATCCGGAAATTTTTGTAAAAGTCAACAAAAATTACCTCAAAGATTATTAATCGAAGCAATCGTAACGGATTTATCGACAAATCAAAAAGAAACCAGCACTATAAATGATCAAACAATTTTAGCTAAATATCCATATCGTTTATGGAAAAGATTTACAAATCTTGTTTATCGACCAAAATTAGCAAATTATTTAGCATTTGAATTAACTGATCATGATAATAATCCAATGGCTAATATACCGATTGAAATTCAGATGTCCGATTCAAATGATCATAATATTCAACCATATATTTTAACATCGAATCAAAATAATCCAGATAATAATTTAATTCAAACAGATTCAAATGGATTGATTATATTTACATTTAAATTGGATCGAAATTTAGGTCCATTAAAAGTTCGTATCCGTAGTCGGGATCCCAGATATCGTCCCGATCAACAAATGTCTGAAGAATTTACAATTTTTCTTTTTGATTATGTAAATCAAATTGAGCAACAACGACAACCAGTTATACAAATATCGAATAAGAAAAAAATTTGGTATAAAGCTGGTCAACGATTTCGTTCATCATTGGTTTATGATGGACCGATTGATTCGAATCAAACATATTTGATTATTATGCATCATGAATCGATAATTCATTTTAGCCACCTGAATTCATCAACATTATCCATCGATATTCCATTGACAAATCAAATGGCACCATCAATTCGAATGCTTGTTTTAGCATTTATTCAATATGAAAATCGTTTTGTAGCAGATTTTTTTCGTATATTAATACGACAAAATAATTGTGGTGTACAAATGAAACTTGGTAGAACAATGGTAAAACCAGGACAAAATTTATCAATAACATTCGATGGTGGTCATTCAGGTGATGTACTAGCATTGAAAGCTATTGATGAATCTTTGGAAATATTACAACAAAAAAATCAATCATCATCCGCATTAAAACTGGATAAATCTTTGCAGAATATTTACCGAAAATTTATACCTGGATTAGATTTAACAAATCAAAAATCATATTATCGATCAACGGATACAATATCGTTGATTGAAAATTTTGGTCTACAAATTTTAACACCAACCGCCGTTGATACAACTCGTCATATTCGATATAGACGTAATATTCATCAATGTGATCGTTTAGCTAAAAATCCATGTTGTCAATTGGCAAAAAGTAAATTTCGACAACAAATATCATGTGAACATCGAATGGCCATACTTCGAAATCATTTGAATGCTACCATCGCAACCACCAAGGATTGTTTACAGGCATTTTTCCAATGTTGTCAATGTTCAACAATGTTTGGAGAACCAATTCTGATCGGACAAAAACATTCGTTTATATTTTCACAAAATGGTATGCATGGAATATTTCTTTTGAATTGAAATTTTAGTAAATTTTCCCGGAAATTCTAGAAATTCGAACAATGTCATCGAACGTTCCGGAAACATTTGCCGGTCGTGATGATTTTGAAGATGATAATGATGGCCAAAATCTAGATATAAAACGTAACGATTTTCGTGATTCATGGTTATTTGATATTTATCCATTGGAACATCGTACAAAAACAATATCCAAAATGGTTCCACATTCAATTACATCATGGTTGATATCATCAATATCCATTTCAAAACAGGATGGTTTTTGTGTTGAAACACCCGAGCAAAAACTAACTGTTTTCAAATCATTTTTCATTAAAATATCAATGCCTAAATCTATTGTACAATATGAACAAACAGAAATATCGGCAACCATTTATAATTATCATAATGAAACATTGGATACTGTTGTTCATTTTTATCATGTTGATGGTCTTTGTTCGGATGCATATAGATCATTAGATAAAGCAAGTACCGAATTACGTTTAATGTCAAATGAAAGTAAAACTATAATATATCCTATAATTGGTTTACGTATTGGTCAATTTCTGATTCGTATTAAAGCTGAATCTGGTTATCATTATTATAAAGATACTGTTGAAAAATTTATAAAAATATTACCACCAGGTGAAACAATGGAATATTCACATTCAAGTAATCTAGATCCAACTAATCGTTCAAAACGTAATGAACAAATGAAAAGAGATTCAAATGAAATGATTGATGTTATTGATGAAATATATCCGGAACGAAAATATCAAAAAATTAATATTTCGATTCATAGGGATTTACATAATCATAATCATCAGAATAATATTGTTACCGGAACAATTCATCATCGATTATCATTGATCGGAGAACGATTTGAACCACAACTAAAATCACCCGAAGAACTGAGTCATCTAATACGTAGAAGAAAAAGTTGTGGTGAACAAACGGCATTTTATATGGCATTCAATCTACATACAATGATTTATTTGAAAGAAACTAATCGATTAAATCGTACATTACGTAAACGTGGCCGAAAACATTTAAAACGTTCTTATAATGATTTGATTAGTTATCGGAAATCAAATGATGGATCATTTGCAGCATTTATTAATCGTGAATCATCTGTTTGGTTGACGGCATTTGTATCGAATTTATTTTGTCAATCAGAACAATTTCTGGATGATGATGAATTTGATATAAATATGTTATCCAAATCATTGGATTGGATTCTTCGACAACAACAACAATCATCGGGTAGTTGGACGGAATCATCGACAACAACAACACATATACATCATCGTTATGCTGATGGTGGTAGTAATCAGAATGATGAAACACTTACGGCATTTGTATTGATCGCCTTGCATCAATGTAATTTATTTATAACTCGAAATAATTTTACTGATAAATTACAAACAAATTGGTCAATTGATTATGTTAATGCAAATCATAAAAGTTTTCGTTATCTTTTGGATGAAATTTCTCGAACGAATCATTCATATTCGATGGCAATAATTTTATATTCGTTACTTTTATCGCCATCATCATTACCGTTTTTAACAAAAAATGATCGTTATAAATGGATGGAACATTTATTACAACATCCGGATCGTCATCAAGATGGTAAACTTAATCAAATGTATTTTGATACTGGATCGTTGACTGTTGAAACAACTGCATATGTCCTATTGGGTATTGGTTGTTTATCCGATACGGATTTTATTGATGAACGAAAAATGTTGGCAAATTGGCTTTCCTCACGTCCATTATATGGTTCGATTGAAAAAACACAAGATACTCTGATGACATTGATAGCATTATCCGATTATTATCGTTCATCATCATCGATTGAAAATAATAATTTACGAAATCAATTCGAATTATATACAAATATATCATTTGGTCAACGATCAACTGGTAATCGTGAAAAACGTTCAATAAAATTTGATTCAAATTCATTAGATCATTTACATATGATTGATATGGATGGTAATATTGTTGATCATATTGAAATTGAAACTATTGGTAATGGTATTGGACGGTTTGAATTATTAACCAAATATAATGTTTATGATCCAACAACAATGGAATTGGAATGTCCATTCGAATTGAATGTACAGCTTTTTGATTATATTCCTACACAACAAGATGATGATATTGATGAAGAAGATTCGTTAATAATCGATGATCAATTGATAGAATCATTACAAATTGAAAAACTTGATGAAAAATTACAGCTGGAACAAATGAAACGAATGAAAAATGTTTGCCGATCAAAAATTCCGGATGATAATAAAACAAATCGAACCAATGATGATGATAATCGTGATGGTGCTTCAAGGCTAAAAAATTGGCAATGTGAACAAAATTTTCAAAATTATCCATTACCATTATTACCGGAATGGATTGAAAATCCAATCATTAAGATAATACGTATTTGTACGTTGAGAAAGCCATCAGATGATAATGATCGAAGATCAACGACCATCGATGATGATAATCAAATGGTTATACTTGAAACAAGTATCTTAAGTGGTTATCAAGTGATTGAAGATGATTTGAAAATAATGAAAAATAATTCAACAATAATTTATTGGTATGAAATTGCTGGATCAAAAATAACATTCTATTTACGACGAGTACCACGAACATATCGTTTATGTTTTTGTTTTCGTATTTATCAACAAAATCCGGTTAATTATATTCAATCTGCATTGGTTAGAATTTATAATTATCATCAAAAAGGTTTGTTGATTTTCTGTGTGTTTTGATGGAATTCTGGTAACTTTTTTTCTGTTTTTCAAATGTTTCTATTCCACATTTAGAATCGGATTGTCGAAAAATGTATTCGGATATAAATGTAAATCGTTTTCTAAATTATAGTTGCCAGGATGATTATTGTCAATGTTTAATTGAAAATCGTTGTACACGTATTGATCTGTTTAAACATATTGAAGAAGAATTCATACAAAATATATTCAATGCATTTGAATTATTTAAAAGAACTATTTGTCAACATCGTTATGTATTGAATGTTATTGTTCGATTTTTACCTCTTGATAATGATGATAATAATGGAAATATCCAAAATAATGCACCCAAATCCAATTTTAATTCAAGCTTAACATTGATTATTGAATCATTTAAGGTTGTACGAAAACCACGAAATGATGATGACCATCATCAATCAACAACAGGTTTATTATCCAATGGATTACAATTACGTTTTGAATATCCATGTAATCATTTATGTTTGGATAGTCGTATTTTACAACAAGCTTATAATCGTTCACAATCATCTATAAGATTTCATGCTTTGGTTATGTTTAATGAAATAATTTCCGGTTTAAATTCATCATCATCAACAACAAAAGCATCATCATTTGTACGAATGGATGGTCTAACAACATGGCATATGTTTGATATTGGTAAAAATTGGCAAATGTCAAATGATCTAATGTTGATGCTTGAAAATGAAGGTCCATTACAATGTGTTAATTGATGTGAAATGAATGTCCGAATGAAATTTTTGCTGAAATTGAAAACCAACAACACAACACGATCATAATTATAAATGTATTATATTTTGCAACTTTAATTAATGATTATAATTATAATGATGATGTTAATAAATCATAAGATTTTTATTTAAAAAAAAAAACAATTTGTACTGATTTGGCAATCATCATTATTATTATATTTCTAAAAAATAAAATGTTTGAAAAGAAGGTCTTACCATTGAAACCACAAATTTTTGGTTTTTGTAAATCAAATCTAATCTAATCTAGGTTAATATGGCAATTTTTTTTTTTTTTTTTTGAAAGAGGGGGGAGATATTATAACGTAATATATTTGTCGTCATGCGTCATTATGAAATATACACTGTAAAATACGCCCAATTAAACAAATATTGAGAGCATCGATCGATCGATTGATCCAATCAATAAATCAATCAATAAATAGATCAATATATAATGATTCCAATAATGAGATTTGATTTGATTACTTTTGATTTGTTTTGTTTTGTTTTCTTTTCCAAGTGATAGTCGAGTGAGAAAACAATAATGGGAAATTTTTGGTCAAATTGGTTTGATAATCAGCCCGATGACGATGAACGTTTGGAACAACCAAGATGGTTTGGACATTTACCGCATCCAAATTCAATCGATACGATTGAACCAACATTAACATTATTCGATCGAAATGGTACCAATATTGAAATCAATCATAAACAACAAATGAATATGGTTATCGATATCATTCGTAAATCCGGTTGTTTTGATCAATCAAATGATGATGATGATGATGGTGGTCAACGTTTAGTAATTATAACGCATGGATTTCGTAGTGATAAACATACTGAATGGTTACATGAATGTAAAGATGCTATATTGGATTTTGATCATTCAAACAGTGTACAACAATGGCAAGTTGTTGGTATATTAGGATGGGGTGGTGGTGCCGATATAGGTCTGGTTAAATATCAACAAGCAGCATCGAATTGTTTTGAAGTTGGAAAATGGTTGGGTAATTTTCTACGAAAATTTCGTCATGAATTTCCAAATGTTTCTACTTATGGTATTGGTCATAGTCTTGGTGCACATTTACTTGGTATGGCTGGACGAATAAATTCGGGAAATTTTGATCGTATTACCGGGTTAGATCCAGCTGGTCCTGGATTTCAAAATGAAAATCATGATAAACGTTTAAATAATATGGATGCATTGATGGTCGATGTTATACATACGGATGGTCAAGATATACCATATTTTGGTACATTAGTACCATTAGGAAAAATTGATTTCTATCCAAATTATGGTTGGAATCAACCATCAACCGATGAACGAGCGAATGTAAAACCAATGATGGCCAGAAATCCACGAAATAATTCAAAAAAATTTGTTAAATCAAATAGTCCGTATGGTTATAATATGTCTGAATCACATAGTCGAGCGATTGAATTTTTTCGATGGTCAATTGAAAATCCGGGAAAATTTCGAACCTATTTACAATTGGAACAGGCACCTGATGTTGAAATAGGCGTACATCGAATTCGTTCGATACAACCGATGATCGATGTTGAAGTTGAAATGGGTTATCATTTGGATACATTTCTTCAGATGCATATCAATTCCAGGTGCAGCGCTGTTAACAACAAAAACAACAACCAGAAGAAACTGAATCCTGATAATGATGATAAACAATCCCGAGAAGAATTATCAACATGGAAAACATCAACAACCAATAATCGAAAATATTGGGGTAATTATTATGTACATACTAATGCACAATCACCATGGTGTTAATTGATGATGATGATGATTATCATCAGAATTTTTAACCCGTTTAACCTAAAAAAATCTTTATTTCTTTTAATAATGATTTTCCCCAATAAGAATTTAAATGCACAACAAAAAAGAATATTTTACCTTCGTTTTTGCCTCTTTCTCTCTCTCTCTCTGTTTAAATGATCATTCATATTGCCATAAAGCTACCATTCATCGTTGTCTATGATTAAAAAGAATGATTTTTTTTTCTCTTTTTTGCATTTAAACATTTAAATCGAAAATCGAATGCGAGACTTGCGAATCAAGAAAGAAAAAAAGCGCTCCAAAAACCAAAAAAAAAAAAAAATCCTCTTTGTGTTCGAAATGAGGGTGTGCGCGCGCGCATTTATTTAAAACGCGCGTAAAAAATTCTTCGATTAAAAAGCGCAGAAAACAAAACAACAAAAAAAAAACATTGCGCGCTTTTTTTTTTCTTCTTTTTTTTTAATTGCGAGCGCACAACGAACAGAAACACTGCATATGCACACANCATTTAAACATTTAAATCGAAAATCGAATGCGAGACTTGGGAATCAAAAAAAAAAAAAAGCGCCCCAAAAACCAAAAAAAAAAAAAAATCCTCTTTGTGTTCGAAATGTGTGTGTGCGCGCGCGCATTTATTTAAAACGCGCGTAAAAAATTCTTCGATTAAAAAGCGCAGAAAACAAAACAACAAAAAAAAAAACATTGCGCGCTTTTTTTTTTCTTCTTTTTTTTTAATTGCGAGCGCACAACGAACAGAAACACTGCATATGCACACATGTTCGTAAAACATTGCTCGTTACGCGCGTAAAAAAAATTTGCGCCAAAAAAAAAAAAAAAGAAAAAAAAATTAAACCCGCACCACAGACAACAGACACACAGCGAAGACATTCATTTGACATTCATTCGCTGAAATGTAAAGTGATCGTTCGATTCATTATTCGCGGTTAAAATTCGAATTGGTTAAAAAACAATGGCATCATCAATGAATTCGACGATTATTGATCAACATTCATCAAATTTTGTTGTTTATCATCCAAATCATCAATCAACAACAACAGCAAATCTGATTCAATCACCATCGATGATTATAAATTCGAATTCGAATGATAAAAATACATCGACAGCATCAACAGCAACAATAATGTTATTATCATCATCACCAGATAATTATCATGATTATGGTCAATATCATCCAAAACAATGGGCTGAACGTGCACATTCAATACGGTTATCATCATCACCTGATCGTGATCATCATCATCATAATCATCATATTGATTTACATTCACCATCATTATCATCACCGTTACGATCATCACCGATTTTATTTTCACCACCACCACCAAGACAATCATCAGAACAACAACAAGAATCAATGGAAAATCATCGACAATTATCGAATGAAAATTCCTATATAACACCGATGAAAAGATCATCAATAAATCAGAATCTTAAACGTGGCCGACCACGTAATGAAGATATATCGAATCTAATTCTAACTGGTTCAAATTCATTATCATCGATAAAATGCGATATTTGTCATCGTACATTTCCAAGAGAAAAAAGTTTACAAGCACATTTACGTACGCATACTGGTGAACGACCATATCGTTGTGATTTTTCGGGTTGTGGTCGTGCATTTGCACAATCCGGCCAGCTTCGAACACATCAACGATTACATACGGGTGAAAAACCATTTATTTGTCGACAACAAAATTGTACGAATCGTTTTACACATCCAAATCGTCGTTGTTCAATACATCCAACAGTTGGTGTACGAAGAATTGAACCTGTTCAACCGGTTAATCGAAATAGTTTCGGCAATAGTGCGAGTGGTAACAAATTACCAAAATCATCAGCCAAAACCATCATCAAGAATAATCGATTGACATCAACAACGAAGATAATTTTTACAAACAACAACAACAGCAACAATAATCAAACAAATGAATTACAGCCAACAATAATTTTAAAAAACAATAACAACAACAAATCGAATGAATTACAATCAACAATTTCTTGTAAATTATCAACAACATCGAATGTTGTTGTCAATCAACAACAACAACAACAACCGATTATTATTGCAAGAAAAAGTGTTATCAATCATACTGGACGAGCATCAAGAAAATTGGATGCAGAATTGAGTGCTGTTGATGCTACAAATGTTACGGCTGTTCCTGAAACATCATCATCGATACAATCGATTATGACTGATAATCTATCATCATCGATACCATCGATTATTGCTGATAATCAACAATCGATATCTTCATCTATTTGTAATAATGATGAAAATAATTTAGAATTATTAGGTGCATTAGCATTAATGGAATTGGCTAATGGAATTAAAAATAAATCATCATCATCGACAACAGCGACAGTAATTAATAATGAAAATAATGTTCCTTGGAAATTGAATAATGAAAATTTAAAATTACAAACTAATAATAATACTGCTGTCTATCTAAAACCAATCAAAAGAATATTACAAAATATTCAATTAAATTGAAAAACGCTAAAAAACAAATTTTACTAAATCAATCGCTTTTTTTATTAAAAGACGATCAAATCGTCGTTTTTTTTGGGGAAGAAAAGGGGAAAATAATCAACGTTTTTATTTCTTTCACCGGTAAATTGTAATAACAAAAATTCATTTAAAATGTTTTAAAATTTCATTATTTTCATTATTATAATTTTGTTCTTTGAATTCATTTTTTTATAATAAAAAAACAAAACAATTAAATTCCATTTCCATACTTGTTGTTGTTGTTGTTATTGTTCAAATCAATCATTTCATCTTGATTTGATGTTTGTTCATATGTACGATGAACAGATGATGATGTTTTCAATAGTTTTTTATCTTTGAATAATAATAATAAACCGATTGTTGGTGCTTCGAATGTCAGATGTAAAAGATAACCGATTATAAATGAAGCTGAAAATGTTGTACTTATAATAGGTGATAAATTGATCCACGTTCCAAACTGTATTGGTTGACGAACTTGATGTGCAAAAAACCATATAGTCATTAGATGTGATAAATATAATGAAAATGATAAACGTGATAATGGTTTAAATAGATTTGCTGATAATATTCTGGTTACAATCATTTTCGGCTTGATTGAACATTGATAAATAATCCATCCGTTTGATAATGACCATACTAATATTAATATGGAAAAATTTATTGCATTCATAATGGATGGATCACCACTAATTTTCATTTCATTTGATGCAAATAGATATGATGAAAATGGTATGGTCAATAAGAATATTGATGATAATGACCATATCAGGATTTCTTGCCACTATTTTGATTGTTTGGTGTTCAGGTTGGGTGTATTTGGGTGTGGAGCAGAAGAAAAATTAATTTCCTGGACAATTTTTGACATAAACAAACCTTTGTAAATTTAAGTAAACGATTCTCAAGGATTACAAAACCAATCGAACAGCCAATGAAATATGGTACGAATTGCATGAAACATGCAAAATAAATAAAATTTAATGCGTCATTTGGAAATCTTTTTTTTAATGGTGGAGGAAAAACCGATTGAAGATATCTTCCATTTAGAAATTTTCACTATTCACACTTACCTGTATTTAGTATACATAATAATTTGTATCAATGGAAGTTTAACTAATCCAATTGAAATTGGTATTATTATCGATAACATACCGATACCGACAAATATCCAACAAAATATCATTGCTAAACGTTGATTTTTTGTATACAAAATCAATACAAAAAAAGCGATGATATGAATTTGTAAATCAGCTGCCAAATACCATGTGGATATATTACACTAGTTTTTAATTCAAAAGTTCTTAAGGTAAGTGTTTTTCTGATTAATAGATATTTACCATATCTTCAACAGGTATATAATTACTAAAATAAAGTAAATGTTTCCACCAATTTTCATAACAAGGACGTAATGTTGGCCATAATAAATCATGATGAAATAATGGTCCATTACCTAATGATTCGAGGCCGATATTCAGACAAATCAAACCAATTAATGATGGTGTTAAACGTAACCAACGTAATAGAACATAAGGCAGGAATCCAATTTTAAGATTTTTCGTTGATGCCGTTAGATAAGTGGAAAGAAATCCACTAATCAGGAAAAATGTCATTACAACTAATGCACCATTATAAAATGGTTGTGCCATTAATGTTCGAGATAATTGAATTGCATCATTGGGAAAACGTGCAATAACCGATACGGGCATTAATGTTGGAACCAATACCAAACCACCAGCATGTGCCATCATTATAAACAATGCACCAAATGCACGAATACCATGAATAAAACGAAATTCTTGACGTTGTTGTGTTTGTCCAACCATCGATATTTTTGTCGATTTAATTTGAAATAAATAACGATTATTTTTGATCAATGAAAAACAAAGTAGAATTTTATAAAAATATGAATAATTTTTATCACCAAAAATCATTTCAAAAATTGTTGCCGGTATTATTAGAAACCATGGTGTTAATAGGATTGTCCATGCAACACGAAGGCCGAAATTATCTGTTGACGATGGTTGCTGATCATCATAACCATCGTTCGACTGACAATAAGTAACATTGAAATGTACCGTTCGAAGAACATCGTAATCTACAGAATTTAGAAAAGTAAACAAAACAAAAAAAATCATAAAATTTGTTTGATTTTTTGGATTCTTGAAATAATTTTTACATGAAATCAACAGTTGACGAATTTCCCGTTCATTACATATGGATGGAAAACAAATGGCCGTTGCTATTGAATAATAATTATCATTTTGATACCATTGTTCAATATAATCAATTAACCATTCATGTTCCAACTGGGAATGATTATTTTGAATTCCAATTGGATGTTGGAATTTATTTGTACGTGGCAGGTTTATTGTTGCCAAACAATAACGACCAACAAATTTTTTTTGTTGAAATTTATTCCGTATGGATAAACATTGATCAAAATCACCTAATTCGGTTGTTGTACCGGATAACAGGCCGATCGGACGATTAAAAATACCTGAATCGATTACTGTGGTGGGGGGGTTGAAATGAAATTATTCAAAGGTGATAACAACCAGAAATTAACCCCTTGCTTACTTTTTGCTGTCCATTCTTTTTCGATTGGATTTCGTATCATATATTCAATAATATTTAAACATTCAGAACGAATCTGATTCTGTAAATTATCACGAACGATAATTCGCTTGAAACGTTCTAAAATTTGTTGATTATTTTGCCAAAGATTTGTTTGTAATATTCTTGTCATATTTTGCCAATAATCATCAAGATTATTGGCAATAAATCTGGATAAATCATCATCGATATCGATTCGTCGTCCAATATCGCAGTGGACTTTAGTTACGATAAAAATATTTATTACAAACAAGATCAAACAACCAACGATTAAACGAATTTGGATCATTATTATTTGTTTTTTTGTTTTATTATTTGTTCACTGGTTGAAATTAATGTAATGATTTTTTTTTTTGGTTGTGGTCAGTTCTTTTTATAACCAATATCATCAATATGATGATGATGATTTTATCTTGATTGAATTATATTTTTTTTTGTTCGCTCTAACTATTCCGTTATTTTTTATCAAAAGAAATATTTAAAAAAAAACTTTTCAACCGTTTTCAACAATATTCCTTTTGACGAATAAGATACAAAAAAAATCCTTGAAATATTTCTTGGAAAATCGAATGATAATTGTGATATTCATAATATAATAATAATATTCATTTAAATGTTATTCGTTTTTTTTCCTGGTTGTAATTTTTGTTGATTGGTTCAATTCAATCATTGCTACCATCTTATCGATGAATGTAATCAATTACCATCGATGTACTGATTATTAACAAGAGAGAGAGAGAGAGAGAGAGAGAGAGAGAGAGAGAGAATCAATTTGCTAAATGAAAAAGTATCTAATTAATGATAATGAAGAAAAAAACGCTATCTAAAATCAATCAAAAGAATATTATACAAAAATAATTTTAATTAAATTGAAAAACTAAAAAGAAAAAAACGTTAAAAAACTATACTGAATCAATCAAATTGGTCGTTGTTTTTGTTTTTTGTAATTCAAAATATTTTAAAAATTTAATCATCATCATCATTATTACAATTATAATTTTATACTCAGGTTTTTTATAAACTTTTTTTTATAAATAAAAAAAACACAAAGAAGAATTAAATTCAATTTCTATACTTGTTGTTGTTGATGTTTGTTGTTGTTGTTAAAATTGTTGTTGTTGTTGTTGTTGTCATTATTCATATTAATCATTTCATCTTGATTTGTTGTTGTTGTTATTGTTGTTTGTTCATTTCTTACTGATCTTCTTGATAACCGAGATAAACGAGATAAAATTGAACCGGTTGTAAAAAAATTTGTACGATGATCAAATGAACGTAATGTTTTCAATAGTTTTTTATCCTTGAAAAATAATATTAATAAACCAATTGTTGGTGCTTCGAATGTCAAATGTAGAAGATAACCGATAACAAATGCAGCCGAAAATGTTGTACTAACAATACGTATTAAATCGGTCCATGTTACCAACGATATTGGCTGTCGAACTTGATGTGCAAAAAACCAAATAGTCATTAGATGTGATAAATATAATGAAAATGATAAACGTGATAATGGTTTAAATAGATTTGCNAAACATTCAGAACGAATCTGATTCTGTAAATTATCACGAACGATAATTCGCTTAAAACGTTCTAAAATTTGTTGATTATTTTCCCAAAGATTTGTTTGTAATATTCTTGTCATATTTTGCCAATAATCATCAAGATTTTCGGCGATAAATTTAGATAAATCATCATCGATATTGATTCTACGTCCAATATCGCAATGGATTTCCGCAACAAGAAAAACAAACAAGAACAAACAACCAACGATTGAACGAAATTGGGTCATATTTTTGTTTTTCACCAAATTGAATTAAATTACACCTTTTTGTTTGCGGTTGGGTCAGATCATTTCATTACCAATAATCAATATGATTTTTCACCAAGTGAATTCACGGACACACACAGGTGTTCGGAAGAAAGAAAAAACACTTTTTAACCACTTTTTTTCCTGTTTTACCTTTAAAAAAAATCGATTATCGATGAAAATTTTTCATTACCAGGTTTGTTCCTTTACTGTGTGATTTACGGTTGTCAATCGATCGATTGATTGATAAGAATCAATTTAAAAAAAAAAAATCCAGGCAGAAAAAAAAACTTTTTCATTTATTCATTTTTTTGTTTTTAACCTTGATTAAAATCGATTTAGATTTTTAAATTTTGAATTTTTGCAAAGTGTGAAAGGGTTTCATGTGTGTTTGTGAAGCAAACTAAAAAAAATTTAAACTATTTTTCTTGACAAATTCTGTTTTGGTTTTTCATGTTTTTATTAAAAATGTTTTTTTTTTGTTTACTGACAAATTGGATTGGAATATAATATTGGTGTATAAAGTGTGTTTTGGTGTTGATGTTTGTTGTTGTTTTTCTATTTTAACTATATTGTTGAATAGCTTCACGCAATTTTGGTTCACTGGCACCAGAAAATGAATGAACTTTTTGTTCATTTTTAATCAATACAAATGTAGGCATCGATGTTATACCATATTCGCTTGTCAATTCCTATATATCGATGAATGTTGGGAGATTGAAAAAGGTAAAAAAATGAAAAAAAATGAAATGACAATCATTAGATACACAAGGAATAACACATAAGGAAAACAACATACTTCATTTTCATCAACATCAACCTTCAATACAACCAATTTATCTTTATTTTCTTCGGCCATTTTTTCCAATACCGGTGCAATCAAACGACAAGGGCCACACCAAGTTGCATAAAAATCAACAACAACTAATTTATTGCCAGCATCTTTTAATTGTTTTTTCATATCATCCTAATAATGATAAACAATCGAATCAATCAATCATTTTGTGTAACACAACAAACTTACCTTATCGGTAACTTTATGAACCATTTTTGTTTCGTGTTTTGTTTTTTGGTAGGAAGATTTTTTTCAGGAATGGATTTTTTTTTAGAAAAATTTGTAAAACCAAAGTTGCCTGTTGCAAATAATAAAAAAAGAAAAGTTTTTTAATTACAGTTTTGCTGTCGTGTGTATGTTTAAATACAAAAACAACAATAATCAAATTATGCTGTTGTCAAATAGAATTAACCATTTAACATACAGAATCTGTTCGGTTACCACAAAAAAAAATTCTGGATTTTTTTGGCCAAAACAAAAAAACTTACCTCAACTTTCTTTTTTTTTAAAAAAAAATGATGACTAAGATACAAGTTACAGTGGTACAAAAACGATGATCATAAAAATCCGCTTATAGTATATCTTTCTTTCACTCGTTGTTGCAATGAAAAGAATATAACGTTGGCGTTATTATTATTTGAATAATGGTTGCTGATGGTGATGATAATGTTTGTTTCAACAAAAAAAAAAAAAAATGATTAGTTGGTGAGAGTAAGGCAATTTTGTATAGAGAAGAAGAAGTCTTAGCTGAATTTTAATCAATGATGGTGATGGTAATGATGATAATGATGATGATGAGTATGGCCAAAAAAGAAAAAAAAAATTATCTTCTTTTTTTTCAAGAGGCGAAAAAAACAAATCAATCGGGAGCAAAGAGAAAAACGAAGAAGAAGAAAAGAGAAGCGGCAAATGTCGAAGTTACCAAAAAGTGTTTGATTGCACGCGTTCTTTTCGTTCGATTTTTTTTCGTTCGTTCGATTTACGCATGATCAGTTAAAATAGCCGGTATTTTAGCAAAAAGAAATGGAATGGGCGCCACCACCTTGGTGTTTTTGAGTGTATATAGCATGGCGGGTGTGGCATATTGCTGCGCATGCTAAATTATGTAATCCAAAAAAAAAAAAAAAAGATTCGAATTCGAATTCAAAAAACACCCCCGCACACACACACCAAATATCTTATCGATTTTGACATTTTTCAATTCTTCCTGTTTTTTTGTTTCTCAAACAAAACAAAAAAATCGATTTCGAAAATGTTACGAATTTTCAAAATGATGGTTTTTTCCCCCAAAAAAATATGAAGATATTCTGTTGAAAAAAACAAGCAATCAATAATTATCATTTGCAATATTCAAATTTGCATTTTAAAATTTCTGTTTTTTTTTATCGGAAATACAGATTTCAGACATTGAATATTGCGTGCATGATTTTGTTTTTTCAATTTCAAATTTGCATTTTTTTTTCGATTGATTGTTTGACAAACCTATACAAAGGTTTGGTCTTTTGGTTTTCCTATTTATTACACGCAAGTGACGTCTTCGTTGCCTTTTTTTTGTTGATGATAATGGTAATTGCTTCAAAGCATGTGATATCTTTCTTATCTTGGCTGAATGTTTTTGTTTCATTGATTTCATTTCAATGAAATGGATTTTTTTTTTTGCAAAAAATCCATTTTTTTCTAAAAGACATTTTGTGTGGAAATAGTATTAGACACACTATTTAGATAAAAATAGTTTGCAAGTCACCAATCAACTCAACTCAACACACACATGTCCAACAGGCACATAAAAAACTTGAAAAATTTTTGAAAGTCAAAAATCAACTTAAAGAACCACTTCTTTTCTCAATTGTTTCAATTTTTTTTTAGATGAATAGGATACTAATCCATACTACTCAACAGCAACGTTATCGATCCATCATAATCCTATTTCGAACGAATTTAATCACATCATCATCATCATCAACAACAACATCAAGGTTGTCTGTTTTTAATGGTAGTTCTTCTTCTTTAGCAGAAGTATCGTCAAGATTGTCAGCAGCCAAACGACTCTATTCTTGTTCTTATTATTCACAAAATAGTTGTTATTATTGTTGTAGTTTGCCATTCGAATTCCTATCAACAACAACAATAAAAAAAACAACAAAACGAGTCGTTTCCAAAGCTACAATAATCAGTCGAAATAGCAGCAGCTTAAGCAACAGTAGTAACAACAACTATTTTAACAATTCAATTACACTACCACAAATCGAACGTTTATCATTATCATCATCATCGTTGTTGTCGTCGTCGTTGTTGTCTTTGTGTCCGGATCATTTCCATCTGGTGGCCAATCAAAACTCAAATCATTTTCATCAATTTCATCAAACAAAGGCAACCATCAACATCAACAATAACGATATTCGATTTGGTCTTTTCAAACATTATTATTGGTTATTTAATTTAATGAAATTATCTTTACCACCATCATCATTATTATTATCATCACTGTCATTATTATCATTATCGCCATTGATTGTGATAGAAAATATAAAATCATTAAAAACATCATTAATCACGGGTTCAATTCAATCATTATTTACATTAAAGGGAACAGCCGCATCGGCATCATCATCATCAGCATCTACATCAAGATCATTGTTCCCAAAAAGAAATTGTGGTAAAGTTTCAGCAACAACATCATCAATTCGTGATACATTTTCAAAACATTTTTATTCAACAACAACATCGACAACGACAAAAATAATGGCACCAATCGATATGAAACATGATTATGATTATGATCTTATTGTAATTGGTGGTGGTTCAGGTGGCCTGGCTGCAAGTAAAGAAGCAGCATCATTAGGTAAAAAAGTTTGTATGTTGGATTTTGTTCAACCAACACCACATGGTGTTACATGGGGTGTTGGTGGTACTTGTGTTAATGTTGGTTGTATACCGAAAAAACTAATGCATCATGCATCATTAATTGGCGGTGAAATTGAAGATGCACATTATTTTGGTTGGCAAACAAAAAATGGTGAACCATTAAAAGATAATTTAAAACATGATTGGTCAACATTGGTTAATTATGTACAAAATAATATAAAAGGATCGAATTTTTCATATCGTGCATTATTAGCAACACAACAAGTAAAATATTTAAATGCATATGGTACATTTGTCGAGCCGAATAAACTTCGTATTGTTTATAAAAATAAAAAAGAAGAATTTATAACATCAAAAAATTTTATTGTGGCTACTGGTGAACGACCAGTTTATCCTATTGATTGTAAAGGTGCACTAAAATATTCAATAACATCAGATGATTTATTTTCATTAAAATATCCACCTGGTCGTACATTAGTTGTTGGTGCATCATATGTTGCGCTGGAATGTGCTGGATTTTTACGTGGTCTTGGTTATGATGTTACCGTTATGGTTCGTTCAATAGTATTACGTGGTTTTGATCGTCAATGTTCGGAACATGTTCGTAATTATATGGAAAATTATGAACATGTAAAATTTATTGATCATTGTGTTATGAAACAAATTGATGAATTAAAACCAAGTGAAAATAATGAACCACCATTATTACGTGCTACATATCGTAATCTGGATACAGATGAAGAAATGATGGATGAATTTAATACCATTTTGTTTGCTATTGGTAGAAAACCATGTACAGATAAAATTGGTTTAGATATTGTTGGTGTTGAAATGGATACAAAAGGTTATATACCAACCATAAATGAACAAACAAATGTGCCACACATTTATGCAATTGGTGATATATTACAAGGACGGCCACAATTAACACCAGTTGCAATTGAAGCTGGTATATTATTAGCAAGAAGATTATTTACAGATCAACAAATAAATTGTGATTATATTAATGTACCAACAACTGTATTTACACCATTGGAATATGGTTGTTGTGGTTATACTGAAGAAGAAGCTATTGAAAAATTTGGTTTGGATAATATTGAAGTTTATCATCAATATTTTACACCAACTGAATGGAAATTAAATTATTATGATCGTCCACGTAAACCAATGAATGTTTGTTATGCCAAAGTTATTACTACACGTTCGAATGATGGTGATTCAAGAAAAGAATTATTACTTGGTTTTCATTATGTTGGACCAAATGCAGGTGAAATAATACAATTTACACCATTTCCATTAAAAATGAAGGCAACAAAAGCTGATCTTGATTCAATGATCGGTATACATCCAACATGTGCCGAAATTTTTACAATGTTACCAATTAGTAAACGTAGTGGTAAAGAAGCAACACAACAAGGTTGTTGTGGTTAAATAGCTAAATAATTAACTAAATTAATCCTTTAGTCTCCCCGAAAATTGATACAATAATGATGATGATAATTTGATAATTTAACTAAAACAAAACAAAAAAAAGTACAAAATTTTATTCAAAAATCAAAAATTCTACACAAAAAAAACACCTATAGCTTTGATGATGATGATTTAACCCCTCCCACCACCTTTCTCAAATCAAAAAAACAAAAAAACTTAGATTTTAAAATATAAAAAAATTATTATTTTCATTGTTTTTTCTTCCTTTCTTTTTTTCATCTTGAAATAAAAAAATCAAAATTTTTGAAAATTGAAAATTTTTTCTGCTGCTGCTATTTTCGTTGTTGTTGAGATTTTCTAATTAAGATAAATCTTTGTTTGATTGCAAAAAGGCCAATCAATAAATCCTTGCAATCCGCAATATTTATCAGCAAAAATCAAAGCAGATCTTGCATGCGGTCTACATTATCACATTTATCACGTGGTGATTTGATTTGATAATTGAATCAAAACCAAGCTTATGGATGATGAGGATCAGTTGGATTTTTTGTAGGTTTTTTTTTAATTTTAAATTTTGCCTTTTTTTCGGCCATTTTAATCAATGATAATCCACCAAAAATGTCAATTTTGTTTTGGTTTTTGGCTATTTCCTGATTTTGATTTTTTCTCGGATACATTGTATATGGAAAGGTCACATTTTTGGATCCTTTTATTTTTTTTCGTTCGAATTTTTTTTCTGATCAAAAAAAAAAAAAATTGAAAAGATCAAATGAACAAAATGGGGATAACGATGATGTCTTTTTTTGGATCGAAATATTTCAAAATTCAACAATTTGAAAATACGATTCTTTTATTGATTACAAATGATGAAATTGCATGAATGAAATGAATGAGAGATTCGATTCTAATTTTAGAATAACGGTTATTGTTTTCAAAATTCTATATAGAATTGATGATTGTGTAGTTTTGACGTTTGCTTCTACCTCACTTCTGTCTTTCTTTCTTTTTTTTCTTCTTCTAAATTCCGATTCTTGGCATGACCGAAGCAAGCGAATGAAAACACATTTTCCGGCAGAGTTTTTGTTTGCTGGTTGCTGAATAAACTGTTTTTGTTTTGTTTTGTGGTTCCAAAAATTGATTTTCATCGAAAATGTCTTCGGTAAATTTGAATAATTTTTCTTTTCAAAATCGATTCACTGATTTTTTACTTTTATTTTAATTTGAATAGGATTCAGTTTGTACGATTCGAACAAGAAAATTTATGACAAATCGTCTTTTGTTTCGACGTCAGATGGTAAGTTTTCAAACAAAATGATATTATCATTGCTCAATCGATTTTTTTTCCTCGTGTCCTTTTATGGCAGATTGTCGATATATCACATCCAAATAAAGCAACACCGGGTAAACAAGAATTACGTGAAAAAGTAGCAAAAATGTATAAAACAACACCGGATCTAGTGTTTTGTTTTGGTATTCGTACCCAGTTTGGTGGTGGTAAAAGTACTGGTTTTGCACTCATTTATGATACATTGGATCATGCAAAAAAATTTGAACCAAAACATCGTTTAATCAGGAATGGATTGAAAAAAGTTGAAAAACAAGCCAGAAAACAACGTAAAGAACGTAAAAATCGTATGAAAAAAGTTCGTGGTACAGCTAAAGCTAAAGTTGGTGCTGGTGCACAGAAAAAGGTAACAAACTTCGTTTATTATCATTACCCCCATCACATTAATCGATTCCATTTTCGTTTTTTTATCATAGAAAAAATAAACCAAACCTTCATTCAACCAGGAAAATTCAAATCAAATTTTTTTTAATAATGGACAAAGGTTGATAACAACAATGGTTCTTTTTCTTGGCTATTTTATTCTGAAATAAAGAAGAAGTTTGTTTAAAGAATATAAATAAATTCCTGGACTAAATCACACGCACACACAATACACAAACACGAGAATGTTGGGTAAAAATATTTACACGAATTAAATGGAAAGGGAGAGAGAGAAAACATATGAATCCAGTTGACTATTCATCGACAGCACCAAGAATCAATCCTTTTGATTTAGGATTTTCAAAACGATCCGGTGTACTAATCGACATAACGGCTCGTATTCCAAAGAAAAGAATCAATATTAATAATAATGAAACAATTAGACTAGATATAATGGGTAATGTAAACCATACGGCACAATCAAAACTTTTTTCAAACATTTTTAAACTTTTCGATCGTACGAATGGTTGTATTTGAAATCGATTGAATTGGATTTCGACGAATTTTTCACCTGGAACTGTAGAAAAAAAGAAAGAAAACATTTAGAAATCATTTTCGAAAGAAAGCCACCAAGACTTACCATAAGAATTGTTAATGAACAACCGGTAGGATTTTTTCGAACAGCTATAAGAAAATCCATTTTCATTATTGATTGTAAGATTACGATTTGAATATTCATTTTCGGCATCGTTGCTGCTACCACCACCGATTTCAGCAAGTTCAATGGATTTTATTCCCCACCAGGATCTATATTTTGGAAAATTTAGACAAAAGAAAATTTAAGAAAAAATCGAAATAGTCGCATTCACACATACGTTCGATCACGATCAAAAAACATTTTGACTGTAAAAGTTTTCGAAATTTTTGTGTTTTTCATTTGAAATTCAATTGATTTGGCTCGTGTTTCGCTTGTTGATTTTTTTGATTTATCCGAATTAACATTTTCACATGTACCATTCAAAACAATAATGTCGGTAAATTCATATTTTTTATTTTTATCTTCGGGTTTTGAATCCTTATCACCTCGAATCATTAAATCAATTTTCGTTGTATACATATATGCACATGGCTGATCATCATTTGGAAATTTCAATACTTTCGAAGCATCAATATCCGCTGAACGACGAACACGTATTTTTGATTGATTTAATTCATCAAAAACAGAATTCTTTTCACCAGTCAACATAAATATTGTTGGTCGTAAAGTTTGATTAAATTGTTCAACATAAGATTGAATGATTGGTTCATTTTTTTCCAATGTATCTTCTGGTAATCGTATGATTTTTTCGAATTTTGATTCAAAAAATTCTGGTTCATATTTTGAATATGGGAAAAACATCTGCAAGAAAAAAATGAAAAGAAAGAAAATCAAAACATATGGCAATGACATATGGCGATCCAGGAGAACATACCGCATCATTTTCATCGAATAACCGAGATAAAAATGGTAGATTATTTTGTGAAAATTGTTCAATATTTAAATCATTCTGTAGGAATGCTATTTTTTGTGTTTGTTTACTACCATCATCAACATGATACATTTGTAATAAATCTTCTGGATAAACATCATCGATTAATGATGATTTTGGTGCAGATAATGGATCAATGCCGTTCATTGACCATAATATTAATGGAATTTTCGATTCATTATCTTCAGCGCAATGAATTAGGCAAAATAATGCCATAAAAATGATGAATGATATGTTATGATTCATCTTGATAATGACGAATGATGAAAGAAGATTCTTATTTTGGGAAGAAAAAATCAATAACAACAAATTATCATTTGACTCAAACACAAACGCCCAATATATATCAAACAAGGAACACGCAGATGTCAAAACAGCTGTCCTGGTCATCGCGATCGTTGATGGATGGAAATAGAACGATGACTGCCATCTATTGACAATCATATTTGCATATTTTGATTTGATCAAAAAAAATCCTTTTTTAAATTTTAACAAAATTAATTTTTTAAAATGAAAAAAATCAACCGATTCGAAATGGATAGACTCAGACACCCTGATGAATATCTTGAGAATGTCCGAAAAAATTGATTCATGTTGATTGAAATGTTTGTAAACAAAAAAATGACCAACGATTATAATTGAGAAAGGTCTACGTGATTTTTTCGATTACATCATCTATGTACAGGGCCATGAAAAAGAAAAAGAAAAAAGAATTTTAACAGAGCCAAAAAAATATATTTTGTTGAAAGTAAATAATCCCAACAACAACAACCATCAACATTGAAACAGGTTAAAAATTTTGTTGCATGCTTTTTTTTCGAATAAACATGACATTTGAAATAAAAAAATGTTGATGTTGTTGTTTGATTGATTGATTTGAAGATCTGATGACCGTATACTCCAAAGAAGAATAAACTTATCACCATACTTATTGATCGATTACTTCCAAATATTGATTGATGTGCAAAAAAAAATGATGGCCCAAATCAATAATGACATTAATTAATCTGATATTTGATTGATCTTTGTATTTCAACTTTGCTACTAATTTCTAATTATTATTCAATTTGTAAAAAAAAATTCGATTCGAAATGATGAAACCTACAATCGAAGAATCTACAAATATGACAGCCATCGCTACCTCCACATTCACCACCACCAACACCATGACCACCACCAATAATATTCCAAAGATAATGGTATTTCGACCGACTTTGGATGAAATGAAAGATTTTTCCAAATATTTAGAATATATGGAATCAAAAGGTGCACATCATGGTGGTCTTGCAAAGGTTAGTTATTATTGATGAAACAATTCTTTTCTTTCATGTTTGTATTTGGATGTTTCTAAAATCGAAAAATTCATTTTTGATTAGATTATTCCACCACCTGAATGGATACCACGAAAATCTGGATATGATAATATCAATGTACAGATAAAATGTCCAATAAAACAAGTGGTCAGTGGTAGTCAAGGATATTATCAACAATTCAATATATCAAGTCGTTCGATAAGTTTTCGTGATTTTCAAAAACTTGCAAATTCACCCGATTATCGTACACCGGATTTTTTTGATTATGATGATCTGGAACGTAAATATTGGAAAAATATTACTTATAATTCGGCAATTTATGGTGCCGATGTTCCTGGATCATTAACCGATAATGATTGTAAAGAATTTAATATCAATAATTTGAATACAATTTTGGATCTTATTAATGATAGTTATGGTATAAAAATTATGGGTGTTAATACTGCATATCTTTATTTTGGTATGTGGAAATCATCATTCGCATGGCATACTGAAGATATGGATCTTTATAGTATTAATTATCTACATTTTGGTGCACCAAAATCCTGGTATTGTGTACCACCGGAATTTGGGAAAAAATTGGAAAAACTTGCCAACGAATTATTCATGTCACAATATCAAGAATGTCCGGCATTTTTACGTCATAAAATGACAATAATTTCACCACAAATCCTACGAAAATATTCAATACCATATAATAAAATAACACAGGAAAAAGGTGAATTTATGATTACATTTCCATATTCATATCATGCTGGTTATAATCATGGTTTGAATTGTGCTGAATCGACAAATTTTGCTTTACCACGATGGATTGAATATGGAAAACGTGCAACAATCTGCCATTGTCGTGCCGATACGGTAAAAATTAATATGGATGTTTTTGTTAAAATATTTCAATCCGAACGTTATGATAATTGGTTGGAAGGTAAAGATATTGGACCGGATCCAAAAGATCCGACAAACGTTTGTGCCGCTCCATCACCATATTATCTTGAAAGTGATTATAGTTCGAAAATGTATGTAATGGATATGTTTGATTTTGATTTTTGACTGATTTTTTCGTTTTTTGATCAATTTTGTTTACTACAGAAAACCAAAACGACAACCATCATATAAACGGCAACTGATACAACAGAATAAAAATACCCTAAATCAATTATTGGTTGAAGAAGAATATTGTCCAGAAGATTTTGAATGTGAAGATAATGATGATTCACCGGATTATTGTTATTATAATGAAAATTATCGTAATGGTGAAAAAAATTTTAAATCAAGAAGAAAAAAATCTAAATGTACAACAACAACAGCGAATAATGATAAAAATCTTAATGATTGTACAAGCAATAATAATAATAATATGGCAAAAATGAATAATGGTTGTGATCATAATAATGGTGATAATTTAATCAAAATTGAATCAAATAATAATAATAACGATGCTGATGATAATGATGACAAGAAAAATGGTAAGTTTTTGGGTGATAAAATGCTGGTAGTTTTCATTGATTTTTTCCCAGGACCCATGAAAACAGAATCAACAACAACAATGAATAATGGCAATAATCAGAATAATAATAAATTAATAACATATGATTTGGATAATTTTCATTTGAATGAGGTTTGTAGTTTTTTTATTTTTTTTTGGTTGTAATTTTTTCGGTTGTAATTCTTTTGTAAATATTTAGGCTATAACATCATTAGATCAACTATCTAAACGTACTATACAATATACTGATAATCCACAAGCATTTTATGATGAAATTAATTTAAATTATTTTTCATCATTAATCGATCCATTTTGTTCAATTTGTATATTATTACGTTCATTTGAATTTTTACAACAAGATTTAACAAAAATTAGTACAAATCATCTTCATCCACCATTACATAGTCGTATTTTGATACCAAAATTATTATTTAATTTAAAAATTAAAACCAATTCAGATGGCGATGATGATCAATCAAATGTGATTAATAACAATAACAATGATAATGATGATCATAATCAACAATCAAATTTATTGATTTGTTCATCATGTAAATTATGTGTTCATTTTTGTAAGTTTTTAATTTTTAATTTTTGTAAAATTTCGGTTTTATTAATTTGATTTTCCCGTGTTTTTTTCTTTGTTCTGTTCATGTCTTTTCTAGCTTGTTATGGCGTTGAACAAATCCCAGATAATCCACGTGAATGGCAATGTGATCGTTGTCAATCAGGTGATTATGATGCTGCATGTTGTCTTTGTCCATTACGTGGTGGTCCATTAAAACAAACTTTATGTAAACAATGGGCACATTTAACTTGTTCATTAGTTATAACAAATATTAAATTTGATAAACGTATTGTTTGGAAACCGATTGATATTAGTATTGTACAACCATTTCTTGAAAGTGATCGTATGGTATGTGTTTGAATTGACTATTTTTTCTGATTTTTTACTAATCTAAATTCACAAATTCATCCATAGACATGTTGTTTTTGTTCACAAAAATCGAATGGTGGTAATATTTCCAATTATATAATGGGATTATGTGTACGATGTTCAAATCAACAATGTATGGAATATTTTCATGTAACCTGTGCTCATCGTGAAGGCGTTCAATTTGAATTGAATGATAATCTGACATCATTTCGTTTGATTTGTAAAAAATGTCAATTGAATAAATTTTATCGAAACTCATCAACTATTACTAGCAACAACAACAACAACCATATCAATCAACAACAACAACAACAAAATGAAAATTTAGAATTAGATCAAATGGTTATTGCACGTTATTCACCAAATTGTTATTCATATGCACGGATTATTGAACATTTTGATGAAATGATGCATCATGTACAATTTGTTGATAATACATTTGTTAATAATATTCATTCGGCTGATATTTTGGTAAGTGGATTTCTATGGGAAAGTTAATTATTTAATGAATTTTATGAATTTTACGAAATTATAGAATCGTGATTGTGAAAAAGATCGTCCAATGATTGGTGATCCAATCGAAGTAATATGGAATCGTGAACAATTACATGGAAAATATGCTGGTTGTCATATAACAAAAATGTATCGTATTGAATTTGATAATGGCCAACAAACATCATTTAAACGTGAAGATTTATATAAATTAAATGATGATATACCGAAACGTGTTCAGGTTCGAATTACTGATAATCTTGATTAGCGATATTGATTACTATACTCGATTTATATTAACTACAATCAAACAAACCACACACACTTTAATATTATCAAAATTTTTTTTATTTATGTCGGTGTAAATATTATATCATCACCATCACCACCATTATTATTATCATTATTATTATTATCGATAGCAATTTTCTTATGGCATTTATTAGCTGCTGTGTGCGTCTGTTTACTTATTTTATTCTGTTTGTTTGCAAATTTATAATTCTCAAATTGAAAACAAATGCCTTTCCTAACAAAAATGAAATAAAAATAAAATATTTTTTAACAAAACAAAAACTTTTTTGTCAACAATCAAAAATCAAGTAAATTTAATGGCAGTTGTGTTTGAGGTGGTAGTTCGCTTGGTGATCAAAGACTCGATGGCCAATAATCCAAATCATCAAAGTCTTTGTCGTCGTCGTCGTCGTCAAAGTCGAGAACAAAAATCAATAAACCAACAACAACAACATGAACAAAAACATCGACAACAACAACCGAAATATTATGAATTTGATCAGATGCCTGAATATTTACGTTTTAATCAATGGATACATAGTGGTTATCGTTCACCACAACTATCAACAATCGAATGTTTAAAATCATGTTTTGAATTACATAATGAAACAATGAATATTTGGACACATTTATTATCAATCCTATATATCCTTTATAATTTCCGGACAATATTTATAACAAAATTTTATAATTCCAAATTAATATATTTTCATATAATTAGTTGCCTGTCATCATGGATTGGTTCATTATTATATCATATATTTATGAATCATCGATTAGGTAGGAAAATTTATTATCCTCTTTTGAAAATAGATATGTTCGGTATTTGGATTACACAAACATTTGGTGCATTAACTACCATACAAGCATCATTGATTATGTTTGATGAATCATTTCGATTGTATTTTAGTGTGATTTACCTGGCCATTAGCATGGTTGTGCTGTATGAATGTTTACAGGCAAAAGAATCATGGCAAAGATCAACAAGTTTTTCAATACTTTTTCTAATGCGTTTGATTTGTTTTATGATTCGATTGCGGACACATTATAATCCTAATCAAATGTCATTATTATTGAAAATTTTCAAATATCGTCATATAATTGGACAAGAAATATGGCCAATAATTGGTGCAATTATTGCTAGTACAAAAATACCTGAAAGATTTTTCCATAATGGTCAATTTGATTATTTTCTAAATAGCCATAATATAATGCATTGTTTAGTTGTTATGGGTGGTTTACATATGCATTGGTCATTCACTGATGATATTCAATTTTTTATCAATTAACCACCAGCGAACAACAACAGGCAGCAAAGATCAATCGAAAAAAAAATTCCTTGGTTAAAAAAAACAAACAGAAATAAGTTTTTGTTTTTTTTAAATTAAATTTGAAAAAGATTTAATTAGTTTACCACCAGAACAAAAACAAAAAACAAAAATCAATCAATGGATCAACATTTTGCTTGGTTTTTGATTGTTTTGGTCAATTTGTTTAGCAAAAGAAGAAGAAAAAAATTACAAAAAATTCATCAATAAAAAATATTTGTTTTGTTTTTTGTTAATAAAAATGTCTTTTCTGTTTTGTTTTGTCTCATCTAAATGTTTGCTGTTTGTTTGTTTTCATTTGAAAAAATTCATTCGGTTTGATTTGATCAACAAAATAAAATATAGCAAAATAAAGGAAAAAGAGTGAAAAAAATATTGGATCACATCGAAAAAATGAAAAAAAATTAGAAAATGCACACACCACATATTCAAAAAAACATTCATAAAATGATCAGTGTTGTTGCTGTTTGTTTGTTTGTTTCTTCATCAGCGAAATTATTTTGGAAAACAAAATTTGAAAAAAATTAAAGCAAAAATAGAAATAATTTCAATCAACAGATAAAATATATAGTGTTTGGGTTTGTTTTGTTTGTTTTTGAAATAAAAAAAAGAAAGAATTCACAGAGATTATTCACAGGATTCATTAACATTCTTTGTCATCATCATTCAATCACCATCAAATGATAATCACCACATAGCCACATTATGTAATTAAAATATAAATCATTGATAATTGATTTTGATCATATTTGGAATATTTGTTGAAAAAAAATTGATTGGTATTTGTGTGTGTGTGTGTGTGCGTTCGACATTACCATGGTTGAACATTAAATTAGATGAAAAAATGATGACGATAATGATGATGAAATAATTAAAACATCAACAACAACAACAACAACAACAACAACCATATAAAAACCATAACAAACAACCATAACAATGAAAAGAAGTAGTAGAAGAAAAAAACTTACAGATATAATTTCAGGTGTGTAATATATAGTGTTTTATGATGATAATGATGATTGTTCCCAAAATTCAAATCAATTGAATTTGAATACAAAGAAAAGAAAGAAAGAAAAGACATTTCAGTCATCATTTTCATTGTTTGTGTGTATAATGTATGTGTCTGTGTTTGCTGGAAAAATCAGTTGAATTACCATGAGAATGGCCAATTATTCAGTCGAATAAAAAAGTTTGAAAAGGAACCATGTTTTTCTTATGCTTTTCGCTTTACTTTTACTACCAATGATTACCCAATAAATGATTAATCAATACGGCAACAATCAATGATATAATTGTAAATACAACAACTAATAATATAGCATATCCTTGATCGGCTGATAATAAAATATTTGTTGGATTTAATAATAAATCGGATGCCGTTGTTATTAATTGTGATTTATTCATATGTTGATGATGTTTCGAATCATGATGATGTAAATTGATCAATTGATTTTGTTGATAAACAAGTTGTTGTTGCTGTTGATTTGATGATGATGGTGATAATGATGTGAACGCTGCTGTTGTCGATGATGATGATGATGATAATGATGATGACTGATTATTATGAGGATGATGTAATTGTTTACTACTATTATTATTTCGATTACGATTATTATGTCTATTATTAAATGATGGTGTCGATTCTGGTGTTATAATTGTTAAACAATTTGATACTAACCAACAGGTTTCAGTTGATGTTCTAACACGGAATGTATATTGTTGTTGTGATTGTAAATGTGTTACTTTATAGCTTTGATTTGGACCTTGATGTACCATTCTTGTTGTTGAATTGGTTGTTGTTGTTGTTGTATCATCATTCGTTGATGATGATGATGATGATGATGATGATTGATTATTCATCAATAACATATCGACTATATAATTTCGTTTAGTTTGTTGTTCACTACTACCTTGTTGTTGTTCATTTAAATTATTAAAATGCCATTTTAATCGAACCGAAGTTGATGTTACATTTGAACAAGTTAATATTAATGCTTCTTTTTTCGGTAATAAATGTTTTGGTGAACGAGATGTTATTGTTGTTGTTGATGTGGATGTGGATGTGGATGTGGATGATGCTAATGACATATCACTTTTTGTTATTTCATTATTTATATCCGTCTGTTTTTGTTGTTGTTGTTGCTGTAACCAATCACAACGTTGATTAGTCATCAATGTTGTTGATTCATCCGATTCCGATTCCGTTTTATCCGATTCATCCGTTGCTGAATCATTCAAATTTCGATGATTATCATTGCTGGTTGATAATTTTGTTGTTATCATATTGTTGCTGTTGATACGACCATTTGCCATAATCATTTTATTATCACTTGTATTATTATCATCATCTGAAGATTTTGATTCAATACATTCATCATCATCGTTACCATCATTATTATTTATAGATGATTTATCTTTTGAATCATCGACCACAGTTGTTGTTGTTGTTGTTGCGTTAGACATAGATGTTTTTGCACTTTCAGTTGTTGATGATGATGATGATAATAGTTTGCCATTATCCAATGTATCATGTAACAAAATATCACTATGATTATCATCATTATCATTATTATTTTCATCATCCAATATGATGATTGGCTGCTGCTGCTGCTGTTGCTGATTATTATCATTATTATTTTTGGCCAATTTGTTGTTTTCCTGTTGTTGGCATTTTGTTTGATCTTTCGTTGAAAAATTATCGACATTTTCAACGATATTAACAGCCGAGGAAGCAGCAGCAGAAGTCATCAATGTTTTTCGATTACTTTGCTGTTTATTATTTAATGAAACTTGGACATTTGGCTCACAGATATTATTATTAGCAGTGTTAGTTAACGATAAACGATGATTATGATGATGATCATCATTATTTTTTGCTGACAATATTGATTGATTATTAATCGATGATGCCAGATTGGCAGTTTTATTTGATCCTGATGATGATGATGATAATATTGTCACTTTGGATCGATTATCTAGGCTAGATTTTTTACTTTGTTTCCTTATTGAATCACAATCATTCGATGATCTTGATGTTATCATGAATTTTTCATCAATCGGTTGTTGTTGTTGATCACTTTTTTGTTCGTAAAATTCACCACCATTATGATGATGATGATGACCAATTTCATTATTATTAAATGAAATATTTGGTAAAATTCTTATACTACCGGTATGATGATTATTCTTGTTATCTTTATTTAATTCTGAAAATGATCGTCTTGGTGAATGATGATTAGATGATGAATTCGTTGTTGCTGTTGTTGATGAAGAATTTAATGATAATTTTTTACGTGAAACATAATGATGTGATGGATGATGATAAATATCATTATTATTTTGTTGTTGTTGTTGATGATGATAATGATGAACATTATTATGAGGATGATGATAATACTTATTTAAATTATGATGTTGTTGTTGATTAGTTTGATGATGATAATAATAATTATTATTATCGATTGTTTGTTGATCCAAGGTGTTTGTTGTTGATGATGAAATATGATTGTTATTATTGGAAGAAGAAGATGAATAATCATTGGAATTGTATGATTTGTTATTGGTCATCATATATTTTCCATTATTATGAATATCATTATTGGAATTATTATTATTATTTTGGACCGTTATTGGATGATGATAATTATTATTATTATGAGAATGATGATTATGATGATGTGTATCATATTGATACATTGCACTTCCACTTTGATAACGATTATTATTATTTGAATTATATTTGGCCATTATATCAGTTCCGGTTGCTGCTATTGTTGTTGTTGTTGTTGATGATGTTGTTGTTAAAACAACAGTAGTCGTAGTAGCAGTAGCAGCAGCAATAACAGTTGATGCTGATGATTTTGAATAACGAGAATTTGATGATGATGATGATGATGCGGATGAAGATGAAGATGATGCTGTTGTTGTTGTTGCTGTCGATATTGTTGTAGGTGGTGTTCGTCGATTAATACCATCTTTATTATGATGATGATGATTCGTTGTTCCAATTGTATTATTATTATTGTTCGTCATAAAATAGTTAACATTAGCCGATTGTATTGATTGATGATTATTATTATTATGGTTATTATTATGATTATTATAGTTTGTTGTCGATGTTGATGTGGATCGATGTTTATTTGGTGAAGAAAAATTTCTATGTCCACTTGTAGATGTATTATTTGATGATGATCGTTGTCCACTACCACCACCACCAGATCGACCACTAATATTTGAAGATCTAGAATTCATCACTGTTGCTATTGGTGGTGGTGGAGGTGGACAATATGGTCCTAGATTTCCTGTCATAGATGTTGCAGGTGAATGGCTTAAGGGTGGTGGTGGCGGTGGTACTACTGTAGGAAAAACAGCAACCGGTTGTGCCTGTTGTGATGGAATTATCGTATGATTTGGACCAACAACAATAGCAGCAGTAGCATTTGGTGGTTGCGATAATCCAACCCCGGCTGGTGATGCTGCACATGTTTGTGTACAGCAACAACAAAATAGATGCGGCTGTGATGGTGTTTGTTGTTGTTGATGATGATGAGATGCGGCAGCGGCAGCAGCAGCAGCCGCCGCTGCTGCTGCTGCTGCTGGATTTGATATGAATGCCGAAGATGCCGTATTTGTTGCCGAAGATGATGATGATGAAGATGCAGATGATGCTGATGATGTGGCTGAAATTGTTCCACTAGTGTTAACACCATTAGTACTACCGCCACCGCCACCGCCACAAACACCACCATTATTTGTTGCTGTTGAAACGGCTGTTGATAATGCCGATAATATGATATGTTTTAATGTACCATGTTCATCAACAATTTGTTGTATCATATGACCAGGAGGAACCTTGAAACACATAAATTTAAATATTTTTTTTTTGAAAAAAAAAGTAATAAAAAAACAAAAGAGAAATGAAAGAGTTGAAACAAAATGTTAATCATCATTTTTATGCATTTATAATCGCATTAATTTATTTGAAACGAAACAACAACAACAACGAAAAACATACCTGAACAGGCATTGGCATTGGTGGAAAGGCATGTTGAGAAATCATTTTGATTGTTGTTGGTCCACGTAACACTGTTTCGTTACCATCGATAAACTGTATGGATACTGATTCACCTTTGAAACGAAAAAAATGTAATAAAATTTTATGAATGAAAAGAATTTTTCAGAAAAAAATCTATGTTATTAGGCCTTTGTTACAGTTTGAAAATACATGCAAAGATTTTTTTGGTTCAATCAATCAATACAAAATGAAATCGAAAAATTATTATTTACCTGGATTAACATGTAAATCAACAAAATGTGGTGGACCAGGAAATGGATGAGGTGGAAGAGGAAGCGAGGATGGTGGTGGAATTGGATTGGCTGCTACAGCTGTAGCTGCCGAATTTAACATCATTTTTGTTTCTTTTTTCTTCGTCGAAATTTTCTTTGTAAAATTTGAACAAAGTTTTTTTTTTGGTCACTGTTGTTGTTGGTCAAAAACAAATTGATTTTGCAGATAGAAAGAGATTTTGCAGTGTAATTTTTTCAGTACATCAAAATTTTGGAATGTGATGGTACAGATCAATACAGTTAATATGAGAGTTTCTCTGGAATTATATTCACATTTGATTTTTGATTTTTGTCGTTTTGATTTGATTTGATAAAAACACACGTAAAACACACACATTGATTATCATGTGATTTGTCTTGTTGGCCTATCAATTTTTTTGATTGTTTTTCATCATCAATATGGATGGATGGATGAATCAATGATGATTATGTTGATTAATAATCACCGTTTTCATTATCATTATTATTGGAAAAAACAAAGAAAGAAGAAGGATTTGATTCCCATTGTTGAGTTGAGTTTGAGTAGTTTCATTTTGAAACGTAGACAAACAAACATAATTTCAAGATTATTGAATCAATTTGAACAACAACAACAATACAAACACAGACACAGACACAAATATTTAAAGGAAGAAAATGAAAATTTGAAAAACAAACGTTTCAATTTGAAACAACAAATAAGCAACAAGAAGAAGAAGAAAACAAGTTCTGTTCTTTTTAAAATGTTATATAAAATCTATTATAAATGGTGAATTTCGTTTGTTGTTGTTTTAATATTTCGGACAAATAATAATATTAAGGCCAAAATATGCTATATGATGCGTTTGTATTGAGGGAGAGAGAATTATTATCAATGAATTCAGTTTTTTGTTTTTGGATTTCAATTTCAGTTGTTGTTGTTCGAGCATCACATCTAAAATATTTAATGAACAGAAAGATCTTTGTTGGAACATAATGAAACGTAGATCTCTTGTTGGAACATAAACGTTTCTTGTTGTTGTTGTTCGTGGTTGTTGTTACAGGTTAAAAAACACAGCTGTTGCATTCATACAATGATGATCATTTTCATCATTTTCATTCGTTTGTTTTTTTAAAAAAACAAAATGTGGTCAATCGGATCAATTGTTATGATGATGATGATGATGAGGCAGGCAATTGAAAATTTTTTGTTCGTTCACAATTTGGAATGAGCCAAACAACAACAAAAAAAAATCTTGTCTCTTTTTCCATCAAGATGTTCATCACCATCACCAACATCGTCGTTGTTTCTCTTTTTGCCAAAGTTTGGTTGATCAGTCTATATGGTATGTATGTTGTTGTTGTTATATGGCGAGTATCTTGATTGGCCGAGTTTTTTTTCATTTAAAAAATTTTTCTTCTTCGGGTCTCTCTTTTTCCTATCTTTCTCTTTTTTCTTAATTTCACCTGACAAAAAAATTCGTTTGTCAGGTGTAAAAGTTTGCCGAAATTTTTGAAATATTTTTCTCCAACAAGAATGGTGGTGGTGGTGGACAGACAGACAGAAAATTCGAACGTTTTCGGCGTGTGTTGGTTCGATTTTTTTTCGGGAAATTTTTCTTTATTTGTCAAAAACAAAAAAAATTCCACCTTTTAAAACAGGAATTTTCTTCTTTTTTTTCGAAATTGAAATGACGGTGAAGAAATTTTAAATATAAAAAAAATCACATTTAAAATATCAACGATAACAACAAATGATGGAACAATGAACGATGATCATCCAAAACAAAAATTAAATCAATTGAGTTGATTGATGGATAGATTTTTTTTTTGGCTGATTTGTTGATGATGGCGATGATAATGTCGTCGCTGTTGATGATGATAATGGCCATTCAAAACACAACAAACAATGAAAGAAAATTGGCCAAAAAAAGAAAAACATCGATGATGACAAACTAGGATTCGCCAATGTTTGATGATGATACTGATGAGTGTTGTTGTCGAACATATAATATCTTTTCATTGGAGAAAATTGACATCATGGCATCACACATCACACATCGCACAATAATATCACCAAATAGGCAGCATCAAAGAAGAAAATTCATGGAACCACCATCATCATCAATAATATGGATAATATACCACCACTATACTCCGGATGCATCAAAAGAAACACAGTATCACTATCTCTCTGTGTGTTTGTATGTTGCGTATATATTTTTGTTGGAGCGGATCATTGGGGATACTGGTTGCTGATTTTTTTGGGTTTTGGTTGAATGGAATGATGATGTTGGTGATGGTGGTGATGTTGGCAGAATAGCAGCAATATTTTTGCTGATGGTGGATATACACAGAGAGAAAAAATGTACAGTTGTTTGTTGTTGTTGTCGTTTCTCTCTCTCTCTTGCGTTGACGTGGCACCCTTATAACAAAAACATTGGTATCCGTCGTTGTTTATAATAATTTTTGGAATGAAACTAACGAAACGAACTAAAAACTTTGGATATAACGCGCGCTCTCCGTTTCTCTCTTCAACGATTCTTTCTCTCTCGATTTCAACAACAACAAAAATCCCGTAAATGAGAATATTTCATTTTCAAATATATTGAGCTTGCTAGATCCTTTATTTGGCAACAAAAACAGCAGCAAAAAGCAACGAAAAGAAGCAAGAAGAAAAAATTTGTTGATTATCAAGTTGATTGATGATAATGTTTGGCTGGATGGATTGGTTTGGATGTTTCGAATTCGAATGTGTATTCGAATTTCTATATATACCATGTATATATACACTATGTATATATACGTCATATTTTCCAACTGTATCCTATACCACTACTACCTTTACTTATAATTATTATCCGATTCTATGGAAAGGTGGGATTGTCTTTTACACACAGACATATATATACATGCTACTAGCATTCGAATGTTTATGTGTAAACATCATCATCATCGAACGTAATGAAAATAATTCCACGTTTCAATTTTTCTTTTTTTCTTTTTCATCAAACATTTCAAAATAATCTTCATTTTAGGATCTTTTTTTTATTTATTTCGAAAGAAAAGAAAAGATGAAAGATGGAAAAATTCTTTTTCACCAGATTTTCCGATTTCGGTTATTATTTTTTTGTTGTTAAAATGTCATCAACAGAGAATCGATGATTTCGATAAATGAATTTCACTTTGTTTCGAATCCGCGGAACATCTGATTATCATTTCTTTTTCTGGGATGTTTTTTGATGAGAAATATTTCAAATTGACAAGTATTTCAGGCAATCGGCCGTTTGATGACGTCGATAGGTGATAGTTTTTTTTGTTTTTGTTTCTCTGGTTGAACCTGGGTATACATAAAATATTTGGTGCATAAAATGACATCCTCACCACCACCACCAGCCATTCTCCCCCCGTCCAACAAAATATTGTAAAGATGTTCGTTCAATAAAACCACCACCAGAGAAAAAAAAACCGTACGTCATTCCAAAACAAACCACAAGGGACTTACGTGATACGAATATTATGTGTGATGGAAAATTTTTTGTGAATTTACGTAGGCGTCATCATCTGTCATTCTTGTTTGTTTGTTTTTTGGTACGCACGTTCCATCATGAAACATTGATATTTTCAGACAAAAAAAAATTTATGAATCAAAAAAATATATCCCTGTTGGAAATGTCAAAGTGTACTACACACATTGCTATATATACTATTTTTTTACTATGACGCCGATCATCATTTGATGATAATCGTAAATTTTCATTCACAAAAATGTTGAAATGTTGATGATAATGATGCACGACGCAATTCAATTTGCTATATCTTTTGTTTCGTTGGCCAGGCAGGGTAGTGTAATAGGATTAGTATCGTCTAAATCGACCCGGGTAGGTCGATCTATCGAGCGATGAACCGGGTGGTTTTCCAATTACTTCCGTCGATTTTTTTTCAAAATTTTTTTTTCCATAGAATTTATTCATTTAGTTTTGGTTTTTATTTCCCATCATCATCATCATCATCAATTTAACATTCAAAAACGATAAAAAAAAACAACTGATTTATTGAGTGATAATCAACGATAATTTTCGCCTGATTGATTTACAAAATGTCAATGTTTTTTTTTTGGTTTAAATTTAAAAGGTGATGACATTTTTTCTTTGACATTTGACATTCGACATCTGATATTTACTAACCGCGCAATGTGTATGTGTTTGCCTTATAAGAACTTATTCGAATGTTTGAAAAAAAGAAGAAATTTTATTTATGGATCAAAAATGATCCATTTTTAAATTTTAAGAACGCCATCTGCTATTCGAAACTGAAAATAAAATCCAAACAAAAAATTGATGACCGAAAAAAAATGAAATTTTTATTACATTTTTTTTTAAATTTTGGGAGAAAAAAAAATTAGTCAAAAGTTTTTTTTTTGTTGATGTGTGTCTGGTCATGGTATTTTTAAAATTTATTAAATTGTTTTTTCGAACTAGCCGATTTGGTTACTTTTAGTACGTTAAAACGAACTGTTTTACTTAATGGCCTACATTCACCAACAGTAACAACATCGCCCAATGCAACATCTCTGTTTTTATGAGAAAAAAGAAAAAGATGAAAAATGAATTAATAAAAAATTGTAATTCAAAATGAAAATGATTGACAAATGAATAATAATTATAAGATCAGTAAAATAAACACGATTCCTCATATTCTCTTTTCAGTAGACCGTCGTGTATTATCATCATATTTTTTCATTGTCAAACCAAAAAACAAACAATAAAAAAAAACAAGAAAAATCCAAATAATAAAATTACATACCTGAAACATGGTGAAAGATGAACAGACATATTACGATGACGTTTTTCGAAACGATTATATTTTCGAATATAATGAAGATAATCACGACGTATAACAATAGTACGTTGCATCTTCATTTTGATAACTGTACCACGAAGAATACGGCCACGAATAGAAACATCACCAGTGAATGGACATTTCTTATCAATGTAATTGCCTTCGATGGCCTAAAATCAGCGAAAACGGAAACAAACCGATTAAAAGATTGCGGAGAAATTGTAAAACAAAAAAATCTAAAGACTTACATCTTTGGGTGTACGAAAACCAAGACCAACTTTACGTACATAACGTTGAACTTTACGATAACGAACACCACCACCGGTTGGTGGTTTTTTGTTTAGAAAAACTGTTGGTTGCTTTTGAAAAGCTTTTTCATTCTGTAAATTTTCATTTTGTGGAAAAAACATTGATCAATTAGGAATTCTGAATAGATTTATCATTTTGAAAGCATTACCTGTTCGCCAACCAATTGCTGGGCTTTCATTTTGGATAGGAATTTTTAAGAATTTTTATTTTTTGAAAAAGAATTTCGGGAAAAAAACAACAAAAAATCAATGTTGAACAAGACAGAAACACACAGAAAACACACACACGTTGACGGGAAAAAGGAAGCTTTTTTCGAACGTGAAGAGAGAAGAAAGTTTTCGAACAAATTAATGAGCATGCATGCCGATTGATGTCATGTTCATAAACAACGTTTCAAAAAAAATTCAGAAAATAGATGGCGCTCAAACAATTTTTTCTTGGTTCAGGTTGTTTTTCATTATCACACACATGTGATTTGAATTGCAAAAATAAATATTTTACCTTTTTTTGATAATCAATATTGATTCGAAAGAAGGCAAAAAACAATGTCCAATAATCAACAGCAATCATCGACATCGGCAAAAATGAAAAACGAACAACCACCAATCGATGATTTACAGCAAACATTCATTCGTAAAGCACAATTTATTGAACAACAAAAATTTAATAAAGCCAGAGCAATTCGTATGCGAAATCGTTTGTCCGGTTTGGTTATGGCCACTGTTGTTGGTTCTATTTGTAAGTATATATTTTTCAGTAAATTGCAAATTTATCTCAGAAAAACAATGAATCTTTTTTTGGATCATTTTTCCAAATAGATTTCTATACGATAATGACGGTTAAACAGGAAAAATTTCTGGATGAACTTGATGATGAACCAAATACAAAATGATAGAAAATTGATCCGAACGACAAGATAGAAGAGATGTTCAACACATGTAAAATTAGCTTTTTTGCTTATTTTTTATTCAACAAAAAAAAAATCAATCAATATGCATGCTATATGTATGTAACATATGAAAAATATTTTTGAATGTTATTTAGGTTAATTAAGTTATGTTTGTATTAATCACTTGATTGGAATGTAGTCCGTTAATTAACTAATCAAACATTTTGTATTTAAACCGATGAACACTCAGAGGTGTTTATGCATTGAGACATATCAACTCAATTGTCATCAGTTTATTTCAATAAAATCAATTATTTTATAATCAACGACAAGTTTCAATATTTGGTCCTGTATCTCCACTGGTCATAATACGTGGATTGAATCCTACTTATTCACAAGCCAACAGGATAGTTAACCCGTGGGAATCTCCAATGTATTGTTCGATCTAAGGCGACCAACAAGACCTATCAAGCCGAAACCAGTCGATTATTTGTTTCAACAGAACGAGATCCGAATATTCGCTACATCAAAGCCGATCTTAGTTGGTAAGTAATAACCGATAGAGATTTAATGATGGAGGGTGAAAGTTCAGATAATGTTCCCAAAAACAATTTTGATTCATTAATAATTGAAAAATCAAGATTACAAAAAAATTTAATTT